AGCAGCGCCAAGCGAAGCACCCCCTAGCGGAGCAGCGCCAAGCGGAGCGCCGCCGATCGAAGCACCAGCGAGCGGAGCAGCGCCAACAGCTCGTGATCTTCTTTGCCTGCAGGGACTCCGCGGCTGTTGAATTATCATGATATCCACCAGAGGTATTCCCAGGCAGGCACCAATTACCTTATCCAGAAATATCTCCATCCCCACCCAACCCTGAGGCACAATCAACCTCGTCATCCCCATCCCACTCTGGAGCACACCCGTCCCATATCCTTTCATCCATAACGTTCTAGGCAACACTGAGCTCTTCAGCAAGAGCCAGCCCTTCAGCACGACGCAGCCCGTTGATCCCACCCACCCAGCTTTCTGACACCACAGCCGCCAAAGGCAGTCGGTTGGCTGTGTTGGCGAGAGCGTGTAGTGGCGGTGATTCCGATTGGCTGTTTCGCTTCGCGTGCGAATAAGTCGAGTGGCGGCGCAAATGTAGTGTGAAAGCAGATCCTTATCGAAACCCGTCGTGTTGTCTACACCCAATAATGAATAAATGCGCCAAATGTTTTTGTTTTTCCCAATTTCCACCTCCCAGAGCTTTGTAATGCAAACCTTTACTTGGTAATTAAACTTGATTGTTCACTTGACATACAGTTAGATCTAAATTTGTACGCAACTGAGGGCCTGCTACCTCAAACCTACCGTCCAAAATGGTGAGATATGGTTGGTTGAGGTTGGGAAAGAATGGAGGGAAGAAGGGGGAATGTGGGGAAAGTAACGGGGAAGTAAAGGGTACAGTAGTTTGTGCATCTAAGATTGGAGGAGTCATTAGATCTACCAACAACAGGCAGCACGTGGGAAGGCCTACTCTGCTCTCCCATCCATCTGAATTTTACCAAGAGCTTGATTGCCTTTTGTTGCTGTACATTCTATTTCCCCGGAAAACTGTCTGCTCTATTTCAGCCCAACACAGTGTACATTCTATTTTCCCGGAAAACTGTCTGCTCTATTTCAGCCCAACACAGTGTACATTCGTGACCCTCGGATCAACTCATGAAGCACTTACAACACCAACAAATACCGAACATCGGGTTTTTCAAGAGACTGAAATTGGATGATTCGATTAATAATAGGAACAATCCTTTTGATCCACCTACACATACTTGCACCGCACTGCACGCAGCAAATCTCCCACCAGGTGCAGTGACCCTGTCACCAACACCTGCAAATGGACGTCTGGATGCGTCCCAACCCAGACAAATCAATGGCTGCCGGCAGCGACGACAGCACAGCACTGTGAGGCCCAAACTCATCGTTCCTTGGAAAATCGATGGCCAGGATGAATCATCCACTTTCCTTCCTGCTGCTTGTGCTGCTGCTTTTTAAGATGCTTGTGATGATGCTTGTGCTGCTGGTTGTCTTGCTGCTTGTGATGCTGCTTGTGCAGGTGATGCCACCAATCGAGTGAGCTTGTGAGGCACAAGGAATGGGGCAGGAATAGAGTCAACAGCACGAGCTCCATAAGCAGCAGCATCTGGAGGATCGACAGATGGAGCAGGAGCAGCAGCAGTACCAGCCCTCGCAGCAGCAGCAGCAGCTGCGTCTGGAGGAGCGGTAGTACCAGCCCCGGCGGCGGCGGCTGCGGCAGCAGCTCGCACAAGAAGAAGAAGTAGCAAGATGCAGTGGCGGCTGCTGCTGCAGCTGCTCGCACATTCTTTGCATGGACAGCTGCCATTCCAAGTTGCTCTGGCCGAGGCTGCTGCTTTGTCTCGGCACACTAGCATCGATGCCAGCGCTACTGCTTTGGCAGGCACACTAGCATCAGTACCAACGCTGCTACTTTGTCTCGGCATCTCGGTGGTGGGTCCCAGAGAGAGGGATGGGGGAAGACGAGATGGGGAGGAGGTGGAGGGGGGGGAAGAAGCGTGTTGTAGGAGGAGAGTGAGGGGACAAAGAGGGCTGCTTGAAAGGTCAGTCCTGCAGGAAGGGAATGGGCAAGAAAGGGAATTGGGATGGACGGGAATGGAAAAGAGAATGTGAAAGGAAAAGGAACGGAATGGGAAAGGAAGGGAATGGGAAGGGAAAGGAGTGGGGAAGGAAGGAAATGGGAAAGGAAGGGGATTAGGAAAGGAAGGGAATGGGCAGGGAAAAGAATGTGAAAGGAGGGGATTGGGGAAGGAAGGGACCTAAGTGCTCTCAAACACACCTGAGAATTTCAAATGCACCTCAATGTTTTCAGCCGCACCATTGCCCACAAGTGTCCTGAGATGTCGAAACAGCCGAAATTCATCCTCTCCAACCGTACCGTACCTTAGTGTTTTCTCACACACCTCTGCGCTCAAGTGTCGTGAGAAGCCGTGTCATCAGTGTGCGCGGGTCCCTTCTAGTCATGCAGTTGAACAACAACACCTGTGATGAGCAGTGAGGCAGGCAGTGAGAGCAGGCAGTGAGAGCAGGCAGTGAGAGCAGCCAGTGAGAGGGAACATGTGTTGACTCACATGCGAACATGTGTTGACTCACATGCGAACATGTGTTGACTCACATGCGAACATGTGTTGACTCACATGCGAACATGTGTTGACTCACATGCGAACATGTGTTGACTCACATGCGAACATGTGTTGACTCACATGCGAACATGTGTTGACTCACATGCGAACATGTGTTGACTCACATGCGAACATGTGTTGACTCACATGCGAACATGTGTTGACTCACATGCGAACATGTGTTGACTCACATGCGAACATGTGTTGACTCACATGCGAACATGTGTTGACTCACATGCGAACATGTGTTGACTCACATGCGAACATGTGTTGACTCACATGCGAACATGTGTTGACTCACATGCGAACATGTGTTGACTCACATGCGAACATGTGTTGACTCACATGCGAACATGTGTTGACTCACATGCGAACATGTGTTGACTCACATGCGAACATGTGTTGACTCACATGCGAACATGTGTTGACTCACATGCGAACATGTGTTGACTCACATGCGAACATGGAGCCTAAGCATGTCAGTCAGAGCGAACGAGGAGAAAATCCGTGTGAGAAAAGTCGTGAGAAAGCGAATTCAGTTGAATAGCAGCAACTGCGGACGTGGGGAGAGGGAGAGGTGGCAGCACAAGGCATGAGAGTGAGAGGGGGTCAGCACTTGACTGGACGAGGGGGGAACCGTGAGTGAAAAAAGCCATAAGAAAGCGTCTTCAGTTGAACAGCAGCAGCCGCGGACGTGGGTGCGGGAGTGGTGGCAGCATGAGCAGTGACGCACAAGGTAAGCGGACCGAAAACTATTACACTTGGCATCCACGGGGCCTTACCCGCATAGGTATCTTGCCTTCCACGTGGCTTGACTCTTGCACCCCTGCTGCTACCCCTTGTTATTCTGTTGCTGCTGCAGTATCTGCGACTAATCCCACTCTTGCTGCTCCTTGTGCCCATTCCTTCACCCTCTCCTTGCCTCCTCACCCACCATTTATTCGTCCATCAGCCCCTCCATCAGCCCCTTCATCCGCCCCTCCATCAGCCCCTCCATCTGCCCCTCCACCTGCCCCTCCATCTGCCCCTCCACCTGCCCCTTCATCTGCCCCTACACCTGCCCCTCCATCTGCCCCTCCATCTGCCCCTCCATCTGCCCCTCCACCCTGATTGGCATCGCAGAACCACTCTCCGCACACCTCCATGCTTGAACAAGGTGGCAGTGTCTTATTGGCCAGGGCCTGAACAAGGTGAAAGGGGGAAAAAGACAAGGAAAGCCGATCAGACAAACGGGAATGAGAGGGGATGTCAGGTAGAGGTTGCAATGAGGTGGCAACGTCCTATTGGCCGCGTCGAACCAGGTGCGACATGCAAGGGGAGGGAAAGAAAAGGATACTGGAATGAGGGGAGACCTCATTCTTCTTGTAACAGGACACGCCCAGAGGCATAAAGTACCTGCCTCGCCCCTTGCACCAGTCATAGCACCACCAGAAAATTATCCACTGACACCATCTCCCTGGGGTACGAACAATGGGAGATCTGGTTAGGGACGGGCAGGGAAAGAAGAGAAGTATCCACTGAAACCATCTCCCTGGGGATAAGATCCGGACACCATCTCCCTGGGGATAAGATCCGGACACCATCTCCCTGGGGATAAGATCCGGACACCATCTCCCTGGGGATAAGATCCGGATTTAAGATTTGAAACAAGGGAGACAAAGAGGGTGCAATTTTGAAGACAAAGCACGGCACAGAGCATGTTCCTGCACCACTCACCCTGCACCACTAATCTGTTGAGGCGGAAGCGTTCTCGGACGTCCACGAGGTGAGGCAAGAAGTGCTCTCGGACGTCCATTGAGCTTCACCATTCCCCCTGCACCTCTCACCCTTCACCACTCCCCCTGCACCTCTCACCCGTTGAGGCGGAACCATTAAGGCGGAACCACCCCCATTCAACACTCCCTGCCCTCACGCACCCGTTGAGGCGGAAGCACTCTCGGACGTCCACGAGGTGAGGCGAGGTGAAGAGCCCCGTGGTGTGACCGCTGGCCCTCAGCATGCTCTCCGCCATGGCGCACGTGGACCCCTGCTGGGGAGAGAGGGGAGGGGTTAACGAGAGTAGGGAACGGATGAACGAGGGATGAAAGCAGCACAAGTGAAGTCGCCTTGTGTGCCAGCTTGCCCTCAGCATGCTCTCCGCCATGGCGCACGTGGAGCCCTGCTGGGGAGAGAGGGGGAGATGGACGAGAGCAGGCAGGGGACGAGAGAAAGAGATGACGAGCAGAGTTGCAATCCGGCGGTGTGGCCGCTGGCCCTCAGCATGCTCTCCGCCATGGCGCACATGGAGCCCAGCGGGGGGTGGGAAAGAAGGAACGAGGAGACAGCACCTGGCCTGGGTGCTGTCTGGCGCACCTGGCTGCGCGGAGCACGCAACACTAGTTGAAGGGTGTTCTTGAGAATTCTCAAAAACACCCTGCAGCAACACTAGTTGAGTTTTGAGTCGACTCAAAAGCCAACTCGCACCTGGCTGAGGGGAGCCAGGTGAACCACGACACGAGTGAAGTGCAACGGTCCGCCGTGTTGGTTTCTTGCCTTGCCTTTGGTGCCTGCCACGTGGATGATGCTGAGCTGGTCAACTGGTCCCTCCAGGTCCAGAACCTGAGAACTAGAACAGATAAACGAATAACGGATTTCAGCTCCACGAAAAAACAGATAACTGGGAGGGGAAAAAAAAAAGCTGGAATTGTCATGCCGAAATCACTCATTAGATGAGAATTACACCAGAGACCTGACACTAAGATGGCGCCTGTCGTGGCCCGCCTGACTTAGAAAGAGTCCCCAGAGCAATCTTAGCTTGAGAGAGCAGACATTAGCTTTTGAGAGTTGCCAGACCTTAGCTTGAGAGAGCCACAGTCCAACCTTCACGTAAGAGCGCATGAGGGCGAAATCATCCGCCCAGTTTCGGCCATCGGCGCGCTTCTGCGGACTAATCAGACCGGAGAGTGCCACCAAAGCAGCCTCGTAGCCACGTGGATTCATCTCATTGGCTCGCGATTCGGACTCCATCAGCCTGTCGATTATCGGCTTCCGGGTACCATTTAGAGGATTCTGCTATTAAATGGTGGTATAAGAAACGCCGCTTGCCATATTGTGCCAGAAATACGGATATCTAGTGACCCTTGGCGGGGAATTGCGGAAAACGCTGCTGTTTGTGCGGCTCGCGACACGAGCAGAGCTGGTACGACGGACAGGTGGAAATTGCGAGAGTTAACGGCAGAGACTTGCGATGATGGACCGGCGAGGAGAGTGGCGATAGTGCGGATTGCTAGTGGCGGTTGAACGATGAGTGGAGGAAAGGAGCGCCCCGAAGAGCGAACGATGATCATCTAGCCATGGGTGGGACGGAAGCTATGCGGAAATCTGTGCCTGCTAGGTAATATGTGTGGAGCCGAATTCCAAAGGCTGGTGGAATTGCGGAGCGGATGGAAGGTGCTGGCAATTGTGTGAGTGTTGGGGAAAGTGCTTGGGGTAACCGTACACTTGTTGGGCTGGCGAAACTGGCCCAGGTACAACGATTTGATAGTTTCCTCGCGTAACAGTTCGTGCATGTGCGCGTTTTCCTTCTTTGGCCTGCACGATTATGTTTGCGGAAACTCTGTTGCGTTCAGGTAGGCCAACGACGAGTTTCTAATGTCGCAGCACAGAACTGGCCGCTTCAGAAGTTTTCGCCTCCGCTTTCGCTTTCGCATCCCGGATCTCGCGCCGCCAATACTTTCGCGAAACTTGCTTGTATGAGACGATCAGTTTCTTCAACGAGACGATCGGTTGGTAGGTAGGGACAGCCGCCACGGGACTTCTGATATGAGCTTCTAGGAAGCACTAGTCCAGGTCGAGGCGCGTTTCTTGCGAAGCCTGAACCATGCTCCGTCATATACATTATAATCGCTGAAATGGGCAATTACGGGTACTTCACTAGCGAGTACGTGGTTAGCGGTTCGCGGTTCCCATTCCGTGCGTGGTTCTTGCTTCTTTTGCTTGTCCCAGCTTTCCTCCTGGTTTCAGTTTTAGGGTTACCTGACCGAGTAACAGACGAAAGGACGAATGTAATCACTCAAGATAACGACAATGACGAGGACAGACCTAGGGTTCCTGCACGCAGTTTACCCCGTCGTTTGCCTACCAACTGGCTGAATGTTGACCATGCACCGTCCCTAACCCATACTACTGTTCTGCGCTCGAAATACATTGTTTCCGCGGAAACGAGCGAAAACAGGTTACCCGAGGGTGGGGATCGTCGTCTTGGCGTGACGACCGCCGTCGCGAATACAGACACGGATGGATTGCGAGGAGGAGATTTAGGTGACCGTGAGGGTCACTACCATCGCCGTAGTACCACGGCTGCGCCTGCGGCTGCTGCTGCGACTTCTTCTGCGACTGCTTCTGCGACTGCTGCTGCGATTGCTGCTGCGAATGTTGCTGCGGCTTCTGTTGAGCTATCGGAGAGCCACCGGTGGTTGCGTGGAGAAGCAGAGAGAGAGTCTGCTGGTTCAAGCGATGTGAGCGACGCTGTTTCAGGCACTGTTGATGTGAGCGACGCTGTTACAGGCACTGTTGATGTGAGCGACGCTGTTACAGGCACTGTTGATGTGAGCCGTGCTGCAACTGGAGCTGCTGCGTCTGCTGCTGCGGAGAGTCGTCGGTGGTTGCGCAGAGAACCAGATACGGGCACTGATGTGAGCGGTGCTGCAGCGGCTTCTGTTGAGCCCTTAAAGAGTCGTCGGTGGTTGCAGGGAGAACCAGATACAGGCACTGCTGCTGCTGCCGTCGGGGATGGGGACGGGGATGGGGACGGGGATGGGGACGGGGATGGGGATGGGGATGGGGATGGCGATGGGGATGGGGATGGCGATGGGGATGGGGATGGGGATGTGGATGGGAATGGGGATGGGGATGGGGATGGGGAAGGGAAGGGGGATGGGGATGGGGATGGGGTTGGGGATGGGGATGGGAATGGGAAGGGGGATAAGAAGTCGGATGGGAATGGGGATGAGGAGAGCGAGAATGGAGGCGTCAACGTGGAGGATGATGGGAGTGGTGATGGGGACGACTCAAGTGATGTATCTGACGGAGATGGGCAGGGCAATGAGACGGGATATGGGGAAGGAGGTGGGATGGGAGATGAGAAGGAGGAGGAGAATGGAGGAAACTGTCAAGGCAGTGGGAATGATTCTTCAGGAAGTAGTTATATGGCAGGTAATGAGGAGGGTATGGGCAGGAGTGGTAGTGGGGAAGGCAATGAGGAAAGTAAGGAAGGGGATAGTGATGGGGAAGACAGTGAGGAGGAAGGAGGGAGTAGCATTGATGGGCAAGACCACGAGGATTCGAAAGGGAGTGATAATGGGGAAGACAATGGGGAGGATAAGGAAGAGAGTGATAATGGGGATCATGATGAGGAGGACAAGGACAAGGGATGGAGTAGTGATGCGCAAGACAGTGTGGAGGGATTAAGTAGCACAGATGGGCGAGATAATGAGGATTCGGAAGGGAGTGATAATGGAGAAGGTGACAAGGAGGATAAGGCAGCAGAAAAAGCAAGGAGGAAGGAGGAGAAGAAGAAACGGGCAGAAGAGAAGGCAAGGAGGAAGGAGGAGAAAAAGAAACGGGCAGAAGAGAAGGCAAGGAGGAAAAGGGAGAAAGAGAAACGAAAGGCAGAGAAGGCAAAGAGAAAGGAGGAGAAGAGAAGGGAAGCTGAGAAGGAAGCAGAGCAGCAGGAAGGAGAGGAGAAAGTGGAGAGAGGGGAGCAGCAGGGGGACGGGGAAACTCAGCAAGAGGACAAGCATCTCTTGGAAGAGGAGATGAGTTCAGAGTCGGGCAACTCAGAGACACAAGGGCAGGCAGGGGAGGAGGTGAAGGAGGAGGGAGAGTTAGGAGAAGATGCAAGTGCGAGGAAAGACGAGGAGGAAGGAGAGATGCCGGAGGGGAATGGGGAGGGAACGCAAGGTGAGAATTCTGGTGACCCAGGGACTGGTAATGGTGGTGCAAGTGGCGGTGTCGATCCTGCAGAGAGAGAGAAAGCTCAGGAGGAGGAAGGGAAGTTGCCAGAGGGGAGTGAGAAGGGAACGCAGGGCGAGGATTCTAGTGACCTAGGGACTGGTAATGGTGGTGCAAGTGGTGGTGTCGGTCCTGCAGAGAGTGAGGAAACTAATAAAGGTGATGGCAGTGGGGCTGATGGTGGGAGTGGTGAGGTTGAGAACGGTGAGGGTGACAGTAGTGCAGGGGAGGGCGGAGGTGAAGAGCATGATGACTGGCAGAAGTCTGCCTCTGTTGCTTCAGGCAGTGGCAGTGACCAAAGCAGTGGCGAAGCGGCTGTTGGGGAAGATTCGGGAGGTGGTGTGAGTGATTCTGGTGAACCCAGCAGGGAGGGTGAGAATAATGAGGGAAAGGGGAATGAGGAGGAGGGGGGTGAATCAGGCGGAGAGGGAGAGGGCAGTAAGAACGAGGAAAGTCAAGGGCAAGGAGTTTCAGAGGTGGAGGGAGGAGAGGAGAGCTGGATGTTTGGATGGGGAGCGAATAAGGATGCTGGTTGGTTGGAGGAGTCTGGAGAGACTGATGTGACGGATATCCGTGTCGCTCCACAGTTCAGAAGCAGCCTCAAATCGACTGATGCTAACACACTGACAGGCGTCTCAAAGCTGCTGAAGGAAGAGAAACAGTTGCCGTAAGGGGAGATCTGTAGTAATCCAATCTTTTGGGTATTTTCCTAGTTATACGAGAGATCTTCTTGTGTAATGCGGAAGCTTGTAGCGCTGTAGATTGTGAAAGCCCAGTAAAAATGAGCGGGTGGTGATTCCTCTGTTTGGTCGACAGCCAATCACTTGGCGAGCGCCTGAGTATCACCCCTCGCTTCGCGGTGCGAAACCGGAATTTTCCAAATTCTACAAATTGCAGCCAGGGGGAAGGGGTCAGGTGCTTTTCTCCACACCTCCCTTCCCCCAGGAGGAGTCACAGCCAGGGGGAAGGGGTGGAAGCTACATTTATCCACCTTGCGGTGTGGTGTGGGGGAGGGCATAACTCTAAGCCTGCCCGAGCAGACACTCGGCACTTGGTTTTGGGCAGTTCTCTGCATTTCCGTCCAATTGCTTTGGGTTAGGAGATCCTTCCACGTTGGCAAAATCCAATTCATTGGTCAGCGAAAATCGTTTCAGGGCTGACCGTGCTGAATAAACGGAGGAGAACAAGACATTTCAACGTGACCGACGGGACGGCTCGTCGCGTCACTCAACACTCCAATCCTCCCATTTCAAGTTCTGCACTTGGACGTCACAACGTAAGTCTTGCTGCTCACGCTGAGCAGATTTACGAGGACGTCACATTTATGTGCTAAAATGTGAAACACAGCCAGGCCAGCAGCATTAGATTCCCTGAGCGTCAGTGCTTGCCCGCATACCTAAACTTACGCCAGCTCCGCCGCGAGCTTCATAAGCCAAGCCAGCTAGACGCATTCGGCGCGCAATGGCTCGCAGGATTCCGTCGATGGCGCCCGGTGTCTTCGCGGTAGTAATGCTCGTGGCCTCTGTCGGAGCGCATCTCGCGCCGAGCGCAGCGGCGGAGACAGCTGCTGTGCCGTGCATCGCGTCGGCGGTCGCGGGTTACAACGTCGCAGTGTCTCTCGGCGACAGGTGAGCTCAGCTGGGGACACGTCGCAGTGTCTCTCAGCTCGCCGCGATGCGATAATCATTCTGTACCACTGGCAGAGTTTTGATGCGCCGCCTCAACTTGAAATGATCATCTTGAATTACTCTGGCAAAACCACTCTGCAGTGCTGAGCGTGCTGAGAGACACTGCGTGCTGAGCGTGCTGGGGACACGTGTCCTATATTATTAGTAGTACGATGATCGCGTGTTGTCTGCACCCGTCGGCATCACCATAGTACGACGCGCGTGCTAGCAGCGTACTCGCCATAGTACGGCGCGCGTGGTAGCAGCCTACTCGCCATAGTACGGCGCGCGTGCTAGCAGCCTGCTAGCCATCTGCCATGGATCCGCGGGCATAGATCTGCCGGCATAGCCGGGCTGGTAACGGCGTAGCACCCTGAGGCTGCATCAGTTCCACTGCTTACGCGTCGATCTCCGGGGCGCCTCGAAAGACATACCATGCGTCGTTACAGTTCACCGCGTCGCTTCCACCCCTTGAATTACGTTTTCACGGTGGCGCTTCCACACGCCGCTGTATGGACACTTTCTCGGTCCTCAGATAACCGTGTCGCTGCCATCCCTCAGATAACTCTGCTGCCGACACGGCTTGACCGATCTTACGTGCCCCACCTAGCCACGTGGACATTGCCGAATCTTCTCTATTCCCCGCGATCAGCTCGTGCCTCCCCCGACGTTAAACCCAGCCTCGGACTCGTTCTCCCGCCTCACCGTTCCTTAGAGATATTGAACCCGGCCAGCCTCACGCTCTTTATTGAGTATTCTCAAATACCGCTCAGTCTCGTTCTCCCGTCTCACCGTTCCCCAGAGATGTTGAACGCTCTTTAATGGGAATTCACAAATACCGCTCAGTCTCGTTCTCCAGTGTCACCAGTCAGGGAATTTTTCGGTCTATTCGAGTTGTGTGCTCATTCCCCCTTGTGCTATCCATGCGGTCGAGTATTGAGAATTGTCAAATATCGCTCAGCCTCGTTCTCCAGTGTCACCGTTGCCCTCAGTTTCTTATTGAGATTGTTCAGTGCCTTCAAGTTGCTCGCTCTTTCCGCCTTCTTCTTCTCCGTGCCGCGCTCTCTTGAATTCGCCTTTCCCAAGCCTGATGTTGTACACTCACTAAACAGTGAACATTCCTCTCTCTCTCTCTCTCTCTCTCTCTCTCTCTCTCTCTCTCTCTCTCTCTCTCTCTCTCTCTCTCTCTCTCTCTCCTCTCTCTCTCTCTCTCTCTCTCTCTCTCTCTCTCTCTCTCTTTCACACACTCACTCACACACACTCACTCTCTCACACACACACACACACAATTACGCCCTCCCCCAGTCTCATTCTGCACTGGATGACACCCAACTCAACCACACTCAACCTCCTCCTAGAGACCATCGTGCCAGGCTGGGCGGCAGTGGGGTGGTCAGCGGACGGGAAAATGGTCGGCAGTGACGCGGTGGTGGGCAACACGGGTGACCCACCCACTGTGAAACCGTACAAGCTCACTTCCACTTCACCCGGCGGTCAGAACCCCGTTACTTCTTTCGAGCTTGGCGAAACGTCTGTGACCACGGATGGCGATTCAACTTATATTAAGTGAGTGAGGGCTGTTTCAATAGTAACGGAGAATTGCAGTGAATGTTAGAATGGTGGTGATGATAGCAACAATGGTGAGGCGGCATCACGCTGAGATAACAAAATCATAAAACCAGAGTTGTAACACGCAACTTGTAACACCAAGCATATAACACCAATCTGTAACAACATGCAGGGGTTCAATTTGTGCACACCTTTCTGGTGACATTTGTGTGGAATTTTTTGTTTTCTTGCACACAATGCAAGCGGGATATTCCAGTAAGGCTTTCTGATCTTCAACTCCAGAAGCAGCACCAATCACCACCAATCAACCATGTTTTTTCGGGTGCTCCTCGCTGCAGATTCTCACGCACGGAGGGCACAGGGGACGTGCCTGTGAAGCTGTCCGGCCCCTCGGCAATCATCTATGCCTCCTCGCCAGACATCTCCACGACTTTAGCCTACCACGGCCCTTCAAGGTACCCCTCACCTTTCTCTAATCCAAACCACGGCGCTCATGCACTTGTGGCTTCACCTTCTGAACCTGCCCTTTTTTTTAGGCGCCTCTCCTACCATCTTTTGAGGCGCCTCAACGATTTTCTCCAGTCTAAACAACGGTTCTGATGCTCTTGGTTTCACCTGCTGGACCTGCCCTCTCGCCCTGCCTGCTACATCACCATGCAAGCATTTCAGTGAAACCCTCGTTTCTTAAACCGCTCACTTAAGTGTGTGTTTTTTGCTGCTTTCAGGGGATCGGCGGTTGTAGATTTCTCGTGCAAGGTGAAAGAACCAGCACCAGCACCAGCAGCACCTGCCACACCACCTGCCACACCACCTGCCACACCACCTGCCACACCACCGGCACCACCCTCAGGCTCTTCACCTCCCACTGGCAGCACCAGTTCCCCACCACCCCCTTCACCCACGCCAGCACAGCCAACACCCAGCCCTTCACCACCCCCTTCATCCACGCCTGCGCAGCCAACACCCACCGCTCCTCCACCACCACCGCCCAAGGCAGGGAGCCAGGCTGTTTATCATGCTCATTGGCTGCTACCTGTGGCTCTGATTGCTGGGCTCATTCCTTATCTAGTGGGCATGGCTTGATGCAGTGTGGGTAGTCAATGACATGTAATGCAGTGGTGGCGCCGGGCTGGGGCTGATGATGTGACTATTCTTGGCGCTCTGCAAACTTGAAGCAGCCTTAAATCGACCGATGGGAACACACTGACAAATGACGTGAAGCTGCTGAAAGACGAGAAGCATTTGCCAGAAGTAGATATCCATGATGGGCCATCTGAATTTTGTTACGGTATTCTCTTATTTAGTGTTTTGATGAACGTTTAGGCCTTCCAGGTTGAAACGAAGGCGAGAGTCAATGACCTTTCTATCATCGTCCCCGCTACACGGTACAAAACCGTACAACCTAATGTGAAGGCTTGGCCAATGACCTCCTCTTTCAACCAAGCGAAAGAATCAATTCCCCCTTGGGCAAGGGTTCAACATTAAACCCTTGACCTGCCCACAAAAGTACGGCATGTGGTTTTGGGCATTCCACAACACTTCTATCCAAACATTTGGGGTAACAGACCTTCACAATCTCAAAAAAGTCACGCTATTGGTCCGTAACAATTCCTGATGCTGACCGCGACGATGTAATCAGCGGTTTCAGAGTGCCCGCCGATTCGTCGTCGTCACCCTCAAGGCTCTTTCATCTCAGCACAACTCGAAGCCCCACAACCAAGCAAACCAACCAGGACTTTCCAACTATCCGAATTGTGTGATCCAGCATCCGCGCCGCGACGTGGTGGTTCTCACTCCGACGATCAGTTTTGTGACGATGTCACATTCTAGCAGCACCTAGTTTTTTTGAGCGACATGGAGGTAGCGCCCCTGTGCATGAGCGGCGCCACCTACTTGATAGCACGCACTCGGCGGCCAATGGCCGGCAGGATTCCGTCAACGGCGCCTGCTGTAGTCACTATCCTGCTCGTGGCGTTCGTCGGCGCGCAATTCGCGCCGAGAGCGGCGGCGCAAGATGCTGAACCGTGCATCGCATCAACTATTAAAGGGTACAACATCGCGGTGCAGCTGGGCAGGTGAGGGCAGCTGCCAGGCATAGCGAAGACGATGCTGTGCGATTGAAGCATCACTCGCGATGTTTCGCGATGACCATGATGTGCGACTAAAGCATCGCTTCTCGCGATGCTTCGCGATGACCATGCCGTGCGACTGGCAGGCAGCACCATGCCGCGGCAGTGCTAAGCAATCACAATTGCGATCCGCAGTGATGATTACGATCATTGCGTAGTAGTGTGTCTGCAGCACCCCGTCAGCATCGCCCGATTTCGATGTGCATGCTCTCTAAGCGAACTCGCCTCGCCATCTGGCAGATGATCCAGATGCGTTAAGAGCGAACTCGCCTCGCTGTGGCGGATCGAGTGAGCATGGATCTGCCAGCATACATGCTTATGTCACGCCCTGGGGATGAGTATATTCTCGAGTCGACAAAAAAAAATCCTTATCACACGCGGATTGAGTGAGCATCGATCTGCCAGCATACATGCTTATGTCACGCCATGGGGATGCATGATGCATCCAACCCGCTGCTTACGCCTCTCTTTTGAGTCGACTCAAAACGAGGTGACTTTTGAGTCGACTCAAAAGTCACCTTGATTATGTCGCGCCATGGGGATGCATCCAACCCGCTGCTTACGCCTCTATTTATGGGGCTCCTGGAAGAGCACAGCGGGGTTTATCTCATCCAATGCATACGCGTTGCTTCCACGAATCAGCTGACGTTTTCACTGTGGCGCATCCGCTTGAGGCAGGGTGACATAGCTTCTATTCTATTGCTACTCGTATTCGTCGTAATAATGGTGGTAAATTTAGCCATTTTCTTCTCGGATTCTTCCCAATAAACCTCTACAATATATAGGGTTAGCTATCTGCTGCATGAGATACAAGCGAGCAAGCAAAGGTTCTGGCAGAATCCTGATGTTCCAACACAGCTTGACCAGAACTACATGCCCCGCCCAGCCACGTGGATGTCGCCGAGTTTGTGGTTGTCCCCGATGTTGAGCCCAGCCCCGGTCCATATTTTGAGCACAACGTAGGGGACAATGGGACATCGTGGCTATAGTGCCGGCGGAGCGGCACCTATTCATAGTCTCCGTGGGCCGCTCTTGCCTCCAGGTGACTTTTGAGTCGACTCAAAGTCACCTCTGTGCCAGTGGTTGTCCCCGACGTTGAGCCCAGCCCCGGTCTATATTTTAATTTAAGCACCTATTTATAGTCTCCATGGGCCGCTCTTGCCTCCCACAACGATGATGATCCAAGGCGCAATCTCATTCCCCTCTGCCCATTCCCAGAGACAGTTCAGTTTCTTTGTTCGAATTGCACGCTCATTTTCCTAGTCACATTTCCTTTGTTGTGCTTCTCCCTGCGTTCTCTCACACGTGCCTGTCCCAAGCCTGAGGTCGTGTACTCACTGAACTCGCCCCAAATGTGCCATCTCTCTCTCTCTCTCTCTCTCTCTCTCTCTCTCTCTCTCTCTCTCTCTCTCTCTCTCTCTCTATCTCTCTCTCTCTCTATCTCTCTCTCTCTCTCTCTCTCTCTCTCTCTCTCTCTCTCTCTATCTATCTCTCTCTCTCTCTCTCTCTCTCTCTCTCTCTCTCTCTCTCTCTCTCTCTCTCTCTCTCTCAAATGCGCCCGCCCCCAGCAACTTTCTCCACTGGATGACACCCAACTCAACCACACTCAACCTCCTCCTGGAGTCCACATCACCTGGCTGGGCGGCAGTGGGGTGGTCAGCGGACGGTAGAATGGCCGGCAGTGACGCAGTGGTGGGCAACACAGCCAATCCGACCACTGTGCAAGCTTACACGCTTAGTTCTACCTTCCTAGGCGGTCAGAACCCGACCACTTCTTTTGAGCTTGGCAACACGTCTGTGACAGCCAACGGCGACTCGACTTATATCAAGTGAGTGAGTGCTGTAATGAGAGTAACGGACACAGTTCGAGGCACCTTAAAATGGCTCTGACGCGGTGGTCGGCAACACGGGTACTCCAGCCACTGTGCAAGCGTACACCCTCATTTCCAACTTACCCGGCGGTCAGAACCCAACCACTTCTTTCGAGCTTGGTGACACGTCTGTGACTGCGAATGGCGACTCGACTTACATCAAGTAAGTAGGGGGTTTGGTGAGATTAACGGACACAACACAGTGCATGTTAGAATGATAGTGATGGTGATGCGACATCAGGACGAAATGCCATAAGTTATAACACCAAAGTAGTAACACCCAAGCTGTAACACCAAACATTTAGCAGCACGCTGCAACTTCGAGCAGGTTACAATTTGTGCACACTTTTCTGGTGTGGCTGTTACCAATCACTCGTGTTTCACTGGCCGTGCCCGGCTGCAGATTCTCGCGCACCGAGGGCACCGAGGACGTGCTTGTTTTGAGTCGAATCAAAACATGTTTCACTCATGCTTTACTCAACTTGTCTGGCTGCAGGTTTTCTCGCACGGAGGGCACAGGGGACGTGCCTGTGAAGCTGTCTGGCGCCTCTGCAATCATCTATGCGTCCTCACCAGATGGCTCCAATACTCTATTCTACCACGGCCCCTTGAGGTACGACATTTGATGCGCTTAAAAAAACGAGGGCACAGGGGACATGCCTGTGAAGCTGTCCGGCGCCTCTGCGATCATCTATGCTTCCTCACCAGACGGCTCCAAGACTTTTTTCTACCACGGCTCCTCAAGGTCTGAACCAGAGTGCTGATTTTTATGTGCAACTTCGCCTGCTGGAAATCCCCTCTCGCACTGCCACATCTACATGCAATGCGCATTTCAGTGAAAACCCGTTGTCCGAAACGGCTGACTCAATTGTAATTTTTTTATTGTTGCAGGGGATCAGCGGTTGTTGATTTCTCCTGCAAGGTGGAAGGAGCAGCACCAGCACCAGCACCACCTGCCACACCACCCTCAGCCTTGCCGCCCCCCACCGGCAGCACCAGTTCCCCACCACCCCCTTCACCCACACCAGCAGAGCCAACACTTAACCCTTCCCCACCTCCACCATCGCCAAAGGCTGGGGCGTTGGCTTTCATTAATGCACACTGGATGGCGCATGTGGGACTGGCTGCTGGGCTCCTTCCCTATCTGCTTCGCATGGCCTGAGGTAGTGGGTTATAATTGATGTGTGATCAGGTTTTTGATTTGAATTGATGATGTGCATCATTTTTTCTTATGCACAAACCTGGGAATGACAAACGGTTGGAAAGCCTTGGACGGAACACTCCTAGGGGAAATTTCGTAAGCTGTAGTTGCCCTGAGTAATATACTAATGTTAGTTGCCAACTACATTTCTGAAGCCACACCTTGCGATATGTGGAGTAATTTTGCAGGTTCCAAATGCAACAGAAAAAACAAGATTCGACGTTTACGTCGGAAGGGTTGCGTAGAGTTGTATCCCTTGTGTTAGAAACATTATTATAGAGTACATTATACCGTATTCTCCCGGACATAACACCCGGGGGTATTATGACAACCACAGTGAAAAAAGGGGGGGGGGTCCTCTCAACGGAAAATCCTATATAATACCCGGGTGGTTATATATGGTAGTGTTTCAATGGTCGTTCTAGCATCACAGTTTGAGGCGAGAATGTAAGTTTTGGCGAGAATGTGAGTTTCACCATTCGGGCCACTTGCAGCGGAAGATTCGCCAGCGTGGCGACTTCCTAGAATGTGGGATGGGGGAAATGTCCACTTGCAGCGAAAGATTCGCCAGGGTGGCGACAGTGAGATTGTGGGGGGGGGGGGAAATGTCGGCGGATTCTAAGTGCAAGTACACGCGAAATTTCATTTAGGAAGCAATTCTTGCGATATTCTCCTGTAAGGAATCAGACTCGATAACAGCTATAATAGGAATCCGTAAGAAAAGGGGGGTGTTATAGAAAATCATCCAAAAAGGGGGGTATAGTAGAAACGAGGTCGCCCATAGCACCCACCCCGCACAAGCTACCCCGGGGTGTACTATCATGGGGGGGTGTTTTGTCCGGGAGATTACGGTAATTACATTTTGCTTATAGAAGCAATTCATTAAGTTTTTCATTTTTTCTTAAAACATGACAGGCTCTATAGTTTGTCGAAATAGCTAGGCAAAAGTTAGAAACATGAAAGAAGGGATTTCACTAGCAGGCAGTTGAGTACATTGTGAAAGTGTACTTAGGCTGACTTGCAAAGGCAGCGTTATCATTTCATATGGGTAGTAGTACATCGTTCTCGTCTTATATATGTCTACATAACAGCATACACAAATGGGTGGGCGGGTGGGAAATGAGAACTACAATTTTGAAAATGAAAACGTGGGTGGGGACGAATGTCCCCACGTCCCTCTTTTGTAGGCAAAAGAGGGTGAGTAGCGCTTCGGCGCTACCTTTGCTGTGTTGGCCACGTACCCCTTTTCACAATACAAAATTTTAGAAAGTGTTACATTTCATTACACTTTCAAAATTTATAATGTATAACAAACCCTAATTCGGGCTGTACTCGCTATAGAGTACCCCACTGCAGGCTAGACAAACATCACATTATGACACACCCCCATAGTCAAAGTGAGGTATAATCAGTACAGCAAGCAGGCAGAGCAGTAGGTTCAAAAATACAAGCAAAGATAGAGGCAGTCACAGAGGTCAAGTGAGGAGGAGGAGGAATTGTGAGAGGAGTGGAGATAGGAGGCGTCGGGTGAAGCCGCAGACACACGGGCAACAGGAACGGCGCGCACGGTGGCTACCGGAGCACTCAACCTCCGGACTACAGGAGTAACTGGCTCCGCGCTAAGCAGCAGCAGGAGCAACAGACCCACGGGCGACTGGCAGCAGCAGGCTCGTTGGGCTACCGGAGTACTCAACCCCCGGACTACTGGCGCTGCTGACGTCACAACGGCTACCTCCGGTCAACCTCCCCAACCGTCCCACACCCCTTTCACACACCCCTTGTTGAACCTCTAGCACCGCTCACACACCACCCCCCTCGTACCACTCCAACGGCTCCAACACATCCACCCTCCTTAGCGGCAGCTGCAACAGTGAGAGACGGAGGAGGAGGAGGAGCAGGGGACGGCTCACACACCCGGCACCCCCATACTCTCCACCCCCAAACCCTAACACAGGAGCGCGGGCAGCAGCGGGGGTGGGGCGCGGTCAGAAGCTCGGGGGACGGCGTGCGGCACTGGGGCAGACTGTACGGGCCGCGCACGGGCCTGGCGCAGGCCGGACGAATCGCGCGCGGGCTGCCTGGGCCGCGCGCAGGCCTGTCGCGGGCCGCGTCGGGCAACGGGGGGCGACGCGCGGGTCGACGGGGCTGAAAACCGTCGCGCGCGCCACGCGCCCTGAGCGCGCGGCAGGCAGGAAACATCGCGCGCCCGGGGCGTGCGATAGGCAGGACAGCAGCAGAAGAATCGGATGGGACCACCCACAGGATCGACCCAGGAGTGTCGACCTGCTCTGATAGCATGTCGAAATAGCTAGGCAAAAGTTAGAAACAAGAAAGAGGGGATTTCACTAGGAGGCAGTTGAGTACATATAGCAAACCCTAATTCGGGTTGTACTCGCTGTAGAGTACCCCACTGCAGGCTAGACAAACATCACATTCTGACATAGTTCCCTATTATGAAGAAAAATGTTGTATAGAATTTTCTTCCCTTAATATTGTTTTCAGTGTTAATTGATTATGGAACACTCTGGACAATTATGTTTTTTTTTGTAAATTTAATAAGCATGATTTGAATTCACCAACAACTTATCTCCACTATTCAATCAAGTTATTATAGCGGATTGAACGTTTGTAACTATAGTGTATCTGATGTGTCAGCTAGTTGGATGACGTTGGGTGGCATAATGCCCTCGTTCTGCGCTGGCAGAAGTTTTCTCGTTCTGTGCTGGCAGAAGTTTTCTCGTTCTGCGCTGGCAGAATTTTTCTCGTTCTGCGCTGGCCGAATTTTTCTCGTTCTGCGCTGGCATCCGTCTCTTTCACAGCTCGAATTCGGCGCTGTCTTTTCTTTGGTTCTTCTTCTTGGTTCCTCTCGACAAGCACCTGCTCTGCTCCTACTCCTTTTCCTCCCCCCCACCCCAATGTCTCGCCAGTTCTTCTCCCACCCAGCCGTTGCTCTCGCTCCCATCCAGCCGTATCCTCTCCCTCACTACCGGCCGTCTCCATCCACCCTGCCATCTCCTCTCCCTTACCTCCCCGCCGTCGCCTCTCCCTCCTCCCCGCCATCACCTCTCCTCCTCCCCGCCGTCGCCTCTCCTCCTCCCCGCCGTCGCCTCTCCTCCTCCCCGCCGTCGTCTCCTCTCCTCCTCCCCGCCGTCGCCTCTCCTCCTCCCCGCCGTCGCCTCTCCCTTACCTCCCCGCCGTCGCCTCTCCCTCCTCCCCGCCGTCGCCTCTCCCTCCTCCCCGCCATCGCCTCTCCTCCTCCCCGCCGTCGCCTCTCCTCCTCCCCGCCGTCGCCTCTCCTCCTCCCCGTCGCCTTCTCTCCTCCTCCCCGCCGTCGCCTCTCCCTCTTCCCCGCCGTCGCCTCTCCCTTACCTCCCCGCCGTCGCCTCTCCCTCCTCCCCGCCGTCGCCTCTCCCTCCTCCCCGCCGTCGCCTCTCCTCCTCCCCGCCATCGCCTCTCCTCCTCCCCGCCGTCGCCTCTCCTCCTCCCCGCCGTCGCCTCTCCTCCTCCCCGCCGTCGCCTCTCCTCCTCCCCGCCGTCGCCTCTCCCTCCCTCCCGCCGTCGCCTCTCCCTCCTCCCCGCCATCGCCTCTCCCTCCTCCCTGGCGTCGCCTCTGGCGACACGTGCACGAGCGCAAGCGCGAGTTGGTGCGCGAGGGCGGGTCGGTGCGCGAGCTCGGGTGGGTGCGCGAGCGCTGTTTGGTGCGCGTGCGCGGGTTGGTGCCAGCGAGGGTTGTTTTTTGAGGCATTGTAATTATCAGGTGCGTTCTCAGTCCTTTAATCCTCCCGCCCCCTTATATTTTTATTTTCTGCTCGCCTCGTAATTTTTGCTAGTCAATTCGTCTCCTCTTGCATTGCACTTCTATTTAAAGAAGAGGAGCGCGAGGGGGAGCGTGTGCACGGGAGCGCGTGAGAGTGCGCATGCGAGAGCGCGTGCAAGAGCGCGTGAGAGAGTGCGTGAGAGAGCACGTGAGAGAGCGCGCGAGGGAGAGTGTGAGAGCGTGTGAGAGTGCGCGTGAGAATGCGCGTGAGAGTGCACGTGAGAGTGCGAGTGAGAGAGCGCGAGCGCGTGAGAGAGCGCATGAGAGTGCGCGTGAGAGAGCGCGTGAGGGAGCGCGCGAGAGAGTGGGTGAGAGAGCGCGTGAGGGAGCGCGTGAGAGAGCGAGTGCGCGTGAGAGTCCACGAGAGAGAGCGCGTCAGAGAGCGCGTGAGAGAGCGCATGGGAGTGCGAGTGGGAGTGCGCGAGAAAGAGCGCGTGACAGAGGGAATGCGCAAGAGAGTGCGCGAGAGAGAGCACGTGAGGGAGTGCGTGAGAGCCCGTGAGAGAGCGCGTGAGAGAGCGCGTGAGAGAGTGCGTGAGAGAGTGCGTGAGAGAGCACGTGAGAGAGCGCGTGTCAGAGAGCGCGTGAGAGAGTGCGTGAGAGAGTGCGTGAGAGAGCGCGTGAAGGAGCGCGTGAGAGATTGCATCAAAGAGCGCGTGAAGGAGCGAGTGAGAGATTGCATCAAAGAGCGCGTGAGAGTGTGCGAGAGAGTGTGCATGAGAGAGCGCGTGAGAGAGAGAATGCGCGAGAGAGTGCGCGAGAGGGAGTGCGACGGAATGCGTGAGAGCCCGTGAGAGAGCGCATGAGAGATTGCGTGAGAGAGCATGTGAGAGAGTGCGTGAGAGTGCGAGTGAGAGAGCGCGTGAGAGTGCGCGTGAGGGAGCGCGTGAGGGAGAGAGCGTGTGCGAGAGTGCGTCAGAGATCACGTGAGATCGCACGTGAGAGAGTGCGAGAGTGCGCATAAAAACGTGCATGAGAGAGCGCGTGAGAGAGCGCGTGGGAGTGCACGAGAAACAGCGCGTGACAGAGGGAATGCGCAAGAGAGTGCGCAAGAGAGAGCACGTGAGGGAGTGTGTGAGAGCCCGTGAGAGAGTGCGTGAGAGAGCGCGTGAGAGAGTGCGTGAGAGAGTGCGTGAGAGAGCATGTGAGGGAGCGCGTGTCAGAGAGCGTGTGAGAGAGTGCATGAGAGAGTGCGTGAGAGAGCGCGTGAAGGAGCGCGTGAGAGATTGCATCAAAGAGCGCGTGAGAGTGTGTGAGAGAGTGTCCGAGAGAGTGTGCATGAGAGAGCGCGTGAGAGAGAGAATGTGCAAGAGAGCGCGCGGGAGAGCGCGTGAGAGAGAGAATGCGCGAGAGAGTGCGCGTGATGGAGCGCGTGAGAGTGCGCTTGAGAGAGCGCGTGGCGTGAGAGAGCGTGTGCGAGAGTGCGTCAGAGAGCGCGTGAGATCGCGCGTGAGAGAGCGCGAGAGTGCGCATAAACGCGCGCATGAGAGAGCGCGTGAGAGAGTGCGTGGGAGTGCGCGAGAAACAGCGCTTGACAGAGGGAATGCGCAAGAGAGTGCGCGAGAGAGAGCACATGAGGGAGTGCGTGAGAGCCCGTGAGAGAGCGCGTGAGAGAGTGCGTGAGGGAGTGCGGGAGAGAGCAAGTGAAAGAGCGCGTGTCAGAGAGCGTGTGAGAGTGCGTGAGAGAGTGCGTGAGAGAGTGCGTGAGAGAGCGCGTGAAGGAGCGCGTGAGAGATTGCATCAAAGAGCGCGTGAGAGTGTGCGAGAGAGAGTGCGAGAGAGTGTGCATGAGAGAGCGCGTGAGAGAGAGAATGCGCAAGAGAGTGCGCAAGAGGGAGTGCGACGGAATGTGTGAGAGCCCGTGAGAGAGCGCATGAGAGATTACGTGAGAGAGCATGTGAGAGAGCGCGTGAGAGTGCGCGTGAGAGAGCGCGTGAGAGGGCGAGTGAGAGTGCGAGCGAGAGAGCGCGTGAGAGAGTGCGCGAGAGAGCGCGTGAGAGTGTGTGTGATAGAGAGAATGCGCGAGAGAGTGCGCGTGAGGGAGCGCGTGAGAGTGCGCTTGAGAGAGCATGTGAGAGAGCGTGAGAGAGCGTGTGCGAGAGTGCGTCAGAGAGTGCAGGAGAGAGCGCGTGAGAGTGCACGTGAGTGTGCGTGAGTGTGCACGTGAGAGTGCACGTGAGGGAGCGCGTGAGAGCGTGCGTGAGAGAGCGCATGAGAGAGTGCGTGAAAGAGCGCGTGAGTGAGCGAGTGAGAGCGCTTGAGTGTGCGCATGAGAGAGCACGTCAGAGAGTGTCAGAGAGCGCGTGAGAGTTCGCGTGAGAGTTCGCGTGAGAGAGCGCGTGAGAGGCGTGTGAGAGAGCGCGTGAGAGAGCGTGAGAGGGCGCGTGTGAGTGTTGACTTCTCTGTTTTTGCTTGTGCAGGGCGCGTGTTGACGTCTTTGTTTTTTCTTTGTGCAGGGCGTGTGTGTGTTGACTTCCTTGATTTTGCTTTGTGCAGGGCGTGTGTGTGTTGACTTCCCTGATTTTGCTTTGTGCAGGGCGTGTGTGTGTTGACTTCCCTGATTTTGCTTTGTGCAGGGCGTGTGTGTGTTGACTTCCCTGATTTTGCTTTGTGCAGGGCGCATGAGCTGAGAAGGGAGATGAGGGAGGGAGTGGGATGGAGATGAGGGAAGGAGGGAGGGAGGGTTGTAGGGAGGGGAAGGGATAGGCCAGCAATCATTTCTGCATTTCTGAATTTTATTCATGACGGTTGCGTCTTTATTACGGTCTCTCTATCCGTGCTTGATTGCGTGTGTGTTAGTGTGTGTTGTGCATGTGCTTATGCGTGTGTGTATGTGCGCGTGTGCGCCTATGTGAGATATGTGTGTTTGTCTGTTTGCACCTGTCTGTCTCCGTGTGCTAAAGTGCCTCGTGATGCAACTGATGTGTGATGTTAATGTGTGTCGGGTCTGCATTTGAGGTGGGGATCGTTGTTGGGGCAGCGTTGCTCGCCTTAGCATACCGGAACCACCTCTGTTGTAGCACCGATGCATTTTAGCATTCACTCACAGTTGTTTGTGTTGTTTTTGCACGTGTTATGCAACTGAGGTGTGGTGTAAAAATGTGTCGGGTCTGCACTTGAGGTGGGGATCGTTGTTGGGGCAGCGTTGCTCGCCTTAGCATACTGGAACCATCTCTATTGTAGCATCCATGCATTTTAGCATTCACTCTTAGTTGTTATGTGTTGTTTTTGCACGTGTTGAATGGATGCGCTGCACATGATTTGCGTTCACGTCCAGTAGATGTTTCTCGTCAATTGTGTTTCGTGACGACCGATTGTTCCATTCGCCGTATTTATCGGCGATCATGGAATGAGAGGTGACATCTGGTTTATTTTTTGGGGGACTCTTGGTGTCAGTGCTTTCGTCATGTCCACAACTTTGGAGCACTCTTTTTGAAAACGTTGAAACGAGGGCTTTAAACGTTGGGAAAATGACAAAAACTGCATTGTTCATTCGAGTCGACCTAAAAGTGCTACCAAATGTAATAGGGTTGCGACGCAACCCAAAAACGAATATTGATGCTTTGGTTGGCAGCTTGTTGTAGCGTATATAATGTGTATGGAACTCCTTTAAGCGCGTGTTATGTGTATCGTGACATGCAAGGTACCCTCTGTCGCGCCATTTGAGGATCCCACCTGCGTTATACATCTAGCTTGGCGGCCAAGCTTGGTAGTTCCCGAATCCCGAAAACTAGGCAGGAGGGGAGGTATGGAATGGATTTTAGGCGACATCCACGCATATTTGAACCTAGCCACTATAGTGGCCGCACACGCTCCCAGTGCGTTCATGGCTAGGGAAAGGTTGTTCCTAAGGACGGTCGTTTCAGGCCCGGTTGGATCACCACCAGACTCCCCCATGTCGCTGCCTCGCCAGCATGTGCGATTCGAACCCTGGTTCTGGCTCAGAAAATTTCCCTACTTAACAGGACGTCATGTGCTTACTGGAGTACTATCCCTTCGTCGCTCCTCTGAACTTCGAAGCCGCACCCGTCTGAACTTGGACCGTCGCACCCGGCGCCGGTGAGCATGGCTAGCAGGATTCCGACCATGCACGCGCGAGCGTCGCTCGCAGTCGCGAGCTTGCTCGCGACCTTCATCGGCGCGCTATTCGCGCCGAGAGCGGCGGCGCAGACGCCCGCATCGTGCTACGCGTCGACTCTCTTGGGATACGACGTCGCGGTGTCGCTCGGCGACAGGTGCGTTGCGTTCAGCGAATGATGCGCTCTGCCGGTGAGTGGGCACAGCTCATCCAATAGCTCGGTTCTCATCGTTTTTGTGTACAATGTTGTCCTGGCTGGTCCTGGCTGCTCCTGGTTGGTCCTGGTTGGTCCTGGTTAGTCCTGGTTAGCGGCCTGAAAGAGCTGCATCGCGATCCGGCTCGGCTCGTCCAGTGTTTGGACATGCCGCCTTGTTGGCCCCTCTCGCAGCCCTCGTCGCGCCATGTGAGCCGCGCGCCCTGGATCTCGCCGACATGAGTCTTTCTCCCTCCTGTTCATCCTCCCTCACTTCCCCCAACCCCCTTCTCCTCTCCACCCGGTCTCAACCCCCTTTCTCAAATACGCCCTTCCCCAGTCTCGTCCTCCACTGGAAGCGGTCGAACTCGACGGAACTCCACCTCGCGCTCGTGACGTCCAAGCCTGGCTGGGCGGCATTGGGATGGTCTGTGGGCGGCAAAATGGCCGGCAGCGACGCCGTGATTGGCAACACTGACGGGGCGAAGCCGATTCAGGCGTACAGGCTTGAGTCTCTCTCCATGGAAGGCGTGAAGCCAACGGATACTTTCAGCCTGGGCAACAAGACGTCAGTGACGGCTGGAAACAGCGGATCAACTGTTATTGCGTGAGTACACTTTAATTTTCTCAGCCCGGCCAATGCTGTGATTAGAAGCCCATTCAGGTGTACAGGCTTGAGTCTCTCTCCATGGAAGGCCTGAAGCCAACGGCTTCGTTCAGCCTGGGCAACAAGACGTCCGTGACGGCTGGAAACTGCGGATCAACTGTTATTGCGTGAGAACACAACAATCTTTGAGTCGGCTCAGATCTCGTACAGGCTTGAGTCTCTGTCTATGGACGGCGTGAAGCCGACAGGTAATTTTAGCCTGGGCAACGCTGTGATTAGCAGCTGATCCAGGCGTACAGGCTTGATTCAACTCTCTCCATGGAGGGCGTGAAGCCGACGGATCTGTTTAGCACGGGCAACAAGACGTCAGTGACGGCTGGGAACGACGGATCGACTACGGATACACAACGATGCAGGTGTGAGAATGTAGTGATGATTCTGCGACAGAATTCTGCAGCATTTAGCTGTAACATAATCGTTCAGATGCCATGCACACTATTGTGGTGAATCTGTTAAAATGAAAGGCTCCCAGGCGTGTCATCAATACATGTAGTGTAGGCCTGTGAGAGTGCCAGCTGGTAGCTCTGAATTTCAGCACCAAACTCCTATTTTATGTTCTCGCACACAAGGCACGGGTGATGTTCCATCGAGGCTTTTGGTTTGAAGGTCAGCCCGAGATTCAGATTTAATCATACTTGATCACCCATGTTTTGTTGAACTCGTTTGCCTGCAGATTCTCTCGCATGGAGGGCACTGGTGTTGTACCTGTGAAGCTCTCTGGCCCTTCCTCCATGATCTTCTCTTCCTCACAGGATGGCTCGAAAACTCTTGCTTATCATGGCCCTGCAAGGTACGGTGCTATCAAATGTAATTGGCACACAGCCACGCTAGTCATTCCACCGCTCCCTGTTTAACATGCGTTGCAGGTTCTATGCGAAACTTCTTGTGTTTTCCATTTGTTTAACCTGCTGGTCTTCTTTTCTTCCAGGAGGACCGAGACTGTTGATTTCGCCTGCAAGATAGGACCACCGCCGCCCCCAATGGCAGGAGGATTGGCTTTCAGCCGTGCTTTTTGGGCGGTGCCTGTTGCTCTCATAAGTGGGCTCCTTCCTTATTTCATTGGCTTGGCTTGAGAAATGCTAGTGGTTGATATATACTGTGAGATGTTATGTGAAGTGAGTGATGTTTTCAATTCCTTTTTGCAATTCGATATTATTCACTTCAATTCAAATGCACAATACACACTTGCCTGTATTCTCCACCTGGTCCTGTAATGGACCGCACTATTCTCAAGACAATGTTAGAAAACCAGCGCGTTTCGCCACATGTTTCGCAGCAGCTGAGCGGCACTGCGAAACTAGCGAGTAACTCCCAAGGTTTTTCCTATTGGCGGGAAAGCATGAATGATTTCTTTTGCGCCTTGTGGTTTACGCTTCCTCGCCAAACCTGCCGTTGTGCGGAAACCAAGCCCAAGGCTACCTTAGGCTTGATTTGGATCAAACCACAAGCTCATATTGGTTCCATACCCTTTCAACCAGTCTAGATATATAAATGACCGCTGTACAACGTAAAACACCTCATTGAGCCACATTCAGACGAAGATACAGGACACCGCCCCACCATCCCATCATTTCTCGAGTTGTTCCTGGCTCTCACACATATTAGGGGCTGATCCTACTTCACCTATCCCATTCACATTCATCACGATATCTAGTTCCACTACTCAATGCACTTCACATCAAGTGACACTTCTTTTTCTCGGGTTACTGATCACGCGCCTTTTCGGAGGTAGTTGAAGGATGTGTGATCCTCCGTAAGCGAGGACGGGCAAGGAATAGCGGCAGCGACGTTATTCTGCCGCCGTCGAACACACAACGCGAATCCAAAGTTCGGTTTCTATCCGATCTAACAATAATAATTCCTTACAGCCTTCTTAGACCAGTTCCTGAGTCTGGACTTGATGTCGCCGTAGATCTTCATCTCGCTTTCTCAGTACTAGATCCTCCTGCTCTCGATCTTTTCCAGCTCAGTCGACTTTTCGGTAGCTGGCCCTCAGAATTACTCGCAAGTTAAGCACTGCTGCATACAAGTCTCGTTCCCCCCATCTCAAGCTCGGCCAACAGCTGCGTCCATGGCGTCGCGAGATTCCGCCTCGGTGTCCGCCTACCTTCGCGAGTTCTGTCAGTACCTTGCGAGCCGCAACCTCTGGCCGCGAACCCGCGTGGATTTAGGCGCAGCCCACCAGCAATTCTCTCAGTCGCCTGGCAGAGCTGTCGTCTTACCGAATCAGCTGGTGTTTTTCCTTTTATCGAAGCACTCTTTGGCGGTCTTCCAGCAAGGCGTAGTGACGTGGCGGGAGAGGTCAGGCGCTCCGGTCAGAGCGCGGAACGCGGCGCCTCTACCTGCGAAAGCACCTGAGAGCCAGGATCGACGCTGCGGGATCTGTGATGTCACCTGTCAAAACCCCTGGCAGTTGCAGAAGCACCTGACGGGAAGACGACACTACGCCACATTACAGAGGAGCAAGGCAGGAGGGAAATTTCACTGTCCGACCTGTGAGATTTTATTCGACTCTTTCCATCAGCTGGAGGCTCACTGCGCGTCCGATACGACTCACAAGGCGCGCGTAGCTGCCAGGAAGCTTCGCGATCAGCGTGAATATGTCGAGAGGGGAAAATATGGCATTGATATAAGCTACCCGTTTGCGTCACTGCAGCAACCTTCAGCAGCAGCAGCAGCAGCAGGAGGAGGAAGCGCCGTGACCCAGCTTGTAAAATTGGATCTAGGATCCACTTTAGAAGGCTTCGTTACTATCACAAATCGACACACTGAAGCCCAGCTGCTGACCTCCTGCAAACTCGCAGGTGAAAATCCGGACATCAAATTCGGCTTCTCTGGCTACTCCATCGGTTCAGGGGAAGCAGTCCCGAGAAATGGGTTCTTCGTTCGCCCGAATGAAGTGTACACGCTCACCCTGCGGATCAAACCCTCGTCTGTCGGAGTTCTTAAAGCCATCCTGGTGTTCAATTTCAAGAACTTCCTGATCGGACGGTATCTGAACGTCCTGGTGGAGGACCAGGTGACGAAGTCAATGGCTCCCACGGCGCCGTTCGAGCCGCAGCAGCGGAAATCGCGGCAGGAGGAGGAGCCGCCCGCTGAAATCCTGCCAGGTGTCGAGCCCGAGGGGTGGAAACGCACCGGCGAGCAATTGGCTAAAATCCCATGGTTCGGAATTCCAGAGTGGGTTCGGGAGACGTATGAAGGGATGCATCACGGTGAGATGCAGTTACCGGGATTTGAAGGCCCTGTGACGCTAGACACGTACAAGAAGCGGTTCGAGCTGCTGTTGCATGTGGAGGAACTTCAAATGGAGGCGGACATTCGTTACTATGACATGCGGGGAGTCCCTGTGCTGCCGTGCGGGAGTCGCAATGTGAGCGAGTTTTACCAGCTGACGGTGCCAGGGCTGGCGGAGAAACGCCCGTCTGTGCTGCTTGGTGATCGGGTGTATCTGACGTTTGCGAACGAGGCGGGAGCACGGAGGCGGATTGAGTATCAGGTATGTTGGAGGCGCAATGGGTAATAGTAAGAGTGTTGTGGTTGGTGCAAGGTGAGGGGGAGAAAGCGGAAGCTTGTTGTGTTTTGCTGACCGTGCTGGGGCAGGGTGAGAATCGCTCGTTCGTACTCCCTCTGGCTCCCAGGGCTTCGTGCACAGAGTGGAGAGGGAGAGCGGCATCTTGTGCTTTTACCCCGACTTTCACTCATCACCCACTCACCCGCATGTGCTGCACACCCCCCCGGCCCCCACTACGCCACCGCCCCCTCCCCCAGGGCTTCGTGCACAGGGCGGAGAGGGAGAGCGCCATCGTGCGCTTTCACCCCGACTTCCACCAATCCAGCTTACACCTGGCACCACTTAAATGCACCTAATTCTCCCTGCTCTCCCTCCCCCAGGGCTTCGTGCACAGGGTGGAGAGGGAGAGCGCCATCCTCCGCTTCCACCCTGACTTCCACCGCCGATTCATCCCCGGCCAGCTCTTCAACGTGCGCTTCGAGGTGCCCCGCGGCCCAGTCAGAGCGTGCCACCTGGCACTGGGTCTCGCAAACCGACACCTGGGGCAGCACGTGCTCATGCCATCAGAAATCCCTCAAGAGGCTCTTCAGTATTGGTGAGTGAGTGGGCGGGTAGGCCTTAAACAGACATTGACGCACGTGCTGATGCCTTCAGAGATCCCCTAGAGGCTCTTCAGCATCGGAGGGTGTGTGTGGGTGTGTTGGTGGGTTGGTGGGGCCAGAGGAGGACATTGGCTGGTGGGTTACGTTACGGGCATTGGTCCCGACCCGACTCCCAACTGCCCCCCCCCTGTTCTGAAAGTCCCAACTGGTCTTGTGACATAATTTTCAGCGAGCAGCAAACTTAGTCAGGCTTTTGTCACAAGACCAGTGGGTTAAGGGCATTGGTCCCGACCCGACTCCCAACTGCCCCTTCCCTGTTTTGAAAGTCCCCGCCATCCGCCCCTTTGATCGCCGGCTGAATGTGGAGCAGAGGGAGGCAGTGGCACAACCGCTGCTGGTGCGCTAAATTCAACAATCCTGTCCTCGTCCGTGCCCCCATTCCCTCTCCCTCCAGAAATGGTGCCGTGTGCCATGGTAACGAGGTGACTTTTGAGTCGACTCAAAAGTCACCTATTTTACAATCCTGTCCTCGTCCGTGCCCCCATTCCCTCTCTCTCCAGAGATACCCGCCATTCGCCCCTTTGATCGCCAGTTGAACGTGGAGCAACGAGAAGCAGTGGCACAGCTGCTGGTGCGCTCTCGCCTGCAGCTGGGCGCACGGCCCGAGCCCTACCTCCCACCCTACATCGTCTTCGGGCCGCCTGGCACCGGCAAGACCAAGACGGTTGTCGAAGCTATCCTACAGGTAAGTTCTCTTCTGTTTCAACGTTCAAAGTCAACCCGTGCCGTACCTTGCCTCCCTACATCGTGTTTGGGCCGCCTGGCACCGGCAAGACCAAGACCGTCGTGGAAGCTATCTTGCAGGTGGGTGGGATATAGGCCTGAAAGGACTTTCACTGTTCACAACTGCTGGTGCACTCAGCTCACGCCTGCAGCCGAGCGCCCGACCCAAGCCGCACCTCCTCCCTTACATCGTCCCGACCCAAGCCGCCGCACCTCCTCCCTTACATCGTCCGTACATCGTGTTTGGGCTGCCTGGCACTGGCATGACCAAGTCCGTTGTATAGGCAATCGTGCAGGTAGGCTTTTGGCTTGACAGTGAATTTCAATCTCTCAGGGAGGTTTTGTCGGTCTTTACAGACTCCCTTATTCATCGTGCCCTCTTTCAATCAATACTATTTTGGGCTGACTGGCTGGCCAGGCACATTCCTCCTAACCACGTGTGTGCTCGTGTGTGCTTGTGTGTGCTTGTGTCGTGGTAGTTTGATAATGTTCAACACCCAATGAACCCCGTACGTCCCTCATTGGATGAACCGATAATGTCCAACAGGTGGTGAAGGGAACGCCCTCTTCTCGTGTGCTCGTGGTGTGCTTGCGTCTTGTTAGTTCGGTATTTTTGAGCACCCAATGAAACCCGTACGTCCCTTCAACAGGTGGTGAAGGGGATGCCCTTGGTGCGTGTGCTCGTGTGTGCGCCATCCAACAGCGCCACTGACAACATCGCTCTCCGCCTCAGAGGCAACCTGCAGGTGAGGTGCTGTGAGGGTGTGGGTTGTTCTGAGACAAGATGATGCCAAAGTACCCGGTATGTGCGCCGTCCAACAGCGCCACTGACAACATCGCACTCCGCCTCAAAGGCAACCTGCAGGTTCGTGTGCCTTCATACGTGCTGAAGGGTGCTGGCAGGTGCTGTGAGGTGCTGTGGGGTTTAGTGATGTATGGGGAAGTACTGGTCTAGCCCTCAGCACGGGTGCTCGTGTGTGTGCCGTCCAACAGCACCATTGACAACATTGCTCCCCGCCTTAAAGGCTCACTGCAGGTCTAATGATCCTTGTGTGTGCGGTGCTAAGAGTTGTTGTGAGGTCCCGCTAAGTGCTGTGAGGCATATGGACGTATTGGTTGGGCGTTTAGAGCGGCGCTCGTGTGTGCTCCTTCCAACAGCGCAAGCAGGTGGATATGGCAGCATCAGCAGGTGGGTATGGCAGCATCAGCAGGTGGATATGGCAGCATCAGCAGGTGGATATGGCAGCATCAGCAGGTGGATATGGCAGCATCAGCAGGTGGATATGGCAGCATCAGCAGGTGGATATGGCAGCATCAACAGGTGGATATGGCAGCATCAGCAGGTGGATATGGCAGCATCAGCAGGTGGATATGGCAGCATCAGCAGGTGGGTATGACAGCATCAGCAGGTGGGTATGACAGCATCAGCAGGTGGGTATGACAGCATCAGCAGGTGGGTATGACAGCACAGCACAAGAACGTGGGTATAGCAGACACTGGTACTGCCATACCCACTTGCTAGGGCTGTGCTGCCATAGCCGCCTGCTGTTGCTGAGTTACCCACATGCTGGTGGTGCATTACCCATCTTCTGATGCAGTCATACCCACATGCTGGTGCTGCCATATCCATCTGCTGACCTTCCTGCCCCTCCCATCCTCTCCAGGTGTGCGAGATGCTGCGCCTGTATTCCATGGGTCGCAGTTGGGACGGGGTGGAAACCGACCTGCTGCCATTCACTCGCGACAACCACTTTGCAACCCAACCTTTTTTTTTGTATCTTGTCTCCTCCCCCACTCCGGGTGCGCGAGTTGCTGCAAAAGTACTCTGTGAGCCGTGGCCGGGACGGGGTGGAAACCGACCTGCTGCCCTTCACTCGCTACGACCACTCCCCAACCCACCACTTCCCTGTTTCATCCCCCCACCTCACCCTTTCCCTCTAGGTCCGTGAGATTCTGCGCCTGTACTCTGTGAGCCGCGGTCGGGACGAGGTGGACACGGACCTGCTGCCATTCACTCGCTACGACGACTCCACGGGAACCTTCCGCCTGCCGTCCCTCTCAGAGATCCACACCGCTCGGGTCGTTGCCGTCACCTGCTGCTCCGCTGCTCTGCTCTACCGCATGGGTATGCTCCTTCTGCTCAACCTGTATGGGTAGGCTCTTGGTCAGTCTAGTTAGGATCCACATGTACTTGTGACTTGTTGTGCACGCATACATGACGTGGCAATATCACCATCACTTTCTCTTCCTCCTTCCTTACTTTGCATCCCCACACAGGCGTTCCCCGCGGCACCTTCACGCACATCTTCATAGACGAGGCAGGCCATGCCATCGAGCCGGAAGGCATCATCCCCATCGCATGCCATGCCGCGCCACATGCCGTCATCCTATTGGCCGGAGACCACAAGCAGCTGGGCCCGGTTGTGCGCTCCCTCGCCGCCCGGAAGTACAAGCTCCCCTGCTCGTACCTCGAGCGGCTGGCGAGCCTCGGCATTTACTCCGCGGAAGATCAGGAAGATGGGAGTTACATCGGTTACAACACGAGTGCCATCACGAAACTAGTCAAGAACTACCGGTCTCACCCGAAAATTTTGGAGCTGCCCAACGAAATGTTTTACGAGGGGGAGCTGGAGGCGTGTGCGGACGAGATGGTCCGGTCTTCTCTCTGCCGGTGGGACGAGCTGCCCAACAAAAACGAATTCCCGATAATTTTCCACGGGGTGATGGGGAAGGATGAGAGGGAGGGCAACAGCCCGTCGTTTTTCAACCCGTTTGAAGCGACAGTAGTTCTGAAATACATTACCTCTTTAATGGGCTACAGGAGCCAGCGGGTTCCCTTGACTGACATTGGGGTGGTTACCCCGTATCGCAAGCAGATGCAGAAGCTGCAGCAGCTGCTGCGAGGGAAGGGGATGGACGCTGTGAAGGTGGGGAGTGTGGAGGAATTTCAGGGGCAGGAGAGGCGGGTTGTGATTGTATCGACCGTGAGATCGAGCCAGCAGTATGTGGAGTTCGATTATAAGCACAATCTGGGGTTCCTGGCGAATCCAAAGCGGTTCAATGTGGCTGTAACGAGGGCCAAGCAGCTGCTTATTATTGTGGGCAACCCCAACCTCCTGGCTCAGGTGGGCGAGGTTCTGCTGCTCCAGGTGAAACGTCTTTGAGATGTCTCATTTTGAGGCGCCTCAAAACTATACGTCTTTGAGATGTCTCATTTTGAGGCGCCTCAAAACTATACGTCTTTGAGATGTCTCATCACGAGGGTGCTGTCTTCATAAATCAGCTTTCTCTCTTTTAAGTGGATAGGATGTCAGCAGCTGCTTATCATTGTGGGCAACCCCAACCTCCTGGCTCAGGTGGGCTCTAATGCTTCTGGTCAATATGCTGCTTCAGGTGAGTATTCTTCTTCAGGTGAATCTGCTGTTTCAGGTCAATCTGCTGTTCTCTTTCAGGTCAATCTGCTGCTATAGGTGAATATGCTTCTTCAGATGAATATCTTACTTCCGGCGAATTTGCTGCTTCACATGAATTCGATTCTTTCAGGCAAATCCTTCCTCTCTCTCCCACCCGCCCCACCTCTTCGCTTCTCTCTTCCAGGATCGCTGCTGGGGTGCGCTGCTGCAGTACTGCCTCAGAAACAAGGCCTACACGGGCTGCCCTCTCCCCGCCTCCATCCCTCCCCCTGACCTCCCGTCTGGGTCGCAACCTGGGGGATCCGTTACAAGCTCCTCCTCTACTACCACCAGCACCATCTTCGGTGGCCCCACTATATCTTCTGGCAGTGGCAGTACCACCAGCATCACCAGCAGCAGCACTGCCGGCCGCAATAGCGGCAGCGGCAGCGGCGGCGGCACGAGAGGGACCGTCAGCAGCACTGGTGCGACCCAGGAGCTGCTGGATTCGCTCGCCAGGCTGTCACTGCAGGAGGATGACGATGCTGACAGCGCGCGTGCTGGCGCTGAGTCAGCGCGGGCGCTGGGCGGGTTTTCAGCCGCGACTGCTCATGAGGACCTGGAGTGGCGGGTGGAGGCGTGAAGATGTGGGGGCATGAGGTTGCGGGGTGAAGAAGGCATTTGAGGGGCTCATGAGGACCTGGAGTGGCGTGTCAAGGCACGAGGGTGGGAAGGGCGTCGTGGAGGCATGCCGGCTTGAAGGCTTGAGGTTGAGGGCTCGCAAGTTGTTCGCAAGTTGTTCACAAGTTGTTCGCAAGTTGCTCGCAAGTTGTTCGCAAATTTGTTTGATAAAATTGGCTTTTCCCACCTTGGTAACACCTTGGCTGCTCATGAGGACCTGGAGTGGCGGGTTGAGGCATGAGGGCATGATGGGGTGAGGTCGTGAGGGCTTGAAGGCTTGCGTGCGGCTTGAGGGCTCGCAAGCAGTCTGAATAAAGGATGCTTTTGGCTCCACACTGCGGCGGTTGTTCTCGAGGCTCTAGACTAGAGTGGTAGATTGAGGCGGGTGGAAGGGCGTAAGGGTGGGAGGGCGCGAGGACATGTGGGTGGGGGATTAGTTTGAATAAAGGCGCACGGAAAATCTGGAATGAGCTTGCAAGTGTAGTGTGCCTGGGGGTCTGGTCTGACCGAATGCAGTGGCAAGCGAGGGTAGGGTGTTCAATGTTGGGAACAAGTAATCTAAACGCGCCTCTGTCGTGTCGAAACACCAAGTCAGAAGCGAAGCAGAACATATCGAAGCAACGGCGAGTCAACCCTCGGAGGTTGAAACAACTGTTGGAGGTCACGCGAAAGTCAAAGGTCAGCGACCCTTGACTTGACAAGTACAGCGCGACAGCAAGGACACACAACTGACTCGCTACTGAGCAGTTGCCCGAGTCGTCACTGTACCGAACCGCAACAGCAAACAGTATCGTAAAACAGTTACCGTATTAACCGTATCTCTTCGTATTCCTTGTACTCTTATATAAATCTTTGTACCGTACTTGCTTGTTTTAATCAATCTACTTTGCCCTCACATACTAGCGCAAGGTGGTTCACAAAGTCCTTATCAAACGCTTCCGCTATTACATCATCCTACTCTGAATTTAGTCCTACAAAAGATCCTAAGGGCCTTTTCAGCCCTACACTCAACACATTATATTGTCAGCATAGCAAGTTGTGGGACGGTCTGATATTACCTAATCATGTGATATGTTCAATGTGGGAGGTCACAGGGAGTTGCACTAGTTCTAGTGGTATGCCGTGAGCTTTTCTATTTTAATGAGGAAATGTGCAAGTGTTTGTCACGCGAAGCATTGTGCATGTGCATTTTCTCTCCAAGCTTTTGACCAGCCATCCGTCTTCGATCTCCCCATACAAAGGCAGATCACCTGTCCCCATAATTCTACAGTCTACACAATACAGAGGGGCTTCGCATGATTTTCTGACTCGCCTATAAGTCACCACAACAGCCAGAAACAGTCTACAAGGCAAGGCAGAGCACAGCCAGAACTACTGCCAGCACTGCTGCTAGCCGACTGCCTCTTTGAATTAGAGGGCTTGCTGCCTTGCCGGTGCATGAGAAGTCCACCAGTGCTGATCCCCTGCACGTGGAGCGAGAGAAATGTGGAATGTGGGACATGATACATGGAAGTTGAGTCAAATGGAAGGAGTCCACCTGCATTGTCTACAGCACAGCACCTTACACCACCAGCACCGCAGATCACCACACAATATCGCACAGCACAGCACATACTTGTTTTCCCTGTGGAAGCCGAGTTCTGAACACCCAGGAGGGGCAGAATAGGCCCAGATGAGCGTGTTGGCACCACACAGTCACCACAGCACAGCATGGCACATCACACCACAGCACAGGACCATACATCACCGCACATCACCGCACATCACAGCACATCACTGCACATCACTGCACAGGACAGCACAGCACATACTTGCTTCCCCCGTGGAAGCCAAGCTCTGTCGAGCCAGGATAGGCAGAATAGGCCCAGATGAGCGTGTTGGCGCCACACGATCAGGGCAGCATGGCACATCACATCACGGCACAGCACATGACAGCACATGACAGCACATGACAGGACAGCACAGCACATACTTGTTTCCCCCGTGAAAGCCGAGCTGTGACGAGCCAGGATCGGCAGAGTAGGCCCAGATGAGCGTGTTGGCGCCACACGATCAGGGCAGCACAGCACATCACATCACGGCACAGCACATGACAGCACATGACAGGACAGCACAGCACATACTTGTTTCCCCCGTGAAAGCCGAGCTGTGACGAGCCAGGATCGGCAGAGTAGGCCCAGATGAGCGTGTTGGCGCCTGTGGGGTCGAATCTCACCGTGCCATCATCCACCCGCCGGGAGAACCTGGAAAAAGGAGGAAGGGAAAAGCGGGGGAAAGGGACGTGAGTGCTGAGGACTGATTGAAGCCTGTGGGATCAAAACACGCCGCGCCATCATCTACCCGCCGGGAAAACCTGCAGTCGTGAGGGTAGAGCAAGGGAAGTGCGGGTGGGTGGGGGCGGAGAGGCAGGGTAACGCAGCAAACTTGGGCGAGGGTGTTAGTTGAGCGTTTTGGCGCCCGCGGGGGCCAAAGCGTTTTGAGACGTCTCAAAACGCAGCAAACCTGGGCGAGGGTGTTAGTTGAGCGTTTTGGCGCCTGCAGGGGTCCAAGCGAGCCGTGCCATTGTCGACATGCCAGGACAGGAGCATCTCAGTAGTGAGGGGATGGGAGGTCTTGTCCTGCCATCGTCCACCAGCCTGCTTCACATCCACCAAGTATTGTCCTGGCAGGTGCAGCGGAACGATGTTGCTGGGGTACCCCCGCCATGTTCCCCACCTCCGCATTCCCCTCGTTCCCCCTTCCCCCTCCCCCACCCCCCCCTCTCTCCTCTCCCTCCCGTTGCCCTACTCATCTGGCCACTACTTGACACTCGATCATGCTAAGGGATTCGAACGCTCAGAGGAACTCACTTGATGACGAACGAGCCGGCAGGGCCCTGCTCCAGAACCGTCCTGCCCAGTTGATGACAAACTAACGGCCACTCCATTCCCTTCCACAGTAACGGCTCAATGTGGCCACCACTTGAGACTCACTTGATGACAAACGAGCCAGTAGTTCCCTGCTCCAGGACCGTCCTGCCCAGGTCATACCCCGCCGGCTTCACATCCGCGAAGCTTCGCCCCGCCAGATACAGCGCGACCACGTTGCTGGGGTAATTATCGACGTTCCCCACGACGGCGTCGCTGCGCGACATGCGGCCGTCGCCCGACCACCCCACGGAGATCCACCCCTTCTGCGCGCCTGACAGCGCGACCGCCTGTAGCGCCATGTCCGTCACCCTGCCGACCTGCGGCTTCCAGTGCAAAATGAGACTGGCAGATGGGGGAAAGAGAGGGAAAAAGGGGGTGGGAGGCGCTGGGAGGTGAGACCCATGCGCCCGTCGTCGCCCGACCACCCCACGGCGATCCACCCCTCCTGTGCGCCCGAGAGCGCCACGGCTTGTGGCGCTATCTCTGTCACCAGGCCGACCTGCGTCTTCCAGATGAAGCTGGCGGAGGAGGGGAAGGGGGAAAAAGGAGGGGAAGGGGAGGGGGAGGGGGGAAAGGGAAGTTGGGGTGGGGTGCGCTGGTACGTGAGTGTCAGGCATCGCCCGACCACCCGACGGAGATCCACCCCTTCTGTGCGCCCGAGAGCGCCACGGCCTGCAGCGCCATGTCTGTCACCCGGCCGACCTGCGGCTTCCCGTGCAAAATGAGACTGGCGGGTGGGGAGTGTATGAGAGGGTGGGGGACGACGAGGAACGGGGGAAAACGAAGGGGGAAGGGGGGGGAGGAGTAGGGGAGGAGGGGGGGGGGAGGGAGGGGGAAGAAGGGGGAAGGAGGGGTGAGAGGGAGGAGCTGACACGTGATGAAAAGCAGAAAGGCGGAAAGCGGTGGAGCGACGTTACGACGCGGTGTAAGTGGTGTAAGCGGTATAAGCGAGCGAGGGACACAACGACGACGCGGTATAGCGGTGTAAGGGAGCGACACGACGACCCGGCGCGCGTACCCGTCGCCGAGTTGCACGGCGTAAGCGTAGCCGAAGAGCGACGAGTTCGTGCATGGCAGCGACGATGCGAGCTTTCTTCGCGCGATCGCCGGCGGCGCGGATCGCTCATCCTCCTCGTGCGTGCGAGAGCGGAACGGAGACACTACTCTGAGGGAAAAAGCCGTTGCTCGTGGCTGGTGCGGCGACGCGAAGTTATACGTCACGAGCAGCACCAGGGCTGGTAATAAGGAGTAAGGTCCCGCGCAGGCTCGACAAGACCGAGGCGACGCCATGACGAGACGATAGTGCCCGGGAAAGTGATCGACACGCGTCTGAAGGAAGGGTGACAAAACTCCTAGTATAATCACACCACGCTGATCGACTTTCGCGCAGTCAGCTACTGGGCGCACGAGAGATTCTTATCTTACGCTTTCTTTGCAAGCAACTCGAAATTAAACGTGCAGCTTCTGATAACTCAGCAAGCAATTTTCATGGTCGACTGTGATCTACTGCTGTGCAGACAAACTATCGTATCTAACTAGACCAATAAACTAGAGGCTGGTATGGCAACGAACATGGCTGGAAAGGGAAGCCGCGGTTCGGCGATCTTAGATGTGACAATACCGATGTCGGCAAAAAACACCGAGTCACCGACGCCCCCTGATCTCATCCTCTAGTTCGTCAATCTCGTGGTTCGCTCCCATTCGCTTGCAGGTCTGAAGCGCATGCGGCTCGACCACATTCGGGGGAGACGTGTTCAGTCTGCGGTTCTGTTCCGAAGCTGAAATCGTCAGGTGCGAATCAGTCTAAACCAATAGAGAGGCGTTTTGTGTGTGACGAAGTCGGCCCGCGTAGGTTCAGCACGAGCTTCGCGGGGTTTACTGTGCGGACCCCAGTGATGATCCGTAATGGGGAACGTGGCGGAGCCTCGTTCGTTGGCTGGGAGTGCTGGTGGAGAAACTCGCATAATGGATTATGGAACACGGTACACTTTGAACAAGCTATACATTCAATACTTTGTAGAGAATAACAATCTCGTTTTTCGCTAATGGGAACCCGCCATTTGTTATTAACATGCCTCAAACACATGTAGCATACACCAATACCTCCACACATACATTAGCTGCTCACATCTTCACCGCAGAATGGTCAGCGCCCTCCGGTTTGACTGGTCTCTGCCACAGCATTTCCCAGATAGGACAGCCCTTCCCAAGCCAATGACAGTCAGCGATTTGCTTCATTGGAGAGGGTTACCACACGGTAGAGAGAGCTCAGCGGTCGGTGACTAGTCCAAGATCATCGTCCGTTTGTCCACGTTATCCCGAAAACCCCAAGCCATTTCGCTCGGCGAGACCGATATCCACCGCAGCATCGATCGTACGGGCACGCGCGAGCCACGCCAGCCTGGAACAAAGAAAACCGAAAGAAATTCTCATCGAAGCCCAGTCAATTCCTCCATTCACCGAGCCGCGCACGTATAAAATGGACAAACCAATCCAATACATTTCATCCCACAATTCCAACCATTTCGTTCGCCAAATCCACCTCCCTGAATTGTTCACCATCACCACCCAGAGTTGGTTTTTGCGATTATCCCCCCCAAATTCCACGATTCTTGCCAAACTGAGCGTTGAGGCTCACATAGACGCCAGAGTCAAGTTGTTTGATTGGAACTACTAAAGCCGTTCTTTTGTCTCTTCTACAACGATGCGGCGACTCCTAGATCTCAGCCGTGTACACTTGCTCGTCGCCGTGTTAGTTGTGCTGTCATCTAGTGGCGCGGCATGGGCGGCGGCGTGCCAGAGCTCCTCGCTCACCGGATTCACCAGCTCCGTCGACCTCTCGGGTAACGGGTAGGTGGCAAAATACTCCGCAAAACCAGAAACTCTTCGCCAATGTACGTTAGCCATGCATCCCCAATTTTCCGGGCAGAAAAACCGTTTTCGCTTGATTCTCGCTTTTTTTGTCCAGCCATCATTACCGTATAGAATACATCTCCATGATCGGCATTGAAACAAGCCATCGATTTTACAATAAAACAATCTTTTCCATCATGTGCTGTTCCGTAACTCCTGGATCGCGGCTCGCAGTCTCGTGCTTCACTGGGCTGCGCTGGACGGCAGCGCGCAGACGGCGCTGCAGATGGCGCTCGAAGCTAAGGCGGGAAGCGGCGCGGAGAGCGGGTGGATCTCCGCCGGATGGTCCGCGGACGGGCGCATGTACCCCGCGGACTGCGTGATTGGAAACCTGCCCGGCGGAAGCATGGGCGCGTATTACATGAGCGGGTACGGCGATTCTGACGTGGCGCCGACCAGCAGCTTCGCCCTCGGTTCTGCCGAGATGCTGACGTCTAACGGCGGGACTGTCATGAAGTGAGTAATTCGCGCTGTGATGATATAGTTCGTCTGCCTTAGAAATTATGTGCTTGTTTATGCGCAAAAATTAAGTGGTGACGTTTTTGTTACACTCTAGTCATTGTTCGTTTTATTGCATTGTACTGTATGCTGTACAGTGACTGTCCTGGTTCGCTAAAATTTGTTCACAGCTAGCAACTCTGTCTTTCTTCCAGGCGTCTCGAAGTTAGGTCACGAATTATTCTCCGCAATACTAGGCAACGACCAACTTTTTCGCGAATGAGTCACGGCATATCTTCAATCCAGATTTCCGATTCACAATCTGTCATTCCGCGCATTTCGGCTCCTCTCCATTCGCGACGCATTTTTGCTGCAACTGACGCGATGATTTCGCGTTCGACAACGGTTGTCGCCACCACGGCAGGTTCTCCCGCGCGAGCGGCGACGGCGGCGCCATACCCGTGGACGTGGCGGGGGTGAACACGGTCATCTGGGCCTACTCGCAGTCCGGCTCCACCGCGCTCGGCTTCCACGGCCGCAACGAGTGCGTTTCTCGGATCCTTCCTCATTCTTTATGCTCATAGAATTTCGTTCGCTATATGAAATCAGTAGACAGCGTTCGTCTCCCAGTCGGGATGAACACGGTCATCTGGGCCTACATTTTAGCCGGGCCGGCTCCACCACTCTCGGCTTCCACTGCCGCAACGAGTGAGTGCATCCCACGCCATTTGTTTCGTTTTAATTGGAATTTTGCCTCTCTCTTTTTTCTGTCAGCGGGAGCGACGCCTTTAGCTGCACCCCCCTACCGAGGCGTTCCGGTTTGAAGCGATCGCTGGTCGTGTCTTCATTCATGCCCGTCATCTCTTTCCTCTCGCTCCTATCGCCCACTTCACTCCCTCTCTCTCTCTTCCACTTCAACAGCGGAGCCACGTCGGTGGATTTCTCCTGCGTTGGTGCTACTGCTGCTGCCAACTCCACAGCGGGGAGCGGTGCTGGGGGCAGCAATGGGAGCAACGCGACAACAGGCGGTGGCTCGGGCGGCAGCAGTGGCAGTACCAACTCCACCACGGGCAGCGGAACGGGCAGCAGTGGCAGTGGGAGCACCACCAACAGCACGACCCCTGCTCCTCCCTCTACCCCGCCTGCTTATAACGAGTCGTTTCCCTTCCCGCCTGATTCTAACGGGTTCGTGAGTCCTCCTCCTCACCACGACGGAGACCATGACCATGGGAGTGAGCATGGGAACGACGGTGAGCAGGAGGGGGGAGAGTGGGGAGACAGGGAGGAGTGGGCGCAGTGGGGAAACGGAGAGGGGGAGCGTGAGGAGGGGAGGGGAGACGGAGGGGAGGGCGACGAAGAAGGGGAAGGAGGGGAAGGAGGGGAAGGGGGAGATGGGGCAGGAGGGGGAGATGGGGCAGGATGGGGAGGTGGGTCTGGTGCAGCATCGGCTTGCCAGGCCTCGTCCCTTGCAGGATACGAGCACTCCGTGACTATATCGAACGGGCTTCTCCTCCATTGGACGCTCGTTAGTGGCACCACAACCAGCACCACACCCACCACCAGCAGCAGCAGCAGCACTGGCAGCAACAGCAGCAGGGCACAGCTGCGAATGGCCTTGGAAGCACAGCAGGGCAGCGGGGCAGAGAACGGTTGGATCTCCATCGGCTGGTCAATGGACGGCCGGATGGCCCCCGCTGACGCTGTCATTGGGAACCTTCCAGGAAGTGAGGTTGCTGCGTATGCCATGACTGGTTACCAGATGTCCGATGTTACGGTCACCAGCAGATTTTCGATTACTGAAGCGAGTACTGAGGCGGCTAGTAACGGAGCGACTGTTGTGAAGTTTACCCGGACGGAAGGGGACGGGGGACTAGTCCCGGTGGTTTTTTCCGGGGTAAATACCCTCGTGTGGGCGTTTTCGGGTTCCGGCTCGCAAGCACTGGACTTCCACAACCGCAACGAGTGAGTTAACTTGCTGGTTACCATATTGTCTGTTACACACCTGCTGGTTACCATTGCCACGAGCTTCCGCATCCGCTGGTTACCACACGATTGATTTCTGCGAACGGCTTGTTCCAACTCAACAGCCAGCAGTTCTCATTCACGCTTCCAACTCACTCCCCTCGATATCTGTTCTTTATGTTATTTGTCAACCCCTTTGTTGTCAACCCCGTTATTGCCACATGTGCATCAGTGGATCAGTCCAGGTGGATTTCACTTGCGCCACTGCTGCTGCCGGCAACAGCACCTCTGCGTCAACTCAGGGCGGTGACAGCCAATCATTGGGTGCCACGTCAGCAGCAGAATCCGACAGCAGCAGCAGCAGTGCGTGCAAGGCGTCTTCCCTGACCGGATATGACTGCATGGTGCAGCTCAGTGGCGACAAGTGAGTGCTAAGGGCATGTCACATGGGGTGGGGCAGGAAGAAGGTATGGGGCATGGTGCATGGGGCATGGGGCATGGATAGCAGCAGCAGCAACAGCAGCAGCAGCATCACTCATTCTCTCCCATCCTCCCCTTCTCCCATCATCTCAGCTTCATTCTTCACTGGACGACCAACAGCACCAGCACCATCGCATTAGCAGCAGAGGCAGCAACGAGCGGGTGGGTCTCGCTTGGCTGGTGTGCCACTGGTCGCATGTCCCCCGCTGAAGCCGCCATTGGCAACCTCCCCGCTGGCACCCTCTCTACCGGGAATGCTGCTGCAACAGCCGTGGGGGCGTATTCAATGACCGGTTATGGCGCCAGCGACGTCGCGGTTACGAGCTCGTTTGCGGTTACCAGCACGGCCGTGGAGGCGGGGAACGGGCGGACGGTGATCAAGTTTGAGCGGTCGATGGCGGATGGGGAGTTCCCTGTGGGCAGCAGCACTGTCATCTGGGCTTACTCGCGGGATAACTCGCAGCAACTCGCCGACCACGGGCCCAATGCGTGAGCTTCCTGCCATCATGCCCAGCTGCTCAATAAACCATGTCATACTGATGCCGCGCTGCACTATCATACAGCACTCCTATGCCGCATTCCCATGGCTGCATTCCCATGGCTGCATTTCCCCTTACCTTGTTCTCTTCTCGTGGTGCTCTTACCTCTCTCCCTCCCATCCCTGGCCCCATCCCTTCTCATCCCCGTTATCAGAGGCTCTACTACAGTCAACTTTGCAACGGGAGCATCAGAGGTCGGCGACTCAAGCAGCAGCAGCTCTACACTGTACACCGTGCATGCATGGCTGCTCACAGTCGCCTTTGGCATGCTCATGCCCGCTGCCATCCTCACATCGAGGCTCTTCCTAGCGGATAAGCCCATGCCCGTGCACTCTACTGCCACTGCTGCTGCAAGTAACCCCGGTGCAAGTAACGGCAGCGCAGCAGAAGCAGGCACAGCAGCGGCAGGGGGGTTGGGGGAGCCGATGCTTGTCGAGAAGCACGGTGGGGCAGCAGCATTGGCAGAGGGGGGAGGCAGTCCCCTGAAAGGCAGTCTTCCCAGCGGCGTGATGGCAGAAGATGCACCGGCTCTTGTTGCTCTCTCCGTCGGCGGACCATCTGCAGCAGCAGCAGGAGGAGGAGCAGCAGGGTCGGGCACAGCAGGAGGTGCAGCAGCAGCAACAGGGGGAGCAGTTTCCAAGAAGCCATGGCTGAGCAAGCCCATGGCGTTTGAGGTGCACAAGTGGCTTATGCTGTCTGCCGTGCTGCTCGCACTCGCTGGAATCATCATGGCGTTCGTGGAAAAGGGGTCGCAATCATTGCAGTCGACACATGGACAGCTCGGATTGGCCGTGATGGTGCTGATTGTTGTGCAGCCAATCGTGGGGCAGCTGAGGCCGCTCAAGAAGCATCCCAGCCGTCCATCCTGGTTTGCGCTGCACTGGGTGGTTGGCGTCGGAACGGTGGTGATCGCATGGGCAAACACGTACCTGGGGTTCAAGCTTGCCACCTCCAAATTTGGATACGACCTCAATGTGAGTTTCCATATTTTGGTGTGGTTGTGTCCCTTTTCATACGAGCCTGCAACCATCTTCTTCCTTCCACTCATTCCTCCCTGCTCACATTTAAATTCATAGCCAGCCTGTAACTCATGCTTTCCCTCTCCCGTACCCTACCTCCCAACCGAAGCCCCCCCACTTATAACCCTTCCATACCTGGTGACATTTCCTTCCACCCTGCCCCTTCATCATTTCTCGTTTCCTCCTTGACAGTGGTCCTACATTGCCTTCTCCATTTTGATCGGGTTGTCCTCTGCGGTTTATGTCTTCGACTTCGTGTTGGACCAAGTTGGATTTTGTTGTGTGCACTTCGAGAAAGACAAGCCATATGTCACAGCAAAAAGTGTCGAGATAGTGTAATGTTCTCTTGCAGCGTTGTGACACGTATATTAGTGCAGGTAAAGGATGTGGCTATGTATATTTGCTTCTATTGTGGCGGCCTGCTCTTGGTTCTGGCCAACATAATGTGTGAAGTCATGCTTGCTTTCTGCTTAGAAAAATAACAAAATATGCCTCTCCTCTGTCAAAGAACTATGGCTTGGTGGGTCACTTTCTATAGCGAGTGCAACAGAAGCAGCATGATTTGGATGATGTGATGTTTGACATGCCTCTCTCGCTCCAACTGGTCCTCCACGAACAGTTTCCTCTTGGGTAGCATCTTTGTCGTTTTTCCCTTGCTCCGATACAGTCAAACCCGCGTTGCCGTCACTCACACGATCTGTTGATCCCCAATCTCAACAACCCAATCTAATCGGAAACGAGAACCAATACACATGATGCCCAGCCAGTGCACGGAAATTTTCCCTGCACCGGATGGAAACGCTGCACCCGAGGTCTTTTCCCCAGCCTGTTGCACCCACGATACAAGCGCGTCGCGTGGGTATGGACCAATAGTAACGAACAGACCGAAGTCAAAATGAAGAGACTGAAGTCAAAATGTCAACGTATAAGGTTACAGATACTTAATATAAGCACCTGCGAACCCTTTTTAGCTAGCTGCGAATTGACGAAACTTAGGCGAAATACACGATACAGCTTATACGCCCTCTTCACAAGGCAACCGGGAGGGGCTCAAACAGGCATCAATTGTAATCGGTAAACTTGACTCGCTCGACCTTCCCGAACCAAACCTCCAAACGATCCCCCTCCCGCCCCAATCTCCCCCCAGACAGCTGCCACCTCCGTGCCTTATCCCTTGGTTTCTGTTCGGATGAGCCCGTATGTGCCCTGCCCTCCTGCCCCAACCCAAACCTATCTTCCCTCCCCTCTTCTCCGCCTTTCCCCTCTCCTCCCTTCATCAGGGCCATACCTGTACAGTATTCCGCACCGCACCCCGCACCGCACCTCGAGAGCTGCCCCGCCTGTCCTTTTCTCGCCTTGACTGCGCCCAACGGACTTCTTCGCCCCGGGCGCCGTCCTTCCTTGGCGCTACTGTAACCGCCTGCTAATCCCCCTTTTACCCCCCCGAACCTTATTCCCCCCCCACCCCCCCCAAAATGCATCATTCTCGCCACGCCCTTGATGCTTGTTTCTCAAGTTTCAACCTTCCACCGTCAACATCAGTAGAAGTGCCCAGCACGGCACAAACACCAGACCATTTTTCGGCTTCTTCAAGCTTCAAGTGTCTCGTCTAGTGTCAAGTTCTATTCCTCGTTGCTCACCTTTGGTCTCGTTCACTTCGTCACAAAAAATAAACACCCACGAGCGCCGTACGAGTTTGCGTCAGCGTTCGAAGTTTAAGACACGCGTAGTTACACTACGCTTTGCAGTAAGAGGCTGAAACCAAGGGTTGAAGCTATGGCACGTCGCAACACGGGGAAGCCAGTCATCGAAGACGATGACGACGATTGGGGTTCCAACGCTAAGTGGGTTCCCCCCTCCCAGCGCGCCGCATCCGGCGGCGGCGGCGGCGAGCAGACGCTGAAGGACCTCGAGGACGAGGCGCTGCAGAAGAATAGCGAGTTAACGGACGCGACTCTTAATCTCCGACGAATCACAGAGCAGACGAAGGGCGTCGCGGGACAGACGCTGGTGACGCTTAAGGAGCAAGGCGACCAGATCGCGCGTATACACGAGAACGCTGTCACGCTGGACCAAGAAATGGAGAAGGTACGATGCTCGTTGCGACGTAGGGCGTGCTCATTGCGGTGCGCTCGTAGCCCGGCGTGTTTGTTGCGACGCGCTCTCCACGACGTGCTCGCTTCGGCGTGCTCTCTGCGATGTGCTTGCTGCTACGTTCTTGTCGTGGGTATATTCTGGAGAAATAACATAGTAGCAAATTGCTAAACGCGGTAACTTTCGAGTCAACGCGAGAGACAACCCCCTGTGCGCGTCCTGGCGTTCCCGCACCGCGTTGCTCCTCACCGCGTCACGCTTGCCGCGTCTCCTTGCCGTTCTTTTTCTATCGGCTGTTTAACCTCCCCGCTCTCCCCTGCTTCTGAGGCGCCTCAAAAGCCGTCGATTATGTAACCTCACCCTCTCTGCCATGCTTATTTCCGTCTCCGTGACGTTTCCGAGAAGCTTCTAAGCTTGTCATGTTTTCTTCATCTAGCTCCTCCTTTTTTTTTTTTCGTTCCAAACCAGTAATTTTCTGGAAAAGTTCGTTTCCCCTTTGTCAGTCTTGGAAGCTTCTGGACAAGCTCCCCTTTCCCTCTCGGCATCCCTCCCTTCCCTCTCTTTTGTGATCTTGTGACCCTTTTTCGTTCCACTCTTCCCTCTCCCTCTTGCCAGTCCGAGAAGCTTCTGAGCAAGCTCGGCGGAATGTTCTCGTTCGGATGGGCGCCGAAGAAGGGTCACAAGATCACAGGGCCTAAGTCTTCAGGTACGGCGATTAAAGACCTAATATCTCATGCACGGAGACTAGTATATGTATGTAATCTTCACTTTTCCGTTTTCCCCTTAACCGCCCAAATCTCCCTCCCCTCCTCCCCCCTCCCTTTCCCTTTCCCCCGCGTGCAGCCAACAAGAAGGACTCGGCATCGGGAGACGCGGCGAGCCGCGAGGGCTTGGGATTGTCGGCGCCGAAAGCGGGCGCGGCACCTCCTAAAGCCAAGGAGGGCATGACAGCAATGGAGAAGATCGAGGTGAGACTGCTACCCGCTAAGGTGACTGTACGCTAGTGTGACTACGGAGGGGCGGCTCAAGGAGGGCACGACGCCTCCTAAAGGCAAGGAGGGCATGATAGCAATGGAGAAGATCGAGGTGAGATGGTTTGGTGGGTGATTGTACGCGAGTGTGACTAAGCAGGGGGGCTCAATGAGGGCCTGACGATTGTAAAGCCACGGAGGGGATGGCATCCATGGATATGATTGAGTGGTGGGTGAGAGAGGGTCCTGATTGACTTGACTGAGCGATTGTATGGGATTCTCAGAATCCACCTGCAACGAATGGAGAATACCTTTGAGTCGTCTCAAAAAGCGAGGTGAGAGAGAGAGAGAGAGAGAGAGAGAGAGAGAGAGAGAGAGAGAGAGAGAGAGAGAGAGAGAGAGAGAGAGAGAGACGACAAGGGTGACTTAGCCTTCTCCCTCCTAGCCTCTTCCCCTCTTCCCCCGCTATATAATGGCCGCTCGGCCTCTTTCCTAGCTCATTCTTCATTTGGTGTTTCAGTTTTTTTTTCCGGCGCTCGTTTGAGAGAGCGAGAGAGAGAGAGAGACGACAAGGGTGACTTAGCCTTCTCCCCAAGGATGAAAAATACGGTTTCCGTAAAATACGGTCCGTATTTTACGATCGTATTTTACGATCAGATTTCAAAAATTCGACCGTATTTTTGTTAGAGATTTTTTTTCCTGCTAGAAAAAAATTCAGACTTTCTACCAACCACCTCTAGGGATGTGAGATTGCTAACTATCAGGCCTAAAATGGTCTACAACGGATCTATGCCTAAAAAACCGCTCCCCTATGCTCCTCAAGACAATAGGCGTGCGTCCCGCCTTGTGCGGCTAGAATATTACTTGAAAAGCGAGTAAAAACGTTTCGGCGAGGGAAAAAATCCTCGCGAGTATTTTAACTCGGTGCATTCTTGACCCCTGCGCGACGTGGCAGCGGGGGTTCATAATCGCATAGGCTAACTCGTCACTTCGCGTTTCTACATGACGAAATGTCAACGAGCTCAAAGACGGAAGATTTGCATCCCAATTTTCCCAGCTCATGCACTCCCCCCAACCGCTCTAAATCCCACTCCCTCTACCTAACCCAACCCAACCTTTCAAATATTTGTACCCTGAGACTGGGTGAGATCTAGATCTCACTCGTACCTATTCTGCAGCGACACATTTCCCCATCGCAATAGCGACTGGAACATCGCGATTTCCTACTAATACGGTCCTAAATAATCCCCCCTTTCCCCACTTTAAAAGAGAGGCTTCGCTCAAGGGGGTCCCCTTGCAATTTCTTTTTCCACTTCACTGTTTCAAAATTTCAACCGTAAATTACGACCGTATTTTTTAACCAACCCTAAAACAGCAGGATTTATCGTATTTTACCGTAAAATACGACCGTAAAATACGATTCCGTATTTTACGGTAAAATTTCAAAAATACGACCGTAATTTTGAACCTTGCTTCTCCCTCCTAGCCTCTTCCCCTCTTAGCCCGCTATATAATGGCCGCTCGGCCTCTTTCCTAGCTCATTCTTCATTTGGTGTTCCAGTTTTTTTTTTCGGCGCTCGTTCGAGAGAGCGAGAGAGAGAGAGAGACGACAAGGGTGACTTAGCCTTCTCCCTCCTAGCCTCTTCCCCTCTTCCCCCGCTATATAATGGCCGCTCGGCCTCTTTCCTAGCTCATTCTTCATTTGGTGTTTCAGTTTTTTTTTCCGACGCTCGTTCGAGAGAGCGAGAGAGAGAGAGAGAGACGACAAGGGTGACTTAGCCTTCTCCCTCCTAGCCTCTTCCCCTCTTCCCCCGCTATATAATGGCCGCTCGGCCTCTTTCCTAGCTCATTCTTCATTTGGTGTTTCAGTTTTTTCCGGCGCTCGCGCCGGCGCTACGCGCCGCCGCGCCGGCGCTCGCGTGCGCGGCCTTCGGCCGCACGTTAGGGACGACAAGAAGAAGACATTGGTGACAATCAGCATGACAACGATTCCAACAATGGCAAGCACGGGCATCTAGACAAGCACACATGGAGCGGGTCTACACGCGCGCGAGGGGCGCGCCTACATGCGGTCCGCCTCCAGCTCACCTAGCATTTCGCGGGTGGTCAACCACAAGCAGCGGACCACTGACGCGGTGGCGGCGACAACGTCAACAGGAGTTCCGCGATCTCCTACAAGCGTCTTTAGATCCAGGGCCCTCTCAGCCAGCAGGGTGGCCGAGACTACTCCCGGCGAGGGCGCAACCTGCAGTGGCGATACGTACGCGAATAGTGTTGACGCCGCCGCGTGACACCTTGCTCGCGGCATCTGAGAGAACATGCTCGGTGGGGTCAACGACATGGAGCCGTGGGACTCCACAAGAACCACCTCAAGACTCTGGAGGCACTCCGCGATCGACCACAAGTGCGCCAGGGTCGCCATGGGCACTTCTTTCTTCGCCGGCGGCATTGCAGTTTGGCGAGCTCGACGCGACGACACCGCATAATCGCGCGGAGGTGGAGCAGGACGTGGAGGAACGTACGGGGCCCACGGATTCCCGCCACCCGCTCCCACGAAACCTGCCCCCGCAGGCAGAGGACTACCGGGATGCACAAGAGACCCCACTGGGTTGTGCGGAAGGAGCGCAGCGAGGGGAGCGACCGGAGCTGCTGGGCGCGCGGCCTGCGATGATGACTCCGCCTTCGAACGGTGGAGTGCCTTCTCCACTCCATCCAGCCTCTGTTGAAGACGCTCCATTGCGGTCGGCGCCTGACGCGCCGCTCCGCCACGGCCATAGCCGCCCTGCCGCCCACGTCGCGCACGGCCGCTCACATTTGAGCGCGCAGGGGACGGACGGCGTGACGAGACGCGCTGGTGCGGGCGCTCAGGAGATCGTCCCCCACGACGAGGGGAGTAAAATCGCCGCCGCTTCGGCTGCCGCGGCGAACGCGGGGAGAGGGAGCGACGGTGCGAGGCGCGATGATCAAGAGAATGCTGGCGTGACGATTGACGGGCAGGGGATCGGCGACGACGCCTCCGGCGATCTCGGGACGAGCTTCGCGACGCCACGCGGCGTGGCGATCGCGGCGGGCGGGGCGTCAGCGGCGGGGGAGGCGTGCGGGACTTATCTCGACGATCATCGCGGCGGCTCGCCCGCCCCTCATGGTGTGTTACTGACGAGCGGCGCTGAGGCGATCGCCCCCGGAGCGCCACAGCCTCTTCGACGGAGCGCACGCCGGGCCCCTCGCGTGCCAGTTCCTTCCGTGGCGAGGTCCGCACCAGCTCGTGTCGATGCTCCTCGAAGCGGCGGCGGACCTGTTCTGCCGCCTTCAATGGAGCCACAGGGACACTCGCCGCAGGTCGCGAGGGAGGAAGCGCACGGGGAGCAGGATCGCTCTCCGCGGTACGTTCGTGGACCGGAGCGGCGGGCAGATCCATCAGGTCGACAGGTGGATGCCGCACGAGGCGCGGACGAACGACTTCCCGCGGTAGGTCTTGCGGGACGAGGGGGGAGCGCGGCGGTCGGCGGGGGGAGAGCTCGCGGCGGGGGACCAGAAAACGTCTACCAGCGGGCGGGAAGACGGGCTTTAATGAAGCTCGCGACCAACGAAAGCTCCTCGCCACGGCCATGTTAGTGCCACTGCTGCGCCTGGCGAAGGATCCGGACTCTTACCCAGCCTGGGTGCTGCTCCTCTTCCTCCCGCGCCTTACCCTTCGCCAACTGTCGCCGCGAAAACCCGACTGGCCCACTGTCACGGCGCGACTCACCCAATTCCTTGCAGGCGAATGGGACAAGCTGTACCAGGACACCGTGGCCTCCCTGTCGTGGCCACAGCCACCCAGACACCAGTCGGCGTCATCGCTCGTGCTGAGGGGCTAGCGAGACGTGGCAGCCTGCGGCGTGCGGTATTGGCTCTCGAAGCCACTCCGGTCTGCACTCCGTCTCCAGCCGTGCTGGAGGCACTGCGCGCCAAGCACCCGCGAGCTCCCTCCTCTCAACCGAACTGGACATACCCAGCACCAGACCCACCACTGACCGCACCCTTCGAAATTTTCTCCAAGGTGTTGGGACGCTGTGAGATGGCTGTTGGGGCAGGCCCCTCTGGGACAACGTTCGAACACTTACGGGACTCAGTGCTGATCAACGCCTCGGTGGGAAAGCACCTGCACGCACTCGTGAACACCATCCTAACGGGGAAATTACCGCCCGCCGTAGGAGAACTCCTCACTGCTTCCCGCCTACTGGCACTTACCAAACCAGACGGGGGGACGCGGCCAATCGCTGTTGGCGAGTGCCTCTTACGCCTCGCCGCTAAGACGGCCCTTGCCCTGACAGCCAATGATGCGCGGAAATTCTTTCTTCCCTACCAGTTTGGAGTAGCAGTCCCGGGCGGAGCGGAGGCAATCATTCACATTTCCCGCACTTACCTCACCGTTAATCCGAGCGCTCTGGTCCTGCAAGCAGACATAGCAAACGCGTTCAATAGCGTGGACCGGGCGGCAATCGTAGCATCCCTCATTGGTTCCCCGCTAGCCCGCGCGGCATGGTCTCACAATCCCTGCGATTATGTGCACCTAGCCCTGCCAATAGAGGAGTGGTCGGACTGGGGAAAGCGGTTGTTTGACACCTTGCTAGCGGCCTGTGGATTACGCCAGCCGAGGGGTGAAGCAGAGATTGCACGTACCTGGGCACAAGCATCTCTCCCGGTCTCCCTTGGAGGCCTTGGCCTGGCGGACCCATCGGTGGAGGGGCGTGTCGGATTCCTCGCTAGCTACACACAGGCCAGCCACCTACTCACCTCCCTCGATGAGGCATCAGTTGGAGCCCTGGCAGAGACACGGGCTCAGATGGCAGGGCCCTTCCAGAACACAGCACCCCTCTTTGATTGGCTTGAGAGGTGTGAGGAGGCGCTGCCAGATGAGGGGAAGGAGCTGTTACAAAGCGAACGGGCTGAACCCAAAGGCATAAACCTGCAGCACGGGCTCACCATATCGGTTCAGGGGTTACGGTACGCCGAGCAGGTTCGGGACACACGCACGATGCAGCTCAATCCCCTCAGCGGCCACACCCAGCGGATGCTCTCCTTATCTGGCTACGGGGCAGGGGACTGGCTGCACGCGGTCCCCTTCAACTCATCACTCCGCCTTGCCCCAGCCCACTTCGCCCACGCGCTGCAGTTTCGGATGGGTCTGCCCTCCTCCGCCCCTGGTGCCTGCGATTGCCGCAAGGAGGTGGCAATCGCAGATAGGAGGCTGCCCAACCACCTGCTCCGCTGCGACACAGGGGGGGGACGAACTAATACTCACAACGAACTTCGGGACGAGTGCGTGCGCATGGCGGAAGACGCAGGCTTCACGACCCATAGCGAAACAACCGCGTTCTGCCCGGTCACCAGAAAGAAGGCAGACATTGCCATACGGGACCGCTCCTCCGGGGCGGTTTGGATCGGGGACGTGACAATCACGGACCCCATTAGTACTCGAGACCCCAACGCGATCAAGGGAAGGGGCTGGGCGGCACGGGAGGCAGCGGACAAGAAAATATATGACTATGAGGGTTCCACGGCCTCAGAGAGAGAGAGAGAGAGAGAGAGAGAGAGAGAGAGAGAGAGAGAGAGAGAGAGAGAGAGAGAGAGAGAGAGAGAGAGAGAGAGGGGATTCTGGTTGACTTGACTGAGCGGTTTCACGGGATTCTAAAAATCCACCTGCAGCGAATTGGGAAGACTGAAGGGAGAGGGTTGTGGTTGACTTACTGGGCGCCTCTGCGATCACAGGGGGGTGTTGTACAGTAATCAGTCACTAGAGTGTAATCTTTGGGCCCTGAGAGGCGTGGCATGGTATGGCGTGGCATGGCATGACATTGCATGATGTTGCATGGCAAGGCATGGATGGTGTTGCATGGCATGGCATGGTATGTTGTGGCATGGCATGGCATGGTATGTTGTGGCATGGCATGGTATGTTGTGGCATGGCATGGTATGTTGTGGCATGGCATGGTATGTTGTGGCATGGCATGGTATGTTGTGGCCTTGCGTGGCATTCTATGGCATGGCGTGGCTCACTTCTCTTCACCCCCCCTCTCTTTTCCTCCTCCCTCTCGTGTCCACCTGTTTCCTTCTCGGCCCCCACTACCCTCCCCTGTTCCCCCTCCCCTTTCCCGCCCGCCAGCCCGCATATGGAGCATTTAGTCCCAGGACGAGGTGTTGGACGATATGAGTGACGGGCCCCTGTTGACCCCCCTTCCCTCCCTTACTGTCCCTTTCCCCTCTCCCCCCTCCCCACACACCGACTCCTTAGATGGAGCGCAAGTTCCAGGACGAGGTGCTGGACGATGTGAGCGATGGCCCCCTGTTGAATCCCCTTCCCCCCTCCCCTCTCCTCCCCTACTCTTTCTCTCCTCCCTGGTGCGTGCCCAGATGGAGCGCAAGTTCCAGGACGAGGTGCTGGACGATGTGAGCGATGGGCTGGACGCGCTGAAGAACATGGCCATGACCATGGGGTCCGAGATGGACAAGTGAGTGTGCGATAGGCAAGTGAGTGTGAGATAGGCAAGTGAGTGTGCGATAGGCAAGTGAGTGTGCGATAGGCAAGTGAGTGTGAGATAGGCAAGTGAGTGTGAGATAGGCAAGTGAGTGTGAGATAGGCAAGTGAGTGTGAGATAGGCAAGTGAGTGTGAGATAGGCAAGTGAGTGTGAGATAGGCAAGTGAGTGTGAGATAGGCAAGTGAGTGTGAGATAGGCAAGTGAGTGTGAGATAGGCAAGTGAGTGTGAGATAGGCAAGTGAGTGTGAGATAGGCAAGTGAGTGTGAGATAGGCAAGTGAGTGTGAGATAGGCAAGTGAGTGTGAGATAGGCAAGTGAGTGTGAGATAGGCAAGTGAGTGCACATTCCTGCTCGCCCCTGTTTAATGTTGAGCTGTTGGAAACAAAACAGCAAAGAACAGGGGCATGATGGACAAGTGAGCCTGCTTTCTTCCTTCGCCCCTCTCTTGTTGAGCCACTGAAATTGAAACGGCAACCAACATGGCCACGACCCTGGGCCTTGGGTCCGATTTTGACAAGTGACATACATACACCCCTCCTCCCTCCGTCCCTCTCTATGCTTTTGCCTGGAAACCAAGCACGCGCTTTAAGATGCTATTTTCGAGGCGCCTCAATATCGTGAACGTATTTTTATGAGGCGCCTAAAAGATGGACACGTGCTCTACCCTCCATCTGTCTATCTATGCGTTTGCCCTGGAAACCAAGCACCGTTCAGTGTTAAGATGCTCAAAGGAGTGAACACTGAACAGCTTGCTCCAAGGTGACTTTTGAGTCGACTCAAAAGTGACTTTTGAGTCGAAAAATGGAGTCGGCTCAAAAGTCAGTGTTAAGATGCTCAAAGGAGTGAACACTGAACAGCTTGCTCCAAGGTGACTTTTGAGTCAACTCAAAAGTGACTTTTGAGTCGAAAAATTGAGTCGTCTCAAAAGTCAGTGTTAAGATGCTCAAAGGAGTGAACACTGAACAGCTTGCTCCACACCTATCCCCATCTCAACTCCAAGCATGATGTCACACGGTTATGGCTGTGGCTATGGCTGCCGCAGCGGATATTATTGACACCTTGTCCCCTTTTCTCTCAAGCAGCGATCCCTCAGGTAGCCCACCCTGTTCTCCCCTCTCCCCTTGTATCCGCCTCTCATCTCCCACCACCCATCACCCCCCGGCGAGACAAGGTGTTGAATCGAAACATAGGTCAGGTCAGATTATGTTTGCAGGGGTATGTTGATTATGTGACCTGACCCTTGACTAAGATCAACATCCCTGCAAATCGAAGTGGTGCTGTTGACATCCTCCTCACATGAAACCATTTTTGAGTCGACTTGAAACCGTATGCTGTTGATTTCTGTCACATGGTCAGCTGAAATGAACCTCCCCCGTCCCCCTCCCCCCAGCCCCCCCCCCCACCCCCCCCTCCTCGCGCTCACCACCCTCCCACCCACCCACCCACCACCCTCCAGGCAAGACAAAGCGCTGGACCATCTGACGGGCGATTTCACGGAGATCAACAGCCCTGCAGAGTCTGCCGGTAGAGACGATGTTTGCTCAAATTATCCTCCCCTCTCCCTTCTTCCTCACCACCCGCCACTCCCCAGGGAAGACAAGGCCCTGGACCACCTGTCGGACAAGGCCCTTCTTCCTCACCACCTGTCGGACAAGGCCCTTCTTCCTCACCACCTGTCGGACAAGTCCCTTCTTCCTCACCACCTGTCGGACAAGGCCCTTCTTCCTCACCACCTGTCGGACAAGGCCCTTCTTCCTCACCACCTGTCGGACAAGGCCCTTCTTCCTCACCACCTGTCGGACAAGGCCCTTCTTCCTCACCACCTGTCGGACAAGGCCCTTCTTCCTCACCACCTGTCGGACAAGGCCCTTCTTCCTCACCACCTGCCGGACAAGGCCCTTCTTCCTCACCACCTGTCGGTCGGACGATGTCACGGAGATGAAGCCCTGCAGATAGAGATGATGCATGCATGAGGCTCAGACTCCCTTCCCCCCAATCCCCCTCTCTCTTCTCGTGCCTGCCTCCCTTCCCTCCAGGCAAGACAAGGCGTTGGACCATCTGTCGGACGATGTCACGGAGATCAACAGCAGAGTGAAGCAGTCCAACAAGCGCGCCGCCAAGCTGCTTGGGAAACGCTAGCCCAAACAGCTGGCCGAGCAACCTTCCGGAACCTCCTTCCCGAGGCATCTAGCCTAGCCTGGGCAGCTAACCCACCCAACGCAGCTACCCCCCAGTGTAGACAGTTAGTCTTGCGCTCAAGCAGTGTCGCCTGCTTGTCATCTCTCTCAAATGGTCCATTGTATTAATTCAGCAAGGGTACAGACATGCAGTTCTATCCATGATAACCTCGTCTGCCTGGTGTTGCTGGTGCTGGTGCTGGTGCTGGTGCTGGTGCTGGTGCTGGTGCTGGTGCTGGTGCTGGTGCTGGTGCTGCCTGCTTAATGTCCTGCTTCTCCCTCATCTCTCCTGCTGCTCCTGCAGCAGGGCAGCACTGCAGCGCTTTTTGAGGCGCCTCAAAAAGCAGCGCTGTTGCTGATGCTGTATCATCTCCTCTCTCGTTGCTGATGCTGCAGCTGTGCCGCCGCTGCTCTTTCTCCCCCTGCTGCTATCCTTTCTCCCGCTAGGTAGCTTTGTGTTGCTGTCTGTGGTGCTGTCTGGTGCTGACTTAACGCTCCTGCAGTTTCATATGTTGCCGAGGCTTCTATATATATCCACAGCTCCACCGCACCTTTTTTTTGTTATGTTTACGGTACTTGACTCTGGCTAGTTTACTTTGTACACGAATTTCCATTTTCACGTTCACATCAGCAAGAGACGAGGAAATTCTGCGAACAAACACCGTGCAACAATGGGACTGTTTGGATCAAGACGGTAGTGGCAACTGTGGTGTAATAAGCGTCGCTGCTGCATATCCAACCTCTGATCCAAATCAGGATAGAACTTGCCATCAGTATATTTTTTCAACTCGGTTAAAGCTGGTTATGTAGGTTGCAGAGACAATAAGCGTGGGTACAGTGCGGTGGCGGACCCACGTTGTGGCCTAAGACAGTCACCTTGCTCCATCACCTTTCTCGCTTCAGCATCTGACACCCTATACAGTAGCTAGTGGTGCAGTTCCCTTTCCCAGTCTTCTCCTTTGAGCAGTGCCAGCAGCAGCGGGAGGTTGGGGATGCGGCCGTGCCTTATGCTCAGCAGGAACTGTCGATGGGAGGGCACTGGGACAAGTGGGAAAGAGGGGGGTTGGGGCAATGAAAAGTGGGCTTTTGGGGTTGGGGATATGGCTGTCTGTGCCGTATGCTCAGCAGGAACTGCCGATGAGAGGGCACTGGGATGCAGGAAAGAGGGGGAGATGGGGGTTGGGGGCAGGAAGAGTGGACTTTTGAGGTTGGGGATATGGCTGTCTGTGCCGTATGCTCAGCAGGAACTGCCGATGAGAGGGCACTGGGATGCAGGAAAGAGGGGGAGATGGGGGTTGGGGGCAGGAAGAGTGGACTTTTGAGGTTGGGGATATGGCTGTCTGTGCCGTATGCTCAGCAGGAACTGCCGATGAGAGGGCACTGGGATGCAGGAAAGAGGGGGAGATGGGGGTTGGGGGCAGGAAGAGTGGACTTTTGAGGTTGAGGAATCATTTCTATTGTTATTATGGCGATTTCAAGTGCTGCATTAAGACTCACATTTTGATTAAACTGAGAGATCATCACGATACTGACAAAGGCAGATGGAACCCTTGTGAAAAAAATAGTCTGTGTTGCCCTGAAATTTGATGTGACAGTAACGAGAATCGAGTGTAACAAACTCCGACTCGGCACCCACACCAAAATCAAAGCAGGACGAGTCTTCTGAACCAAAGCATGCACTCACTGACCATCAAGAGGCAAAAAGCTGTGGTGCGCAATGGCTTTAAGGTGCTGCTGGGATAGACCCTTGAGTGGCGGCACCAGGGCACTGTGAGGGGCGGAGGGAGAGGGGTGGGAAGGGGAGGTAGGAGGAAGCAAGAGGATGAAGGGAGGGAGGTGAGGCACGCGCAAGCAATGCATTTAGGTGCTGCTGGGATAGAATCTGAAGGGGCGGCACTAGGCCATTGCGATAGGTGGAGGGAGGGGGGATGAGGTGGGGAGGAGCGAGAATGGACGGAAATGAGGAGGGTATGTGGAGGGAAGGGAAGGTGAGGAGTTACCTGAGAGGCAGAATGAGGTTCTGATGGACGGCCATGATGAGACGGAGTGGACGGATTGGACGGCCGCGATTGGATGGTAAAGGTTGACAGCCATAGTTTGGGCAAGTGGCGAGGGGGGACCGGGGAGCGTGTGGAGGGGAGGAGAGATGGTGAGCAAGGGACAGAGTGGAAAAAACAGATGCACACATGGGAGGGCGATGCAAGCATGGGACAGCAAGTCAAGCATGGGAGGGCAGTAAGGAGTCAAAAAGTCACCTGCATCACACACTCTCTCTCGAGCACACCCCCTCACTCACACCCTTCCCCACCCTCTCTTCCACACACTTCGAAACCCCCCATACACACCGCTCACTCACCTCCATGCAGACGCTGCTGCACCCCTCCCCACCACCACTGCCCACTCACGTCTCTGTTGCCCCAGAAGTCAAGCGTGCTGATACACACCCTCCACTGCTGCCCATTTCCATCCCCATTCCCAGCAGCAGCAGCAGCAGCAGCAGCAGCAGCAGCAGCAGCAGCAGCAGCAGCAGCAGCAGCAGCAGCAGGTGCCTTGATGAGAGCCATCTCCCCCACATATCGCGAGGAGTAGAACCACAGGCATGCGGACGCTGCTGCTGCACCCCCCACCACTGCTGCCACTGCCACGCTCGTTCCTAACGGAAGAGAGGCCTGATGGGCCGTGAGGGTCATGATGGGTGGTGAGAAGGATGGAGGGGAAGCAATTGGCATGACGGCAGGCAACTGCAGCACGCACACACCTGCACGCAAGCACACAGGTGCGGGGAACTAGCATGAACACGCTTCCTGTCGTCCACCTCTCCTCCACGTGACTTTTGAGTCGACTCAAAAGTCACAGGGTGCGGGGAACTAGCATGAACACGCTTCTTTTCGTCCACCTCTCCTCCACTGCCCCACCGACCACTATCCCTCTCTTGCTCCTCCCTACACACCCCTTGCATCCAATCCCAGCAGCTATTGGCCCGGCAAGCTGGTTCTTGAGAACTCTACAAAATTGGCACAGCAAGCGATGTCGCCCCCACCACTATGTGCTCTCCCTTGCACGCTCTCCCCACCCACCCTCTCACTTAGAGGTTGGCACAGCAAGCAATGTCGCCCCCACCACTACGTGCTCCCTCTCTCCCGCTGTCTCCTCTCCCTTGCAACCCTCCCCAACCACCCTTTGAAACGCTATCCTGCCCACTCAGCTATCCTGCCCACCCAGCTATCCTGCCTACCCAGCTATCCTGCCTACCCAGCTATCCTGCCTACCCAGCTATCCTGCCTACCCAGCTATCCTGCCTACCCAGCTATCCTGCCTACCCAGCTATCCTGCCTACCCAGCTATCCTGCCCACCCAGCTATCCTGCCTACCCAGCTATCCTGCCTACCCAGCTATCCTGCCCACTCAGCTATCCTGCCCACCCAGCTATCCTGCCCACCCAGCTATCCTGCCTACCCAGCTATCCTGCCCACCCAGCTATCCTGCCCTACCCAGCTATCCTGCCCACCCAGCTATCCTGCCTACCCAGCTATCCTGCCCACCCAGCTATCCTGCCTACCCAGCTATCCTGCCCACCCAGCTATCCTGCCCACCCAGCTATCCTGCCCTACCCAGCTATCCTGCCCACCCAGCTATCCTGCCCTACCCAGCTATCCTGCCTACCCAGCTATCCTGCCCACCCATCTCACCCCTTGCGTCCAGGCAGCTATGGGCACGGCCAGAGACGCCACCCCCACCAGCTGAGCCACCTTGAGCCTGCAGCATGCAGCATGCAGCATGCAGCATGCAGCACACAGCAGCAGCGACGAGAGTGGGAGAGAGGGCAGGGCAGGGCAGGGCAGGGAGGCAAACGGGGCGGAAAGGGACGGTCTTCAAGGCGCGTCAACACAACGAATCACACCAGCTGAGCCACCTTGACCCGGAACCATGCAGCACAGAGCAGCGGCGGCGAGCGGAGACATGATTTATGAGCATCACAAACGGTGGTTGTTGTAACAATGGAAAGATATTTGTACGCATATCCACCCTGCACAACCTCTCTCCACCGCTCTCCACCGCACTCACCTCACCATCAGTCTCAGGCCCCGCATCCACCTTCCCCGGTACACAACAATCCGCTGCTCCTCCTCCACCCCTCTCAACCGCTCTCCACCGCTTCCACATGCCTGCTCCTCTACCCGGCCTCCCCTCTCCCTATGCTGCTCACTTGACCCGAATCCCCCTCTCTGGCCCGCGCCTAGAACCTTCTCCGAACCTTCGTTCCCCACGCTCCCAGGCTGCCCCTCCACCTCTCTACGAGGCCTTTCCGCATTTCCCGACGTTTCAAGCGTCGAAGATAAATGTCGGCGCGCTGCGGATTCTACTAATGAGGAAAATCGCGGCGAGTTTGGAGTGGTCAGAGGCGGGAAAACCGGCCACGCCGCGGGACGTGCGGGGAGGAGCGTGCGCGAATTGAAGGGTCGAGGTGCGATCGCGGCAATTGCGGAATCTCTCAGCCAATAGGAGTTCAGCTCCTGCCACGTGGCTGGACAGGACGGATCTCGGCGGAGACTCGAGGGTTGCGCAGAGCGCGCAGAGTACGCCGAGGCTTGCGGCGGGAGGGCGAGCGGTGCTGCGGGATTGCAAGCGGCAGAGTGCGGTGCAGAGTGGTATGGACTCAAGGCATGTGGTGGTTGCGGGGAGTGTGGCGGAGCTGGCGCGAGTTGCGCGGAAGGGGCGAGGTGCGCGGAAGGCGGAAGGGTGGGGCGCGGAGGAGCAATGTGCGACAAGAGGAGCCGTGCGACGCTTGTGCGAGAGCGATGCGCGTGGGGCGACATATCGCCAGCGATACTGAGTCTATCGTCTATCCTCTAGCGCTTGAGAACAGAGATTACCCAACGACGAGCACTGATGAGGAATGGTGATAACGTGCAGCATTATAGAGAAGAACTGGTTCTCGTTAAGAGATAACCCTGTTTCAGAGAGTTGTCATCCTGTAATAAGTTCGTTTCAGATATATGTTTACACATTCTTAGCGCAACATGAACATTGTGGATACATGATGTTTCATGGGAGGGCAGGTATGTTTTGCTCTCTTCCCAAGGTTTAAGATCGATTTGAGACCAATGGAACCGTAGAGGGAATCACACATTAGCACGCTAGCAACTAAACTAAACTTCCACCACCATTTGCAATACGTTTCGCAATCGCACCCTAACCGGCAAAATTATTGTACACGACAACGAAAACCAATGCCTTCAAGTTGCAAACAATGTATCTACAACATCAACAATCCATCACATCCTCTATGCAATCGAGAGTACGAATCCACAATCCCAGCAATCCCACCTCCAGCCATCAACAAATATCTATCCCTCCGATCTCTGTGACTGTTGGTAGCCCAAGCCATGGCTCACATCGGTACATGTCAGCACACTAACACCAGCCCGGCCACTCACTGCCACACCACACCCCCTCCAACCAACCCCTCCATCCCCACCACCACGACCATGGCCCCGGGACCTCCATGCCCCTCATGCCCTCGTGCCCTCCGTGTCCCTCGTGCCCTCCGTGTCCCTCGTGCCCTCCATGCCGGTGCCACTACACTACCACCAGCCCGACCAGTTGAACCAACCACCCCATCCACTGCCACCCCACCCACCACCACTAGTGGAATTCCCCACCACACCCCCTCCAACCCCTCCATCCCCACCACCATGACCATGCCCCTCGGGACCTCCATGGCCCACATCCCCATGGCCAGGGCCCTCAGGCCCCCCATGGCCATGGCCATGCCCGTGGTGCCCCTCGCCAATGCCACCACCGTTGTTGTCACCGCCACCAATGCCACGGCCAGAGCCACCACCGGTGGACGAGGTAGCGCATGAGAAGTCCAGGGTGAGCGCACCGCTGCAGTAAGAATCAGATATTGGATTTTGTTAGGAAAGTGTTTTGTGAGTGGAAGGGCAGAACAAGAGGGAGAAAACCAAATGCGAGGAAGCCACAGAATTAAACGAAGAAACAAGCGTGTGTTTGGAATTTTGCCAAAATTAAAGGCACCAAGCAGCATTACTCACTCATTCTCTCCGTGGAAGCCGAGAGTCTGTGATCCGCCTTGGGAGTATCCCCAGATGAGTGTGTTGGAGCCGTTCACATTGACTGGGATGGAGCCATCGCTCTGCGTGCGAGAAAACCTGCCAGTGTGGTGCCACGAGGGGTTTTTGAACAAAATCACATCACATGATTATCAGAGGTGCATGAGATAAGGAGGAAGCAGGGGGGAGAGAGGGAGAGTGTGTGTATGTGTGTGTGTGTGTGTGTGTGAGAGAGAGAGAGAGAGAGAGAGAGAGAGAGAGAGAGAGAGAGAGAGAGAGAGCAATGCTTCACAAAACAAGGACTCACTTCATGACTTTAGAGCCACTAGCACTCACTAGCACTGGTACTCAGCGCCGCACCACTCCCAATACTGAATCCGCTTGTAGGCTGCACATCGCCCAGCCCATACCCGCCCATATAATAAGCCGCCACAGCCCCCCCAGGCAGGTTCCCAATGACAGCATCAGCAGGGGCCATACGGCCGTCTGCAGACCATGCGAGGGAGAACCACCCTGCTGCTGCCATGCTGCCCGCTGCTGCCTCCAGGGCCAGATTGACTTTGGTGGCGCTGACTGTGTACCAGTGGAGGGATAGCGAGGAGTCCAAGGGGGCAGAGTAGGTGTATCCGGCGAGGGAGGAGGCGGCACAGGAGGAAGAAGATGGGGGGGAGGTGGAGGGAGGGGAGGTGGAGGGGGGTGCAGGGGAGGAGGGTGGGGAGGTGGAGGGGGGTGCAGGGGAGGAGGGAGGGGAGGTGGAGGGGGGAGCGGAGGAGGAGGAGCCATCACAGGAGAAGTCAACTGTGGTCACTCCGCTGCAATGAGGGTGAGATGGGCGTGGAAGAGGCATGGAACGAGCAGCAAAGGGGGGACAGAGAATGAGTCAGGGCCGGTGGGACATGAGCCATCCACGCACTGTAGGTGAATTATTTTTCATGTATTGAAAAAAAAAGGAAAAAAAAAAAACAGAGCCGAAAGCATGACAACAAAGGGTGTGTGGGATGGCGATTGAAAGGTGGGGATGGTAGCTCACTCGTTCTCTCCATGGAACCCCAGGGTCTGGGAGTCGCCCTCTGAGAAGGCCCAGATGAGTGTGTTGCTGCCGCCAACATTCACTGGTACGGCTCCATCGCCTGTCATGCGGGAGAACCTGCCAAGCAGCACACGTGACACACAGGCACATAATTAGAAGTGGCTGATCCCTGGAGAAGCAATAACAGGGACGTGATATGGCAGAGAATGAGAGGCTCAGGCGAACTATGTACCACATGTGGCAGCATTTGTGGCAGGAGATATAGAGTGCATGGGACCAAATCTGGTGGTTGTGTAGCCATGAATATCTTTAAGCAGATTCTGCAAAAAGAAACACGTACTCGATAACAGTGGAGCCAGAAGCCGATGTAGTTTGAACCGCGTTGCCAATATCGAAGCTGCTTGTAGGCTGAACATCACTCATCGCATAGCCGCTCATGTAATAAGCCGCCACAGCCCCCCCAGGCAGATTTCCTATGACAGCATCAGCGGGGGCCATGCGACCGTCTGCCGACCATGCCAGGGAGAACCACCCCGCTGCTGCCGTGCTGCCTGCTGCTGCCTCAAGGGCTAGGTTGACTTTGGTGGCACTTGCTGTCTTCCAGTGGAGGGTCATGCTGGGAAAGAAAGGAAGGAGGGGTGAGGGGGTGGAGGATACAGAAGGGTGAGTTATGATTTCAGAAAGGCAAGGATGACTACACAGGCGTGGCCGTGCTGCCTGCTGTCGCCTCCAGCCCTTGGTTGCCTTTGCACGCACTGGCTGCCTGCCAGTGGAGTGTTAGCCTGGGGAAGAAGGGGGGGAGATGAATCGGTTCAGCGTTAAGAAATGAATGGGGAATGTTGAAGCTGATCAAAGAGAGTTCAGACAGGTCAAATGCCTGGGATTTGAAGGGCACGAGTCATTGTAACCGAAGGGAGGTACAACCCCAATTTGTAACCATGTAACTCACGTTTGGAAGAAATTTCACAGGCAACTCACTCGGAAGAGAGCTGAACGGAGGAGGTGTAGTCGGCAAGGGACGAAGCATCACAAGTGGCAGCAGCGTTGCGGCCTGTCACAGTGGCTGCGGTGGTCCTGGTTCCCATGGTGCTGTTTTTCTTCGTCTTCACCACTGCAGCGGACCGTTTCCCCAGCGTAGCAGTCCCCGTAATAGTACCAGCTGCTGCAATGCTTGCAGCTGCTGCGTTGGGAATAATCCTAGTAGCTGCTGCTGCTGACCCTTTGCTTCCTGCGGTGGTGACGGTTCTGCTGCCGCTGCTGCTGCTGCTACCACTAACTGCTGTTGCAGGAGCAGAGCTGCCTGAAACAGTGGATATAGATGCGCCAACTATCCTGCTGTTCACCCTCGCGCGCCACAGGCTGCCAAGAGATGGCTTGACAGCTCCCACGTGATGAGAGAGAAGCTCACGCCCGGGCTTTAGGGCAAGAGCGGAGCTTTGAAAAATGGCAGCCAACATCACGAAGAGAATAATATTCCTGATGCCCATGTTTCGAAATATTAGGTTGTTAAGCTGCATGATAGGAGAATGGCGCTAAGTTCAAGCGTCTGGACTGAAAAGGGCTTCTAGAAACACGTGCCCTGAAGGTGTGTGCGGAATGGTGCTGTGCTTCTCCTGTGTTGGCTGGAACTGGATTTGGAATTTATTTTCTCCTCCACTCACATTCCCTCCATTACTGAAATTTCCTCCCACAGAATTGCACTTGCCCAAGTCGCGCACGCCAATTTGCGACGCGACATCGGAAAAACATCGAGGGCGAAGACATTGTCGGTGGAGATCGACGGCCAATGTTTCTTCTGATGCTGAATGTAAACTGCGGCGAAGGGGTGGATTTCGTGACGTGGCTGCGAAGACGAGTCAGTTCAGAACGAAGACTGGCAATTGGTGAGTGGTCGGTTGGGCTGTGTTGACGAGTCTTTTCTCCAAAAGTCAACGATCCATTCAACCCTGGATTCTTGTACACCGCAATATTTTCTGTACTCAATAATAACATCATAAAATAATTTTCTGTATCACTCTGGATGAAACAAAGTATAACAGAGCAGCTAACAGCGGAGATTCCAATTCCACCAGATTCCAATTTTTGACAGTGCCAGCTGAAATGTGGCTGCTCAAGTCTGCTGACCTACAATCCTTCTTGTATAAACAATCCTCGCTTGGAATGCGGGTAGCTAACTTGTTGTCTTGTTCTCTCGGCAATGCGAATTTCAGGAGTCGCTTTCCGCGCGAGCCTTTTCCGCGGAAGCATTCTCCGCGCGAGCACTTTCCTCCGTCCGCCGTGCGCCCTCCCCAATTTCCTTCCGCATCCGGCGCGATCCGGCGCGTTTCGGCTTCTGTCGCAGGGATGGCGACGGGTAAGGTGGAAGATACCGTCGCAAGACATTCGCACAGCAGACCCGTGCGACAGGCTGGGCGATTTCTGACTCAACAGGAGCTGCTTCGCTTCCCGCATAAGTGAGATTGCTGAATTCGAGTCAACGGAACGTACACCAAATATGCGGAACTCAACCAGCAGTTTTTTGGTATTCAACCACCAAATCCGCTAACTGCTATTCAAGCCTCGCCGTCCCCCTGTTTCTACCCCCCAGGCCTCCTTCCGCTCTCCCTTCTCCTTTCCGCTTTCGCCCCTTCCGTCTTCCCCTCCCCCCCCCACCCCCCCACCCCACTCCCCCTCTTTCTCCCCACCTGCCAGGCTCATTCGAGACATCGCCTTTGTCGTCTTCTGCCCGCCGCTGCTGCTCTCATCTGACCAAGTACGCCCATGCAACCAATCACCACGCTCTGCTCCCTCTCCCACGGATGCATCCACCACGTCCCCCCTTCGCCTCCCCTCCCCTTCCCTCTTTCCTCCTCTTCCCTCTTTCTCCCCCACTCTCCTCTCCTTCGCCTGCTTCTCCCATCTGATCAAGTACGCCTTGGCCCTGCACCCGCCACACTCTACCCTCCCCCACATGCACCCGCCACACTCTACCCTCCCCCACATGCACCCGCCACACTCTGCCCTCCCACACATGCATCCATCACGTGGCCCTGTTTTGAGCTGCCTCAAAACAAGACCCGCCTCACTCTGCCCCCTTACCCCCCCACCCTCCACCCCCCTCCCCCCACCCCTCCCAATCCCCTTCGCTCTCGTCTCTTGCTCCTGCCGATTTCTTTCCCTGCTGCTCCCATCACACCAAGTACGCATTGCCCTTGCAACCACCACACTCTCCTCTCCCCTGATCGCTGCTCTCCCCCCCCCCCCCCCCCCTTCCCCTATCTCCCATATCATTCCCCCTGATTGCGCCACTTACCAGTGGTAATCACCCACAACTCTTCCTCTCTCTCCCTCCTCTCCCTATTCTCCCCCCTCTCCCCGTTCTCCCCTCTCCCCCGCTTCTCTCCCCTGTTCTCGCCAGTTACCAGTGGTGGACCCACACGTCTTCGCCAGCAATTCTTCCCTCCTGATGCCCACCACCCTCCCCAACTCCACCTCTACTGATCACCATGCTCAATACACTAACCCACGTGGCTGTAATAACAACCAGTCAAGTAGTGTCAATCCACGTGACAGTGACGAGATGGACGGTCACGATGCGATGCTAGCTTGGCTGGAGTCTCTGGATGAAGGACACGTGGCAGCATGGTTCAGGGAGAAGAAGCAAAGTGCCCGATTGGGCGATCACTATGCTCTCTGCATCCTCTTCGTTCTCACGTTCGGCCCGAACCTGAAGCCTCGGGATCTCCGAACATCCGTCCAGGTCCATGTTTCAGAGGCTCGGGGGAAGCCTACCCGCCTCATCTTTCCCGAACCAGGCACCGAGACTGACAAAAGCCTGTCCGAACCTCTGCCTGAATCTGAATCATCTATGCTCAACATGACACCCTCCGGGTTGTTAAAACCGGGTCCAGACCATGCGAAGTTACCGAGCTTAGAGGGCCTTGGTGTGCCGAACCTCGAGCTGGCTCCAGCTCGGCCGGAGCTGGAGTTTCCGGAGCTAAGGCAGATGGGCAGGCGGGCTCGAAAGCGATTCCTGCGAGAATCGAGGGACAGAAAAGGACGAATCCAGACAGTGGGGGAGTTTGATGTGCTGTTCACACTGCCGCCCCACTCTCCCCCTCCTCAATCCCTCTCTCCTCCTTCTCCTCCTCCTGTTTCTCCACCTCCTCACTCTCCTGATCATTCTCACTCTCCCGCTCTATCTTTGAAGAGAGTGGGGGTGTATGGTGTGAAATCAGCTGCTGATGGTGCCGGTGATGCGGATACAGCTGGTGTTGCAACTGTTGATGGCAGTGCTACTGCGACTGCTGCTGCTGTTGCGGCTGTTCAGTCTCCTGCTGCTGATGCTGACGTGCCATCAAGTGCTGCTGTTGCTGCCAGTGGTGGTGGGGATGCCGCTGGTGCCGCTGCAGCCCCCGTGCTCCACCATTGGGAACTTTCAGTGAAGTTTCTCCTCTTTGTGGGCTCGTGGGATGATGCTCTATCCATCTTCTCCCGCCGCTTCCCTCCCTCTGAGAGCGACTGTAGCAGCAGCTGTAGCAACAGTAGCAGCAGTAGGAGCAGTAGCAACAGTAACGGCTGTAGCAGCAGTGACAGCAGTAGCACAAACGACAACAGCAGCATCAAAGAAGCTTCACCTGACCCTGAGTGGATGCTGGGGCAGTACCTGGGTCCCCACGTGGGTGAGTCCCTCCGCAAGTCAGGAATTCCACCTGAGGTCATCCCACCTGAAATAGTCCCACCTGAGGAATCACCTGACCCTGAGTGGCTACTGGGGCAGTACCTGGGTCCCCATGTGGGTGAGTCCCTCCGAGACCGCAAGGCCCGGTTAAGCCGCCAGCTGCAGCTGGGGAGGCAGGGTCATGGCGCCCAGCTTATAACGAGGATGTATGGTGCAGTGGAGGGTGGCGGGCCAACAGATACGGGCTTAGGATCTTTTCAAAAGGAGAAGGCTGACGGAGAGTATGGTAGGGATAGCTGTGGAATTTTGCAGAATGGCGAATGCAGGAGCGGGGGTCATGAGATGTCTCGGAAGGAGAATACTGAATCTTGTGCGGGAGGAGGGAATGAGGCCTGTGGGGAGGAGGAGAGTGGGGGGAGTTTGTCCTCGTTACAAGCAGCTGCACTGTTACAGGGGTACCTATTCTATGAGTATCCCCTGTGGTTGAAAATGAGAGAGATGGAGACGGGGCAGCGAGGGAGGAGTAGCAAGGGCGAGACGGCACTGACCACAGCAGAGACAACCGCAGCAGAGAAAGCAAAAGAGCCAGCAAACGCAGCAGCAGAGGCAGCAGCAGAAGCAGCACGGGCAGCAGCTGAAGCAGCAGAGGCAGCGGCAACAGCTGCAGGCACAGCAGCGGCGCCATGCACTGGTGTGTTTCCGTGGCACTGGCATGGGTGGTGGACACATGATGCCGCAGCGGTGGTACACCACCCGAGACATGTCCATTCCCGCTGGTACATCCTTCCCAAGGCGGAATGGCTCTCACCTGTCATCGTCCCAGTCCCAGATAGAATCTCCCCCACGTGGCCACAGCATCCAGTTACCACCTCCCCTGGTCCCCGCCTGGATGATATCTCCCCTGGTGCTGTTCCTGACCCAGGTGCCACCTGTCAGGATGCCGAACTAGGTGCCGGCTTTGCAGCGCGGCCCGACGGGATTGCAACGCCATTGACGGGAGTCGTTTTGCTTGAAACGATTCACAGGTGTTCTGAGGATGCTCGATCAAGGAAGCTTCCCCGGAAGCTCCGATTTCTTGTTGCTGAACTCCAGTGGGACCCAGAATACTTGACCTCGAAAAATATACGCGTATTTGATAGTTCTATTGATAATGCATGTGATGGGTTTGGGAATGGTGAGGAAAGCGGAGCTTGGGTTGAAGTTAGCAGAGGATTTATTGTGGAGGAGGGCTGGCCTGACAGTCGAAGCCATCCTCCACATGGGTTTGTTTGGAGAGAAGGACGTGGCACTCCCTTTTGGTGATGTGTACACAACATATGTGTGTTTCATTATGAAAGGGCCCTTTACGTTTTTTGGATTCGAAGCTCTGCTTTAGCTCAGTACAACGGAATTTGAAGCTGACACAAGCGCGTATCCAGCTGCGGCCGCGCGAGCGCCACAGCAAAGGGGAGGAATCAAAGATAGTCTCCGACACTTGTGCGACCCTTGTGTTGCCCAATCAGGAAAATGACTCTTCTTGGTTTGGTCAAGCCATGTGCCCGGCACGCCGAACCAGTACCTGATTCCCTTACCTGACCATAACAAAGCTGTGGTCTCGCCACGGGGTTCCCGAACCAGCGGTTTTGCGATGTCGGCGCCGCCTTCTTCATACACGTGGTCCTGAATGCTGCTCTGCCATAGCATGATTGAAGGTGGCACGCGAAAGTGCTTCTGTGAGTGGTGTCGCGAACCTTCTTGTGCCACGTAATGGTTGGCTGTCCGTCATTTGCGAACACCTCTCGTCAACTGCAACGATTTTGTAACATTTCGTCACCACTTTCGTCACGATCTCAACTCAGCTCGTCCAGCCCTGGGCGCCGCTGAAGCTTGGGGAAGGGGTACACCCCCAGATGTGCCCTGTACCGAGTCGCTGCTGACTGTGTCCCCTAGCCCCTACAAGCCTACTTCCACCAATGAGCGCTTTACGCGGCTCCGCATAGCGACACGCGTCTGTTGCAAACAACCTGGTGCGCCAAGAGTCATCGCACGCATCACATCAACCCCACTCCCCCTCCTTTCATCTCCCTTCCCCCTCCCCCTCTTCTCATTTTTATTCCCCACCGCCGCCAGTCCCTCCTTCCGCAAGATCCAGACCAGACCTTCCCCCACCTCGTTTTCTCCCCAATCACCCCGCCCCCCACCTTTCCCCGCGCCCCCCTATTCCCCCTACCTTAGGGCGTGTCTTTCTTGGCGAAAGTACATTCTTTTTGTGTTTGTTACCCGATAACATATTGTAACATATGTCTTTTACGAGCCGAACAGACAGTTACTTCTGGATTCGTTTCTGGCAGCGACTTTTTTACGTATCCTAGTTCGTGTGCAGCACGTGCCATGCACTCGAGTACAGAACATGTACACACATATTTCGGGGTTTGCCGAAGTGTTTCCAGGCATGCGAAGCTCGCCAAAACGGGTCTAACGAAGACAGCCGAAGGCCCGAGGGCGATTTTCTCATGGCACGGGCGTGAGAAAATCCCGCTGATTAAGTAACGAAATTCGCAGTGCGACAGGGTTACCGCTCGCGACTTCTGATATGCCACAGGGTTTGTGTTTGGGCGGGACTGTATGTCCGCGTGCAAAAAAATGGGTTCGCGTCAGGCAGACACAAACCATTTTCGGTACGTGCGGGCAGCACATTTGGGAAAAATAACAATTACGTTAAAAAGGTGTAATCCCGATATACACCCTGCAAGACACGCCCTTACCCCCCAAACCAACCCAATTTTGTCCATCGCCCCCAATTTCTCCTAGTGCCCCTTCGTCTCTGCCGCCCCCCCCGTGTCTGTCGATGTGCGTCGCACTTGCGCACCCTCGCGTTTGCACCCCAGACTTCTCATATCAGAAATTCAAAGAAGCTCTTGAATCCCATTCTGCTCAACGAACTCCAACCCAAACGCAGGTGTGGTTTCTCAGTTGGAGTTTGCAGGAGAGCCATTCTTGCTGCCGCTCCTCCCTGGACGCGCGCAGCCGCTCCCGGCACCTCTTCTTCCAGTCGTTCCGCCGCCGCCAACCTACTCGCTCTCCACATGGCCGCCTGGTCAGCCAGCGCCTCGCGCGCGGGCCGCGCAAGCCTCCGCGCAACCATGACCGCGCTTCCGCTGCTGCTCTCGCTGCTGCTCGTCCACTCGCACACCGCGCTCGCCGTAAAAAACGCTCCGCCTCCGCCTCCGCCGGATGCGCTCTCGTTCTTCTTCCCGTTCCTCACCATGGGCTCCATCAACCGCGGAAACCTCCGCTTCGCCAGCCCGCCTCCGCCTCCGTCTCCGCCTCCGCCTTCTCCTTCTCCGCCTCCGCCTCCGTCTCCGCCTCCGTCTCCGCCTCCCCCTTCCCCGCCTCCGCCGCCCGTGCAGCATAGCTCCGCGAAGTGCGGCCCGTCATCGCTCGCCGCCAGCGGGTTTACCTCGTCGAAGGTCCTCGCGCCAGGGTATGTTCCGAGTCCCGTTAACTCGTTGTTCTCAGCGCCTCAAAGCTCGCGCCAGCGTATGTTTGGAGACGCATTTCATCGCGCCTCGCATGTCCCGACATAATCTGAAACGCGCAAATGATGGATTTTTAACGAAGGTGATTTATTGAGTGGACTATAAAATCAACTCTACTTACGTGACAGTGATGATATGCAGGAAAGACTTCGGTGTTTTTATAAACACCCTCGCTCCGTTGCTTCATTCGTCGTTGCTTCTATTTCATGACATACCATGCGCCTCGCTGGGGACACACGACATTGATATGGCATGACGACCCACTTGTTATTCCTCGCCATGATCTAAACACCCACCTCCTCTTTCTCCGCTTCCTCCTCTCCTTCCGTCTCCTTCCGCTCCCTTCCGCTCCCTCCGCCCCTTTCCCTTCCCCCCGCCTGCCCTCCCGCCCTTGTCCGTCGCGCAGACTCATATGGCATCGGCGCTCGTCCTCCGCGGAGCCTCACATACCATTGGCGCGCTTCGTCCTCCTCGGAGTCTCACGTGGCATTGGCGCGCTCTGCTGACTCTGAGTCGACTCGAAAGTCATTCTTTCTGCCCCTCGCCCCGCCTACTTGTTTTTGCGCAGACTCACGTACCATTGGCGCGCTTCGTCAGGCTCGGTGGTTCAAATGGCGCTCGAGGCCGACCCGACGCGATCCAAGGGCTGGTTCGGCGTCGGCTGGACTGCCACCCAAAACGGCGTCAAAACCGACGCGGTTTTCGCGAACGTCGCGAACGGCGAAGTGAAGCCTTTCACGACGATGAGCGTCACCGCGCCGCAGATGCAGGGCGGCGAGACGCGCATGACTATTATGACGCAAACGAACACGCTCAGCATCGGGAGCGCCGGATCCGTCGGGTTCGGCGACAGCACCATCGCCTTGTGAGTACACCGCGCGTCGCTAGCTATCGCCGACATGGCATCGTTCATAGTTGTCACTACACCATTTCGCCAATGTTCCCGTTCGCAATTTCGTCAATACCGCCATTTCCAGAAAGTGTGCGCCTTCTATGGCCACTCCCTGTTCCTTTTCCGTGCTCTGTTTTTTTGCCCTCTGTGGCCTTAGCCGGTTATTCTAACTGACGCCCTGTCTACTGACGGCTTACCGTCTAAACTGACGGCCGAAATCCTGACTGACGGCCGACTGTTTGGCTGACGATCAAACCAATGTCTGACATCAAATGTCGCGCCTTGATGTGTCCGTGCTTCCCTCTGTTTGTTTTCAATGTCTCAGGTTTAGCCGAACCGAGGGGACAGGCTCGGTGACGTTCCAGTCGTCTGGACCTATGAACTTGGTTTGGTTCCTCCCGAGCCGGGACGGGCAGCCAATGGGGAGCAACCCGACTCCAGCGTAAGCAGAAGGGGGGAGGGGGGAATGGGGAAAATGTGGGAGAACGGGGGGTGGCGGAAGGGACGAAGGCGGGAGAGGGGGGAGGGGAATGTGTTAGAATGGGGACGGGAAGCGGGGTGACATTAGGGAAGGGGGAAATCGAGGTGAGAGAAACGGACGGGCGGGAACGGGAAGGGAGAGAGAAAGGGGCGGATTGGATGGCTGAAGGGGGGAGGAGGAAGAGCGGGAAGTGCGAATACGAAAGTGTCATTTCCCTCTCCATTCCATTCCCTCTCCCTCTTCCGCTTCCCGTTCCCCCTCCTCCCCTCCCCCAGCGGTTCCGCCCAGGTGGACTATTCCTGGACCCTTGTTGCAATGGCCTCATGGCGTGCGACACTATCGTTACGGCGCCCATTCCCTGCCTCCTTCCCTCTGCCGCCCATTCCCTGCCTCCTTCCCTCTTCCGCCCATTCCCTGCCTCCTTCCCTCTGCCGCCCATTACGGCGTCCCCCCCCCTCTCTCCCCCTTCCTCCCCACCCCAGTGGGTCCGCGCAGGTGGACTACGCGTGCAACGGGCTCATGGCGGGCAGCGCCGTCGTCATGGCGCCCTGAAGCCTCATGTTCTGCCTTCCCCCCCCCTCTGTGTGCCCCCCCCCTCTTTGTGTGCTTCCCCCCCCCCTCTGTGTGTGCTTTCCCCCCCCCTCTGCGTGTGCTTTCCCCCCCCCTCTGTGTGTGCTTCCCCCCCCCCTCTGCGTGTGCTTTCCCCCCCCCTCTGCGTGTGCTTTCCCCCCCCCTCTGTGTGTGCCTGCTCTTCCGCCCTCCTCCCAGTGGTTCCTCTCAGATAGACTCTACTCGTGCAACGGCCTCATGGCGGGGGAGGGGACGCCACCGTCATGGCGCCCGCGCCCACACATTCAGCGACTCCCCCCACCCTTGCTCCCCAACCCCCCCCCTCCTCACTCCCCCCAGTGGTTCCGCGCAGGTAGACTACGCCTGCAACGGCCTCATGGCGGGGGACGCCACCGTCATGGCGCCCGCACCCGCCCCCTCCCCCGACTCGCCTTCCCCCCCACCTCCCCCCTCCACCACGCCCTCCCCCCCGCCCCCGTCGGGCGGAACCCCCCCCACCAAGGGCGTGCTGTGCCCCGCGTCCACGTTCGATGGATACGAGTATCAGCTGGAGCTGGGCAGTGGCAAGTGAGTGCGGATGGGAATGTGTGTGGGTGTGTCTGCGGCCTGTAGTTTCTTTCCAGCCCTCCCCTCCCCCGACCCCTTCCCCCCCCCCCCGCCGTCCATGTTCGATGGATACGAGTATCAGCTGGAGCTGGGCAGTGGCAAGTGAGTGCACGTGGGGGCGATGTGAGACTGTGTGTGTGGGTGTGTGAGTCCGTGTGAGACTGTGTGTGTGGGTGTGTGAGTCCGTGTGAGACTGTGTGTGTGGGTGTGTGAGTCCGTTTGAGACTGTGTGTGTGGGTGTGTGAGTCCGTTTGAGACTGTGTGTGTTGTCAGAATGTTGTATTTGTCTAGCTTGCAGTGGGGTACTTTATAGCGAGTACAGCCCAATCTAGGGTTTCCTATATGTACTCAACTGCTTGCTAGTGAACCTCCTCCTTTCTTCATTCTTACTTTCTACTGCTGATTCTGACATGCTATCAGAGCAGGTCGATCCCCTTGGGTCGATCCTGTGGGTGGGCCCACCACCTCACTGCTTCCGCTGCTACTGCTACTCTGTGTGTTGCACGCCCCGTGGCGTGCGACGGATTTTTCATCCCGCTGCGCGCTCGGAGCGTGCGGCGGTTTTCTGCCCGCCGTGCGCCCCGAGGCGCGCGGCGGTTTTCTGCCCGCCGTGCGCCCCGAGGCGCGCGGCGGCTTTCTGCCCCGTCACTCCGCGCGTCGCTCCCGGGAGGCGCTGCGACGGGCGACGGGGACCCGCGCGTCGCCCCCCGTCGCCCGTCGCGGCCTGCGCGACCTGCGTAGGGCCCGCGCGCGGCCCGTACAGCCTGCGCGCGGCCCGTACGGGCTGCGCCAGGCCCGCGCGCGGCCCGTACGGGCTGCGCCAGGCCCGCGCGCGGCCCGTACGGGCAGCGCCAGGCCCGCGCGCGGCCCGTACGGACTGCGCCAGGCCAGGGCGCGCCTCGGGCCGCCCGCACGCGGTTCGTACGGGCTGCGCCAGGCCCGTGGGCGCCCTGTTTTCTCTGCCCCTGCGCTGCCCGCTGTCCCCCGTGCTTCTGACGGCGCCCCACCCCTGCTGCTGCCCGTTCTCCTGAATTAGGGTTTGGGGGTGGGGGGTATGGGGGTGCAGTTTCTGTGCGTCGTCCCCTACTCCTCCTCTTCCGTCTCCCAGTGCTGCAGCTGCCGCTGAGGGGGGTGGGTGTGTGGGAGCCGAAGGAGTGGTACTAAGGGGGTGACGTGCAAGTGGAGTTAGGAGTGAAGCAGTGGGTGTGTGGGGGGTGAGTGGGACAGTTGGAGGAGGTTGAGCGGAGGCTGCTGTCTTGTCGTCCGCAGCACCTGTAGTCCGGGGCGCACTGTCCTGGTAGCCCAGAGAGTCTGCTGCGCCTGTCGCCCGAGGGTCCGTTGCTCCTGTAGCTCGTCGTAACCCGTGAGCCAGTTACTCCAGTAGTCCGGGGCGCACTGTCCCGGTAGCCACTGTGCCAGCAGCTCCTGTTGCCCGTGTGTCTGCAGCTTCAGCCGCCGTCTCTCATCTTCTCTCCTCTCACAGTCCCTCCTCCTCCTCACTTGCCCGCTGTGATTACCTCTAGCTTTGCTTCTTATTGTGAACTCCTGCTATACCTGCTCATTGTGCTGATTACACCCCACTTTGGCTATGGGGGTGTGTCAGAATGTTGTATTTGTCTAGCCTGCAGTGGGGTACTCTATAGCGAGTACAGCCCAATCTAGGGTTTCCTATATGTACTCAACTGCTTGCTAGTGAACCTCCTCCTTTCTTCATTCTTACTTTCTACTGCTGATTCTGACATGTGTGGGTGTGTGAGTCCGTTTGAGATTGTGTGTGTGGGTGTGTGAGTCCGTTTGAGACTATGTATGTGGGTGTGTGAGTCCGTTTGAGACTGTATGTGTGGCTGTGTGAGTGCGTGTGCGCACGCACACGGGCAGGCGTGTGTGCGAGAAAGAGCGTGCCAAGAGACGAGATGAGTGTGTGTGTGTGTGTGTGTGCTGGAACAAACCAACCAGCCAGCCTCTCACACTGTTGATCTCACACTGTCCATCTCACACTGTCCATCTCACACTGTCCATCTCACACTGTCGATCTCACACTGATGATCTCCCAGCCAGCCTCTCACACTATCACTCACTATCCACAAGCCCGCACCACTCTATTCTTTCCTCTACCATTCATCACAGTCATCAATTCACGCCATTCCCACTTCTCACCATCCCCCTACCCTTCCACCCCCCTCCACCCCTCTCCGCCACCCTCCAACCCTCTCCACCCCTCTCCACCCCTCCAGCTACCTGCTCCACTGGAAGTTCGCCTCCAACACGGTCATCAACTTCCTGCTCGAAGCCCGATCCAACACCATCATCAAAGACGCGTGGATGGCCGTCGGATTCTCCAAAAAAGGCAAAATGAAGGGCTCGGATGCAGTCATCGGGAACCTCCCGGGCGTGGGCGCGTTCTACATGAGCGGTTACCGCCTGAAGAACATCCAGCAGACGTCACTCTCCCTCGGGACCACGTCGGTGTCGACCACGAGTGAGGGAGGCACGTCCATTGCGTTCAGCCGCACGGTGGGCACGGGGAACGTGCCGCTGAAGCTCAACACCACCAGCTACCTCATCTGGGCGTTCGCCTAGACGGTCACCAAGAAGCTCTATTTCCACGGCATGAACCAGTGAGCATGGGGGAGATGGGGGTGATGGGGGTGATGGGGGTGCTGTGTTCACCTGTATAGCGTTGGCACAGACGGTCACTAAGATGCTCTACTTCCACGGCATGAACCAGTAAGATCTGAGATGGGGGAGATGGAAGATATGGGGATGAGATGGGGGAGATGGGGATGAGATGGGGGAGATGGGGGAGATGGGAGAGATGGGAGAGATGGGGGAGATGGGGATGAGATGGGAGAGATGGGAGAGATGGGAGAGATGGGGATGAGATCGGCGCATTCGTGCACTGTATTTTCACCTATGTTCCTCCCCCCCCACGCCCCCCTCCCCCCACTTCTTCCCTACCCCACAGGGGCGGGTATGCGGTGGACTGGGCGTGCTACCAGACGCCCAAGGCCCTGTGGGGCGGCGGGCCCGACTACGACAGCGATGACTCCGATGTTGACAAGGACTACTCCGGCGGCCCCTGGCAGGGCGCCAGCCTCCCCACTGATGCTGCTGCTGGTGGTGGCCTCACTGCCACTCTTGCTGATCAGGGGCAAACCAGCAGTGCAGGTGCAGCTGGTGCTGCTAGTGCAGATGCTGCTGCTGGTGCTGCCGATGCTGCTGTTGCTGGTGCTGGGAATCGGAAGTCGGGAGTGAGGTTCTATGATGGAGCGGCGGGGCATTCGAATGGCGAGTGGTGGCAGGAGAGGAGTCCTTGAGGTTGGTGTGTGTGGAAAGGTTTGGGTTGGGTAGCGGCTTGGGAGATGCTGGGGAGATGCTGGTGGAAAGGGTGGATACATGAACGAGTCTAGCTCTTTGTAAGATGCATGTCTTGTGCTTTGCCAATTATGCAGGTTGCAAGAACATATAGGCCGTAATATAGCTGTCTGTTTGGCCTCGGAATGCTTTTAATGCTGCTAGAGTTATGGCATCTTGATCCCATGCCTAGTCCTGATTTAGCATTCCCTTCCAAATGCACTGAATGCTAACCAGTCGATTATATTGTATGGAGACTGGCTTTGGTGCATCCAGGCAAGCTAGGGACAGACCTAGCTCAGGACGCGTCACAATTGCAACACCAGAGAAGAATCGAGATCACACACCGAAGCTATGAGCTGAGAAGAAACGAGGAATGAATGAACTATGAATGAATTGGGTACAAGTACTAACCCTAATTGGGTTGTACCCCTTGTGGACTACCCCACTATAGCCTACACAATATGCATGAGCTATAATGTTCTGACACACCCCCATAGGCAAAGTGGGGGAGAACAAGGGGTCACAAGACCAGTCAAGCAAAGCAAAGCAAAGCAAGCTCAGGGTGGATCACAAAGTCACCACACATTCCGAGCACAAGTTCAAGGCCACAAGGCCAGTTCACATGCAGGAGTACATATATATAAAAAGGCTAGACAAGCAAGAGCAGGTATATATATATGTAACAGTACAAGCAAGGTCAAGAGGTGAGCAAGTGAGGCAAGGTAGGCACAAGGCCCAGCTGAGTACAGAAGCGCTGATGGTCACAAGGCGCAAGCGCCTTGGTGAAGATATCAGCAGTGTTGGCCTCAGAGGCCACGTACGCAAGACGCAGCTGACCACGCTGCTGCAGCTCACGAGCAAGAAAGTAGCGGAGAGCAATGTGCTTCGTTCTGTGCTCCAGTCGCTGCTCCCGACACAAGGCCAGCATGGCCTTGTTGTCTACGTACAGCACTGGAGGAGAACGAGGCAACTCTCCGAGGTCAGTCAGCAGGTAGGTGAGCCAGCGAAGCTCCTGTGCAGCCATGGCTCCTGCGTAGATCTCAGCCTCACAACTGGAGCCGAGAACAGAAGACGAGCGAGTAGCCCGCCACGAAACAGAGCCGGAACCAAGGCTGAAGGTGTAACCCTGTGACGACCGCTGCGTAGCCTGGTCGTCAGCCCAAGAAGCGTCTGCGTGCCCAGTAAGGACCACTGGACTCTGCCCTCCAAGCACAAGCCCCATGCCCGACGTACTGCACAAGTAGCGCAACACCCTCTTCGCTGCAGCCATGTGCTCCGGTCTGTGTCTCCCAGGAGCAACATAGCGTGCAAGAATGCTAAGAGGGTATGCAAGGTCAGGTCGTGTGCAGGTCATCAGGTACATGAGGCAGCCAACAAGCTCTGGGTACGGGCCACTCGACTCTACGGACTCATCCGAAGGCAGAGCTGAGAGCGAGTGGCGAGTAGGCAGAGGAGTGGCCTGAGGCGAGGAGTACGTGAAGCCGAAGCGCTGAAGGACCTGCTGCACCATGTGTGACTGAGTCAGGGTAATGGTGCGGCGTGCTCTGTCCCGAGTGATCTGCAAGCCAAGGTAGCTGCGCAGTTCACCCAGGTCAGTGCACGTGTGTCTCTTCTGCAGCTCGGACTTCACATGGGCTAGTCCTGCAGTGTCAGCTGTGGCAAAGACCAAGTCGTCGACGTACACGAGGATGTAGAACGGCGGCAAAGAAGTGTCGGTGCGCAGAAACAGCGACGGGTCGGCAGTAGAGGGAGCAAACCCAAGAGCCGCAAGTGTAGTCCTCAGTGTGTCGTGCCACTCACGCGGTGCCTGGCGGAGACCGTAGACTGGCCGCCGTAGGCTCCACTGGGTGCCAGGAGGAAAAGACCCAGTGAAGCCAGGTGGGCGACGCAGCCAGATCTCCTCGTGCAGGCTGCCCTGCAAGAAAGCAGTGCTGAAGTCAAGAGAGTGTAGCTCGTAGTCACGGTGAGCAGCTACGTGCAGCAGTACCCGAAGAGTGATCATCTTCGGGGTGGGAGAGAAGGTCTGAAAGTAGTCAACTCCCTGCCGCTGACTGAAGCCACGAGCCACGTAACGCGCCTTGAAGACAGGCGGAGAACCCGGCGGTCGCTTCACCCTGAAAATCCACATGCCACTGACGATGTTCGCCCCAGAAGGGGGAACAGCGTCAACGTAGGTGCCTGTGGACTTCCAGGAAGCCATCTCTGCGTCCATAGCTGCCTGCCACTGAGAGGAGTAGGGACCCTCTATCGCCTCCGCGTAAGAGCGCGGAGTCGGGATGTCAAGTGCATCCGGGTCTCCCTCAGGGGTAAACAGTACGGACACGAGATGAGGTGAAGCAGCGGCCAAGCACTGGAACTCCTCCTGCCTGTCCTCAAGGACGTCCGTGCCAAGGGCACACTCACCCCCGACGGACGGAGGACAGACAGACTCAGACTCAGCAACAAGACTGGCGACGTAGTCTAGGAGACAGCGAGCAGCAAAGTCGACGAGCTCAGCAACTAGGGCAGACGCAGCAGTGGACTCAAAAGAAGGGTCAGTGACAACAGTAGCAAGGAGACGCGTGACAGTAGGACTAGCAGCACGAAGAGAGTCCGACTCCGGGTCGGCAAGAGCAGGAAGAGAAGACTCAGGAGGAGAAGGCAAAGGGGCACGCAGAGGAGCAGTGGACGGACGCAGAGACATCCGGTGCGTGCCAGGGACAGGAGGAGGACGCTGACGCGAACCGCGACCACTAGTGCGAGCAGCACGGACAGGCGACGCAGGGCGAGACGCAGGCTCACGACGCTCAGCAAGACCTCCAGTAGGACCAGTGTAGGGAGACGGAGCAGGCAGTGGGGAGGCCGGCTGTAACTGTAACTGCGACGGGACAGGCTGTGGACACTCTAAGGGAGGAGGAGGACCAGTGGAAGGCGGGAGACCAAGAACCTGCTGAAGGAGCGGAACGAAGTACGGCCGAGGCCGCGCGGCGACTCCAGACATAGGAGGGACAGCACCAGCACCCGTAGCAGCTCCAGCTCCAGAACCCCCAGCAGCACCAGTAGTACCCTCAGCAGGACCGCCTCCAGGACCGACAGCAGTAGCCTCCGCGCCAACACCCGCAGCAACTCCAGCTCCAGAAGTACCCGCAGGTCCAGCAGCTCCAGTACTCCCAGTACGAGCACCTCCGGGACCCGTGGCACCAGCTCCCTCAGCAGCAACAGAACCTCCAGTACCCGCAGCACCTCCAGCTCCAGCAGCTCGCCTCCAGCGCCGGGCAAACCACTCACGCAGCTCCTGGGGAGAGAGTGGCTCCCTGCGAGAAGGAGCACCCGGAGAACCGCCAGGCACAGCACCACCAGGCGTAGCACCCCCAGGCTCAGCACCTCCAGGCGTAGTACCCCCAGGCTCAGCACCCCCAGACGCAGCACCCCCAGGCTCAGCACCTCCAGGCGTAGTACCCCCAGGCTCAGCACCCCCAGTCGTAGTACCCCCAGACTCAGCACCCCCAGACTCAGCACCCCCAGGCTCAGCACCCCCAGGCGTAGCACCCACACGCTCAGCACCCCCAGAGTCACCAGCGACCTCGACAGGCTCAACAGCGTCTACCTGGGACACACCTGAAGGGGCAGGACCCTGAGGGGGGAGGGGGTCTACCGGGGGGGGACCTGGTACAAGGAAGAGCGGTGGCGGGGGGAGGGACGGAGTGCGGTAGGGGAAGAGGCGGTAGTAGGGGACCGACTCGTCGAACGTGACGTCCTGGGAGGACAGAACACGGCGAGAGGTGGGGTGGTAGAACTGCCACCCTGGGGCGTCAGGGGGGAAACCCAGGAAGACGCAAGGAGCAGCACGAGGGGACAGCTTGTCCGCAGACAAGTCGCGGACAAACGCCCGAGATCCCTAGACACGGAATGCAGACGCATCGCCAACCTTCCCCGTCCACAGCAAAGCTGGGGAGGTCTCCGGCATGGAGACCCTGGGCTGAAGGTTGATCTGATGCGCCGCGTACCGAACCGCAAACGGCCACAGAAAATGGGGGGCAGCCGCATGCATCATGGACGTACGGGCGACGTCCATGACCATGCCAATGCGGCGCTCAGCAATCCCATTTTGCTGTGGAGAGTCCGGAAGCGTGAAGGTCTGGCGGATGCCTCGTGCACGACAGTAGGCTCGCAGAAGGCCAGAGGAGAACTCTCCGCCTCTGTCAGAGTGCAGACGCAGAACAGGAAAGTCCGAGCCGAAGCTCCGCCTGAGCTGGAGACGAGCTGCGCGGATCCAGTCGATCAACACCTCAGTGACATCACCCTTGCTGCGCAAGGGGAAGACTGTGGTGTAACGCGAGTAGTCGTCAACCACCAGCAGGAAGTAGCGCTCGTGACCCTGTCCACGGACGCGGGCCGGGCCCCACACGTCCATGTGAAGCGTCTGCAGCGGGGCCTCTGTCGGAGGAAACTGGGAGGAGTGAGGGGTAGCCCGCTGCCGTCCCTCGACACAGGGGACGCAGGTAGGGCCAGGCCCCGGAGGAAGGGGAGGGAGGGACCGGGGAAGACCAGAGACAAGGACACGGGAGGCCATGCTCCGGAGACGAAGCAGGGAGGGGTGACCAAGGCGGTGGTGCCAGAGGAGAGTCTCGTGAGACAGGAGGCGACACGAGCAGGGGGCAGACTCAGGACCAGACCTGGACGCTGCAGCAAACACCTGACCCGACGCAGCTACCTGACCAGACGCAGGGACTGGAGGAGACACAGTGGTCAGTGTGTACAGGCTCGACCCTGGCCGACGTGTAAACGTGGCCAGGTGTCGGCCTGTCCGAGCGTCCGTGCAGTGGGTCACCCGCTGACTCGCAGGAGTGAACTGGTGAACCCCCGCATCCTGTAGGTCAGCACCAATCACCAAGTTCGTAGAGAACGAGGGGAGGTAAAGTCCAGACAGGGTGCCAGAGGGGGCCGCCGGACACGGGAGGACAGTGGAGCAAGGACAGGACCCCCAGAGGGGTCTGCCAGAGAGACCGCAACTGGCCGGCCAAGCGGCGTGAGTGTGGTGCGGTCTCGAAAGAAGGAGCGAGAAGCCCCCGAGTCAAGGGTGAAGGTGTGGGAGGCCGAAGCCGACGCAGAACTTGAGAGAGCAGACTCACCAGCACCTGAGGGAGCAGACGCACCTAGAGCAGCAGCCTCGCTAGTACCTAGAGCAGCAGCCTCACCAGTACCTAGAGCAGCAGTCTCAATGCCCGGGTCGGGCGGAAAACACCGGTAACAGTCACCCTCATCACTAATAGTCACAGTATACATGGCAGCAAGAATAGCATCAAAGTCAAGGTCAAAGACAGCTACACCCGCCCTAGACAGCTCACCCCAGCGGGGGATCTCAGTGGCCTCAGGGAACTGGTGACGCCAAGCGTCCGTCAGGCGGCCAAAGCAGCGCTGGGTGGAGTGCGCACCCCCGCACTGCTCACCCGCGCGGTCGCCGGTGCGCAGGACGTAGGTGCACGGACCAGTACCCCCACCCCTCTGGCGTGCAGTGTACCACTCACGGAGCTGCTGAGGGGAGGGGATGTCACGAGTGCGCTGCTGCTGCTGCTGCTGCTGCTGCTGGCGCTGACCACCACCGGAGCCGACCCTCTGCGCAGCGCCACCCCGACCAGCTCCACCTCCTCCGCCGCCTCCTCCTCCACCGCCGCCACCTCCGCTCCCTCCGCCACCGCCGCTGCCGCCTCCGCCTCCACTGCCGCCACTGACACCTCCACCCCCGCCACCACCCCCACCGCCACCCCCACCCCCTCCACCGCCCCCACCGCCGCCTCCACCGCCCCCGCTAGCTCCTCCAGCGCCCCTGCCCCCCTTGCCCTTGCCAGGGCGGCGTCTCCCGCTAGGGGTAGACGCTGCCCCAACCGACTCCAAACCAGCGAGGTCGGCCGCAGCAGCAGAGGCAACAGAGGGCAAAAGAGGGGAGGGGGAACACCCCTCAAAGATGGGGGTGCGAGGGTCACCACGAGAGGCTCCTACAGCGACTATGCTCTTTTCTGCTGCTAGGAGGGCCTTCTCGAGGAGGTCAACAGTGAGAGTGGTGGGGCAAACCGAGAGGAAGTGGTCCCTGACTACGCGAAGGGAGTCAGGGAGACGGGTGACTATGTAGTAGAGGGTGATGTACATGGGGGGGGGGTTCTTGGCGCAGAACTCAGCAGGAAGCGCAGCGTGGTAGCGAGTGTCACTAGTGCGGAGGTGCGTAATGAGGTCAGCGACTGTGGGAAAGGCAGCAAGGTCAGGGAAAAAAAAAACTCGTAGTGGTGGGCCCTAGGAATCGTTCCCGTTAGGGAACCTGCTCTGATACCATGAGAAGAAACGAGGAATGAATGAACTATGAATGAATTGGGTACAAGTACTAACCCTAATTGGGTTGTACCCCTTGTGGACTACCCCACTATAGCCTACACAATATGCATGAGCTATAATGTTCTGACATGAGCGCCGATCGCCACCGAGCCACATGTGTCGTGATCGCCCCCAGAGGGTTTTTTCAGATGTCCGAGTCCACGTGGGTCCGGCTCGGACCTGACGGACCAGCTCAAGAACCAGCGCGTGAACCAGGGCGGACCGGAACCAGGATGCGGGGCTTGTAACCCCGCTATACCGTTCGAATGGCACTAAAACGGTGCCATTTATTTGGCCCTCCAGATCAGTCCGCGCCTGGTCCGTAAACAGTGGGTGGTGAAACATTTTTTTCTTGTTTTGTAAGTTTCGCGTGAGACTTTTGTGCAGACGAAGAAAAAGGGTAACTCAATTTCAAATTCGTCGCTACTGCTGCATCTCGCAAATAATGTGCAGCCCGAAGCGCAACGCATCAGGCAGACCAGTCCGTGTCTGGTCCAACACTGGTCCGCCAAGTGGGTCCGTCGGACCAGAACCCCGTACCAGGCGTATAGACTCTGGTCGCGGACCAGATCCAGCGGACCCTTCACATGAGACACGTCCTCAGGTTCCTTATTTTGTGGGGTTAGAGACGTTTAGGTAAGTTTAGAATGCATACGCCTGGTTTAAGTGCAGTGACAGATCGATATCCTAAGATCGACCATGAGAAACTACTTTCGTCTTCGCGACAACTAAAAAGGGATACACGACAATGCGAATTTACTGCAAATCCGAACACCGATCCGCTGCAGGTTCGGTGTTGCAATTGTGACGCGTCGTCAGATTGAGCGAGGCTGGTTCAGCAGCGTGTGATGTGATTGGTGGTTTGGGTTTGGTGGTGTGGGATCTCTGTGGGCGCTGTGTGGGTCTGGTGTGGGCACTGCGAGTTTCGCGGTTATGACATGTGAACAGTGTGTGTACGAAATGTGTTGGCAGGGTGCTTTTCGCAGAAGAAGGCGAGGCGACGCGCTCACTGGGCGGCGATGACGAAGCCACAACTTACAGCCGCCAAATCTCTGGAAGCCAATCAGTGGCTTTTCATCGCCCCTACCTTACCTTCCCGAACGAGCCTTGAACTTCGAAGCTACGATTTGGGAAGCACAGTGCAACGTCGACCACGTCAAGACAAGAATCAACTTTGAAACATCCTCATAAACCTTTCGTACGTCACTTGCTGCTTTGCCCCGCCGCCCCAAACCTGTCTAGACTCTAGACTCAACACTTCCCCCAACCAGCAACTGCAACACTCGGCTCGGCTCAATACAGTATGTACGCCCCCTTTTCGGCCTGGTTCACGAATCGCGCGGTTTTGATTCCGAACTTACGGAGTTCTTGTTTCTCCTGTTGCAAATTCCTCAACCTCAACAAGAAAAGCAAGAAGCAACTCAACTCCCCGACATCTGTAGTAGACCTTGACAGCATTGTTCAGCAAGAATCCAGCTCGAGGGGTCTCTTCCCCCACTCCCCCACCCTGTGGTGGACCCTGGCTTCTCCAGTGCTTCGTCGCTCCCTTCGCCGAGTTTCCTCCAGTGCCTCTTCGCCGTGCCACGCACACATCGACCAAGCTACGACGGCCCGAAAGATCGTCCGAACTGGGCTGATATTGGCAGCGAGTCGCTGGTAGAGAGCGTCGCAGTGTCGTCTCGTCGTCACTGGGCTGGTATCGCCCCTCCAGACACACCTGGAGCGCTTTTTTTTTCCACCATATCGCCCCGCCATATCCTCTCGCCTTCCACCAAGTCGTTTCGCCCCGCCATCCCATCTTTCCGCCCCATTTTCGCCCTCAAACATATCTGAACCATCTCTCAAACGCATTTCTCTGCGCAATGGCCAATCAGCTCCTCGCGCTTCAGCTCACGCTGCTCGTTATAATCACAAACTACGCCTCCTCCGCCGCCGCCGTCGCCGCGCCCGCCCCTCCCCCCCCCGCCATTTCGTCCTTCTTCCCGTTCTCCATCTCCGTGGGGTCGATTGAAGGCGGAAAGCTCTTTTTCGGCGGCACGGAAACGTTGAAGCCGGGAGCACCGAAAGTGGCGGCGACTTGCAGCGCTTCGAGCCTCAGCGGCTACACGTCGTCGAAAACGCTGAAGGCGGGGTATGTTTGTGTCGTCTTTGAGACGTCTCAAAAGGGGTATGTTCGTGTCGTTTTTTAGAATTTCCAATAGCGCTTCGGGCCTCAGCGGCTACACGCCGTCGACAATTCTGACAGCAGGGTACGCCGCAATGCGTCATCCGCCTCTATGAGCGCATGCCGAAGATATTCGAAAATCGCGAATCGCGAATCGGACTTCGAGGATTTGAGATTCACATCGCGTGTCTTCCGGCGTTCTTTGCCGAGGAAACTAACTAAAGAAAAGATGCCTTGCATACTTTGTGGATCTTTCGTTTTGCCACCACTAAGTTACGATCCTATTAAGCTTCGCGGTTCGAAAACTTCGTTTAATTTCAAAAAAAAACATCGTACACTATCGAGATCCCCTTATTCTCTGCGCCTTCCTCCCGTCCATCGTATCAGCTACCTCCCCGTTTGCTCATTCGCCCCCTCTCCTTGTGCCACTCCCTTCTATCACCTCCCAATGTCCGCGCACTTGAGTGCGTCACCCCTGGTAGCGAAAGACGAGATTTCAAGGCACCTCAGCGCCAATCGTGTTTCCGTCCCCCCCTTTTTTTTCCCCTAATCCCTTCCGCCTCTCTTTTTCCCTCCCCCTCCCCCGTTCCGCCTCGCCCCTCCTTTCCCGCTTCACCCCTCCCCGTCCGCCAGCCTCGTCCTGCACTGGAAGGCCACAACGGGGACCACCGTCGACATGGCTTTACAAGCCACGTCAGCAGGCGCGTCGGGCGGGTGGTTCGCGGTGGGGTGGTCGCCGGGGGGGAAGATGTACCCCGCGGACAGCGTGATCGCGCACAAGGCGGGCGCGGACATTGGCGCGTACACCATAACGGGCTACGACAGCTCCAACGTCGTCGCCACGACCGCCTTCTCGCTCGGCTCGCCCGCGTATTCCGCCGGACTTGCCACGTGCGTTCAATTGCACTGCCGTGAGTGTAATTCATTCTGCCACGTCGTTTCGCCCTTTTCACGTGTTATTCATTCTGCCACATACCATGCTGTCTGTTAGTAAACTTGTGTTATGTTCCCCACCATTCCTGTGGTCACCTTTTTCAGTTCACATGCGCTCCTCACCTTTCCCTAATTTAGTTCTCTCCCCTCACCCCCCCTCTTTCCCCTCCCTCCTCTTCTCTCCCCTCCCCCCTCCTCTCTCTCCTCCCGCTCCTCCCTCATGCTCCACCTCTTCCCCCACACGGCGAGAGCAGGCAGCAAGGTGACGTTTGTCAACGGACCCATGAAGACCATCTGGCCTACTCTGAAGGCTCCACCACCACTCCCCTCCCACCTCCTCCTGCCCTACCCCCCTCACCCCTCCCACCAACAACTTCTCCCGCACGGTGGGCACGGGCAGCAGGATCAACTTTCGCTCACTCTCCCCTCCCCATCCCCCTCACCTTTCGCAAACACCTCTCCCCTCCCCCCCTCCCCCCTCCCCCCTCCCCCCAACAGCTTCTCCCGCACGGTGGGGACGGGCAGCAAGGTGACGTTCGTGAACGGACCCATGAAGACCATCTGGGGCTACTCCGATGGAGCCACCACCTCATTCGACGGCCACGGGGGCAACCGCGGCAGCACCACCATCGATTTCTCCTGCGATGGCACTTCCGTTGCCACGCCCTCCCCTCCCCCCGCCTCCGCCAACCCCTCCCCCCCGCCTCCCCCCGCTGCCTCCGCCTCCCCGCCTCCCCCTGCCTCCTCCGCCTCCCCTCCCCCCCCCACCGCCACGCCGTCACCCCCCCCTGCGCCGCCGGCTGCGGGAGTGGCGTGCCCGGCGTCGGCTCTGGAAGGGTTTGACTACCAAGTGGAGCTTGGCGGGCCGCTGTGAGTGATGCACGGAAAGGAGGGGGGTGGCTCTGTGTGGCAGGCAGGGTGAAAGGGTGGGCTGCGAGGGGTGCAGGGAAGTGGTGAGGCTGGCTGCGGGTGTGGCGTGCGTGGCGTCAGCTCTGAAAGGGTTCACCTACCAAGTGGAGCTTGGGGGACCGCTGTGAGTGAGAGGAACGGGAGTGACAAGGGAATGGGGTAAGGTGTGAGTCTCGAGCATTGAGGTAGTGGCGTGCCCGGCGTGGCTCTGGAGGGGTTTGACTGTGAAGCGGAGCTAGGGGGGCCGCTGTGAGTGATATGTGGGTGTGTGGGTGGGTGGTGAGGGGAGGGAGTGTTTTGTGAGCGGGGGGAACGCTGTGAGTGAGAGGCAAGGAAAGGGGTGGGCTATGAGTCTCGTGTGGTATGTGAGTGGTGCAGTGAGAAGGTTGTGAGTCAAATGCACCAGCATGCATCACCATCAAATCCACCACCCACAACCCTGACTTACCTGTCTCTCCTTCCCTGTGCTCTTACCTTCCCCTGATTTCCCTGTCTCTCAGCATGCTGCTGCACTGGACCTTCAGCACCAGCACCACCATCAAGTTCTCCATAGAAGCACGCGGCGCCACTATAGCCTCAACCAGGCTGGCTCCCTGCTCTCTGATTCCCCGCCCTCTTCCCCTTCCCTTGTCCCCCTCCTCTCAGCATGCTTCTGCACTGGACCTTCAGCACCAGCACCACCATCAAATTCTCCATAGAAGCACGCGGCGCCACTATAGCCAAGGACGGCTGGATAGCCGTTGGATGGTCGGGCAGAAAGGGCAAGATGAAGGGCTCAGATGCGGTCATCGGGAACCTGCCTGGCGTGGCTGCGGTGCACATGAGTGGATACAGCAAGAAGCTTATAAAGCAAACGAGTGCGTTCACGATTGGGGATACTGCTGTCGCTACCACCTCTGAAGGCGGCACCACAATCACGTGAGTGTGTGTTTTGAGGGTGTGTGTGTTTTGAGGGTGTGTGTGTTTTGGCGAGGACAGGTGGGGGTGCACATGGGTGGCTACAGCAAGAAGCTTATAAAGCAAGCAAGTGCGTTCACTATTGGAAATACCTCAGCCGCTACCACCTCTGAAGGCTGCACCACAATCACGTGAGTGTGTTTTGAGTGTGTGTAAAGCGTGCGTGTTTTGAGTGAGTGTAGAGCGTGTTTTGAGTGTGTGTTGAGTGTGTTTTTCCCTGGCGTGGTACTGGTGCACATGAGTGGATACAGTAAGAAGCTTGTAAAGCAAACGAGTGTGTTCACTATCAGATCCGTCAATGTTGGGATGTCATACCCCTTTTGTCCCTGGCTTGACCCTTTCCCATCTCCCGACTTAACCCCCTCACTCCTCTCTCTCTCGTATCCCCCATCTGCCCTCTCCCCTCTGCCTCTCCCCTCCTTGCAGGTTCACCAGGGAGGTGGGCAAGGGAGCGGTGCCAATAAAGCTCAACGCCACCAACTACCTCATCTATGCCTTCAGCACCACAGCCTCCACCACCCTCGCCTTCCATGGCTGGAACCAGTAAGCCCCCTGTTACCCTGTAACCTGGTTACCATGCAACCATGGTACCATTACTGGTGCGGCTGCGGCACTTTGTTAGCCTTCAAACACTGTCATTCAGCAGTACACGGTTCCACAGTTTTTCCTTTTCCCATGGCTGGAACAAGTAAGCCCGTGTAACCAGTGACTCCCCTCTTACCAGTATACCCCCCCTCCCTCCCCCTGTCCCCCCCCTTCCACCCTCCCCCCCGTCCCTGTCTCCCTACCAGGGGCGGCCTTGCGGTGGACTTCTCGTGTTTCAAGAAGCCCTCAGCCCTGTGGGGTGGCGGGCCTGACTACAGCGATGACTCGGACTATGACAACTCGTTCAACAGTGCCCGTGCTGCGAGCATGGATGGCACTAGTACAAGCACTGCAGGCACCAACTCTGCTGACTCAGCAACGGGCGGGGCTTTAAGCAGCGGTCAGCGAAACCGGTTGCACCAGCAGACGGGCTTGGGGCATCAGCACCATGAGGGCGCTGTTGGTACCACTGCTGGTGTTGCTGGTGATGGTGCTGTTGGCACTGGGGCCGGCATGATAAATGCTGACTGGTGGGCGAGGAGATCTGGATTTTGGAAAACTGTTTTTGGAGGTTGATTGTGTGGATTGTCTTTTTCTGGAAACAGCTCGTTCTAGAACACAAGAGCTATTTCATATTTCAAGTCATATTGTTGCCATTTAGAAAGTCCAAGTCCGCTTGGTCTCTCAGACTGTGAAAAACCTGTATTGATATTTATTCAACAAAGCGCTCAACCTCACGTATCAAATGTTTGTAGGTACTTGTTGGCCCTCTACTTCATTTTGTAGGGTTTCTTTATCGAGGTGGATCTACCGTGTCTAGAAGTTGAGCTGGAGTCGAAATGAATAAATAGTATCGAGGATGCTACTACTAGCAAGCAAGTGCATGGCATGCCACCTCTGCGCTCGCTTTCGTTTCACTCTAGGCCCGGCTCGGCTGGCGTTATGGGCGTTAGAGCATTTTTAACCAGCCTCGAAAAAACGCCAGCTCGAAAAATCATCGAAGTCAGGCGGCGCATGCAGTTCACCTCCGGAAAAACGGGGACCCTGTTCGGCTGGCATTGTGGGGGTTCAGGGTTTAGGTGTGCATTAGGGGTGTAAAGTTCTAGGAAGTCAGGTCGAAGACAAATGGCACCTTCGAACAATCATCTGATTGGCCAGCATGTTCGACCAGTCGCATATCATTGGCCGCATCACTGATCCCCCGCATGATGTAAGCTCTCGGCCGAGCATCATGCAGCGGATCAGTGGTGCGCCACTTTGCCAGGGGAACCGGTTTCCTGGAATCATCGTATGGCGAAAAACGCAGGCGTTAAAAAGGCTGTTCGGCAGGCATTTCAAAGCTCTCAGGTTCGACATATTACCGCCTATCTCAAACCTTGATAACCAACTGCTCGCTTATCGTTTCACTGAAGCGAGTCCCTGAGCCTGATATTAATGCCTTTTTAACGCCAGCCGAACTGGGCCCTAGAGGGAAGGCGACTCGTATCGTAGGGTCACACTCACACACTTCAGGAATCGAGGAAATGACGAAGCGCCGTGTTTTCTTGTTTTCGATTCCAATGGGCAGTGTTTTTTACCGCACATTGCTCCGCGATCACGTCCAATTCCCACGGGCAGTTTGTTGACATTGTAGCTATTTTTCGAGGCAGACAAATATATTACCCTCTCGGGAAATACATGAACTTGGGCAGCATCAACCCTAAACACAATGTGACAAGGAGTTTTAGGGTTGATGCCCCCCGAATGGCTTGCCGTCCAAAAGGGGTTTATTTTATTCACTGGCCACTAAACTGAAACCAGGTAACATTCATAATTGCCCTGGCCACAGGGTTATAAAAAATATCGAAATTATCTGCCCCAAGGAATCGGACGCGAGCGCAAAGCTTAGGCGGTGTCAAAACCACTGCCCAAAGGAATCCGAATCTAGAAAGCGGGGTGGTCCGTCATTTCCTTTCAGGAATCCGACACCGTTTGTTACAATGGCGCCGCCAAATCGATGCGTGCGAACCAGCGTGTTGTACAGCACTGTACAACACGCTGGTTCGCACCGCCAAATCAGCCTTTCTCGGAGTCAACGAGTCGACGTTACGGCTGCCCCTAAATTCATCCCACATCCCCCTTGAAGCAGGCCAAAACGTACACTGTGCTGTATTAGCGTTGAACTCCTCATACCATTGACATTTTGAAATGCCCGGAATCGCCACATCCTGCACGCCTTCCTGTCACCTACCATGCGATGCGACATCTCCTCCTGCCGCCCACCACCTGGCACAGTCCCCTTGGCGCCCCCATCGCAACCGCTTCCCCGAAGAGCCCCCGAAGAGCTCACCTTGCACCTGACCGACAAAGCTCTATTTAGGAAGCTGGTAGCAGACATGTAGTTTTTTCGACAACTCACGGCTTGAGCTAGACTGTCTCCCCAAAACCGAACATTGGTACAGCATGGCACACTACTTCACAACACACTTTGTGTTGCCCCATAACACAGAACCTGACCCCAAATTTTAATGAGGCGGAAGCCTCCATCCATGCCACCTGGCATCGTCTACACATACTGTGCATTTCTGTTGGCACCCCCCCTCACGCCAGCACCCCCATTTCCCCTGCCTCGCTGAAATGTGCAGTTGCCCAGATCCATCGAATCGTTTTGATTTTACTTTTCTGGGTCAAATTATTTTTGAAAGTAGAATCGATATTTTTTCTTGGTGAATAATATCACACTATTCTTTACATTGATAAATGTCTGAAGTTCAGCGTTGACTTCATTACTTTTGAAGTTGTGACCAGACTTTGGGAGCGAACAACCAGAAAAAAAACATCCAGGAACGAAAACACCCAACCGAAGTGTACGCAGGGCACAGCTTCTACACAGAGCACCTAGTGGCTGTCACAGTCACGGTGGCTCCATCCATTCATATGCGTGGTGCCTGCAAATATTTGGCGAGGAGGAAAGCTGGTTCACTCCTCTGGAGCTCCAGTGTTACTGTTCGTCAAGCATCTCATTGCTAGCTTCCGTGTTCCTCCGACGCCTCCACATCAACGGGTCGTTTCTCGAGGAACGTCTCGATGGCCCGGCGTCAGCTCCTCACCATGGCGCCGCTTCTTCTCGCGCTGCTTTTTGCAGTAACACACTACGCCGCCATTTCCGCCGCCGCCGCCGCACTTGCTCTGCCGCCTCCCTCCGTTCGCTCTTCATTTCGCCTCCCTACCTTCGGATCGTTACTAGAAAGTGCCGGAAATCTTCTTTCTGGTGCTGTGGGGTTGCGATGGAAACCACAGCGCGCTGGAGTCCAGGCGACGTGCAGCGCGTCTAACCGAAGTGGATTCCCGGCCTCGGTAACGCTTGCACCCGGCCTGTTGTTTCCCCCAACTACACTAATTACTACACCAACATTATTCTTTTTTCATAGTTACTATAATTTATGTTGGTTCTGGCATTTAACAAAAATGGTAAGTTCTCTTAATTTGAAGAGTCAGACTATTTGTGCCTTTCTGATAAAACATCATGTTTGATGTTACAAAACAACAATTTGATTTTCGTGTTTTGGTAGGTGATAGGAATGTTGGAGGTTGCGTGAGGGGGGAGGTTTGCCCCCAACCACCGAATGCAACTCAAGGTTGAGTGAGCTGCAAATCTGAAGTTTCATGAATGAGTTGCAGGTTCCAAGAAGTTGGGATTGACTTCGGAAGAACCTGCACTTCGGTGCCACATGGCAGTACAAGAAGAATCGAGACTAAAGAAGAATTCGATTCGGTGAAATTCGAGAGTCGAATTTCACCCCTTCGAAATGTTACTCGAACATTCGAGTGTACCGCGGTTCGAGGTTACATGTGCGATTCGACGTTTTGCAGTTCATATAAATGTGTATGCTTTGTATTGCATGAATCATACTGAAAACCTGAATCACTTTGTATGTGATATACTCGACTACAAAATCCAGAGAGCTCCCATCTTTTGTTCTAAGAGCACTAGCAAGCACATAAACGCCTATAACTCTCTCGTTACTTAGGAGAATCGCGTGTTTGACGGCTCGTTGGAAAGCCAGCAGTGTGCTCTATCATTTAGTTTAAATCCCAGTTCCTGCAAAGTAGAGGAGACGCCTCTACAACAGTGGTATCAGAGCTGGTCGGAGGAGTCTACGCGCGCGACAAGAAGCTAGCATGCCGACGTCAAGCGAAGCCTCCCGCACTTCCTTGGATGGTGTCGTTGTAAATTCCGGCGAACCCTGGGCAACCGCGACGATGTTCGACACGTCGGCGGTACCGATTTTCACGGGACAAAACTACTTCGCGTGGAAGTTTAAGTTCCAAGTGCTCATGATGGAGCGGGTACTTTGGGGTTTTTTCGATGGAACGGAGAAGAAGCCGGACAACGAGAGAGGCATCGTGGCATGGAAGAAGAAGGACCAAAAGGCGTTCGCTACGTTGATTTCGCGCATCGGCATCAATCTCGTGAGCTCGGTGCGCATGTGCATCAAGCTCGAAGCATCGGCGCATGAAGCGTGGAAGCGGGTCGAGACCATCCACGTGAACAAGACTCTCCACGGCAAGATCCTAGCCCGGAATGCATTCTACACGGTGAAGATGCGCGCGGGCGAATCGATGCACGAGTATGCGACTCGTGTGGAGGAACTCGGGGAATCGTTCATGGACCTCGGTGGAACGGTCACGGAGGAGGATTGGATTTTGACATTGCTATGCGGCCTTCCGGAAGAGTGGTCGACGGTGATTACGACACTCGATAGCGTGCAAGACACTTGGACGAAGGAAATGGTGGTCGGTCGGCTTCTCCATGAAGAATCACGTCGCCGACAATTCGCTAATGAGAGCGAGGGTGCCACCATATGCTTCGGAGGGAGTTCCGGAAAGAAGTCCACGTGGAGCAGGGCGCGACGAAGAAGTCGCCCGGAGGAAGCGATCGCGGCAAGGGAAACGCAACGAAGTGCCACTATTGCGGCAAACCGGGACACTTTTGGCGAGAGTGTCGGAAGCGGCCGAGCGATTGGACTCCATTGAAGGCGCGGAACCACAAGGGCAATGCGCACACGGCATCCGGCGAGACGGATGATACAAGGGAGTCGATCGTGTTATTGGCCGGTGACGGGAACAATACACCAAGCGACGCGTGGTTCCTCGACACCGGCGCAACACAACACATGACGCACTCGGCATCGTTCCTCATCAATGTTGGTGCATCGGGAGACGTCAGGCGCGTCGTCTTCGGAAAAAACAAGTCGCTACTAGTGGTCGGAGTTGGAAGTACGCGTCTCATCGTCGATGGCGGACCGGTGGACATCACAAACGTACTTCACGTCCCGGGGTTGAAGGTGAATCTCCTCTCCGTCACTCAACTCGCGAAGAAGGACGTGAAGTTCACCATCGATGGCGCGAACATGAACCTCTTTTGGAAGGGGAAGCAATTCGCACAAGGCGTTCTCAACGGGGAACTCTACCAACTCAAGACGCACCCAGGAGCGGCTTCATCCAACGTGGCGCAAGGTTCCAAGGCGACTCTCAAGGTGTGGCATAATCGGCTTGCGCACGCCAATTACGATTCGGTCAAAGAGTTGGCAAACAAAGGACTTGCAAAGGGAGTCGACGTGATCGCCGCTGACGACGAGAAGGGCGTTTGCGCGGCGTGTGTCGAAGGAGAAATGGCTCGCAAGCCATTCGGTAGCCGTACCTCTCCCCTCGCTAAGGACCCGCTTGCGCTTGTTCACATGGACGTGTGTGGACCGATGCGGCATGCATCAAAGGGAGGAGCGCGGTTCCTCTTGGTGATGCTCGACGACGCGACGCGGATGTGTTGGACCTGATTCTTGAAGGCTAAGGGAGATGCGGCCAAGGCGATTCAAGCGTGGGCGCTCGAAGTTTGCGACGACGACAAGAAGCGGATCAAGTGTCTTCGCACCGATGGTGGTGGCGAATTCGTGAACAACGAGCTTGCGAAGTGGATGAAGAGCAAAGGCATCAAACACGACGTCACAACACCCTACACACCCCAACAAAATGGAGCGGCGGAGTGGCTTAATCGCACGTTGGTGGAAGCCGTTCGTTCTCTTCTTCAACACTCCAAGCTTGGGAGCGAGTGGTGGGGCGAGGCGAGTTCGTTAGCGGCGTGGATTCGCAACCGTTTGCCGACGAAGGTGCTCCCGGGAACGACTCCGTTCGAAGCATGGACCAGAACGAAGCCGAACCTATCCCGCCTTCGCACCTTTGGGTGCCTTTGCTACTACCATGTACCAGATCCCTTTCGCCACAAGTTGCAACCGAAGGCTCGTGCGACAATCTACTTAGGAATTGCGGCGAACGAGCGTGCGTGGCGAGTGTGGGACTTGGGCGACAAGCGAGTCATCTCGTCTCGGGATGTGGTATTCGACGAAGACAAGTTCCCGACAAAGGAACAACCAACGCCGCAACTCACCGTCGTCCTTCCCGCACGAGAGGAGGATGAAGCGGTGGAGGTTCCATCACAAGTGGAAAAGGAAGCCGAAAATGGAGGGGGAGAGAACGAGGAGAGCGACGACGACGTGGTGGAGGTGCCACCAACCGAGGTGGCAACTTCCTCGACAGCTTCCTCTCTCCCATTGGCGTTGACCCGCGAGCCACGTACACGTCGCCCCAATACGAAGTATAACGACTACGCTATGGTAGCCGTTGGAGAGTTGGACGAGGAACGTGCGGCATATTGCTTCGCAACCTTGGGTGATGACCCTCGCAACCATACCGAGGCTTTGGCTTCTCCGGATGCGCCACTATGGAAACAAGCGATGGAGAAGGAGCTCGCATCGATCAAGGAGAACAATGTGTTCGAGCTCGTCGACCCGCCGAAGGGTGCCTACTTGGTGGGGTGCAAATGGGTGCTCAAGAAGAAGTTGGGAGCCGATGGGAGTGTCAAGCGCTACAAGGCGAGGCTTGTAGCTCAAGGCTACACTCAACGGGAGGGGGAGCACTATAGCAAGACCTTCGCTCCCGTCGCTAAGGCTACAACTCTCCGGGTGTTGCTCGCGCTAGCGGCATCTCTCAGCCTCGAGGTGGAGCAATTGGACGTTTGCACCGCCTTCCTCTACGGGCTTCTTATGGAAGAAGTCTACATGCGTCAACCCCTGGGGTACGATGACGGTAGCGGAAGGGTGTGGAAGCTCAAGCGTACCCTTTACGGCTTGAAGCAAAGTCCACGCGGATGGTACAAGCGCATCGACGACTTTCTTCTTCAACACGGCTTCACGCGTAGCGAGTGCGATAGCGCTTTATACGTGTTGAAGGAGGGGGAGAAGCAATTGGTGCTTTTGCTCTACGTCGATGACTTACTTCTCTTCTCCGACTCCAAAGACCTCATTCGAGAGGTCAAGCAACGGCTCGGGGCGGAGTTTGCGATGAGAGACTTGGGCCCGGTCACGTACTACCTTGGGATGCACGTCGATCGTGACCGAGCCAACGGGACCATCCACCTCCACCAAGAGAAGTCTGTGAAGGGGGTAGTGGAGAGCTTCGGCATGGGCGATAGCAAACCGGTGGGAACACCACTAGCTACGGGATTTTCTTGCCTCACGGGAGAGGAATATCCACCCTCGATGAAGCCGAAGGGAAGCGGTTTCATTCGCTAGTGGGCTCGCTCATGTATGCCGCCGTTTCTACTCGTCCCGACCTCGCATACGCCGCCGGGGTGCTTGGACGAGTCGTGAGCAACCCTCATACCGAGCATGTGCGCACGGGAGGACGCGTTCTACGCTACCTCCAAGGCACACCTAACTTGGGGCTCGTGTATGAAACCGGCCCGATTGAACTCAAGGGCTATGCCGACTCGGACTACGCGGGAGATCCGAGCACGCGCAAGAGTACCTCCGGGTACGTCTTCACCTTGCTTGGGGCAGCCGTGAGTTGGCAAAGCAAGAAGCAACCAACCGTGGCTCTAAGCTCAACGGAAGCGGAGTACATGGCACTCACTCAAGGTGCCATTGAGGCGATATGGCTACGACGTCTTCTAGTGGAGCTTGGGCATCCTCAATCAAACCCAACTCCTCTCTTTTGTGACAACCAAGCCGCCATAAGCCTCTCTCACAATGCCGTCCTTCACGGGCGAACCAAGCATATCGAAGTGAAACATCACTTCATTCGTGAGGCGGTTGAGAAGGGTGAGGTCAAACTCACTTATGTGAGCACCAAAGCTCAACCCGCGGACTTCCTCACTAAACCACTCCCTAAGGATTCATTCCGTGCATGCTGTGAGTGTGTTAGATTGAGCATCTAGTGGCTTGGGTGCAAGGGGGAGTGTTGGAGGTTGCGTGAGGGGGGAGGTTTGCCCCCAACCAACGAATGCAACTCAAGGTTGAGTGAGCTGCAAGTCTGAAGTTTCATGAATGAGTTGCAGGTTCCAAGAAGTTGGGATTGACTTCGGAAGAACCTGCACTTCGGTGCCACATGGCAGTACAAGAAGAATCGAGACTCCAGAAGAATTCGATTCGGTGAAATTCGAGAGTCGAATTTCACCCCTTCGAAATGTTACTCGAACATTCGAGTGTACCGCGGTTCGAGGTTACATGTGCGATTCGACCTTTTGCAGTTCATATAAATGTGTATGCTTTGTATTGCATGAATCATACTGAAAACCTGAATCACTTTGTATGTGATATACTCGACTACAAAATCCAGAGAGCTCCCATATTTTGTTCTAAGAGCACTAGCAAGCACATAAACGCCTATAACTCTCTCGTCACTTAGGCGAATCGCGTGTTTGACGGCTCGTTGGAAAGCCAGGAGTGTGCTCTATCATTTAGTTCAAATCCCAGTTCCTGCAAAGTAGAGGAGACGCCTCTACAACAAGGAAAAAAAAAAGCTCCAAACAAAAGTTGTAATGGATGAGTCTAATAACCAATTTGAGATGGCTTTTTAGATTCTGTTTTGGAAGTGTCTTAGTTCTCTGCAGAAATTCCTCAATGTGTTTTCTTGTTGGGAAGTCCACTACAACATGGAACATTATAATTGCCCTCCCTTTTTTCATTATTTTTCGCTTGAACTTGTTCTCATCCTTTTCCTCCCTCTCCCACTAGTCCTTCCATGTAAAATGTATCACTGCCATTTCATCAGAAAGTGGCAACTTCACTCGAAAATGCATACCATTTTCCTACTCACATATTAGGGGTACTCGTTTTGTCCATCTTTGCTTCCGCCCACCCCTCCCCCCTCCTCTCCTTTCCGCCCACCCAGACACCCCCATCTCGGGCGGGTGGTTCGGCGTGGGCTGGTCGGCAACCGGCACCATGTACCCCGCTGATGTCGTCATTGTCAACACCGAGCTCTACGGAGCCATTGGCCCTTTCAGAATGATCCAAGCCCACCTCCATCATCCCCTTTCTTTCCCTCTTGGCTTTTCTCCTCCCCTACAACCTGGCAGGTTCATTCTCCACTGGAAGGTCACAACAGGCACGACAGTGAACATGGCTCTAGAGGCCCAGACACACGCGGTCTCCGGCGGGTGGTTCGCCGTCGGCTGGTCGGCAACCGGAGCAACGTACCCCGCTGACGCCGTCATTGTCAACACCGAAGACTACGGCGACATTGGCCCGTATAAAATGGAGCATGACTCACTGACGGCCATCATCCCCTTTGCAAACTTCCTGCTGGGTTCCGCCACCTACACCAGGCCTGCTTCCACGTACCCTGGCGGCGCTACCACGCTTGCCGGCAGCGGCGTTGCCACGTATGTATTGTCTATAATATCGCGCTTACCTGGTAAACAGAGGGGGTTTTGCCACGCCTTTGTTCTAGTCTCCCCTGACCCCCTCGCGTATGGTATCGCACTTACCTACACTCGCACCTAAATACCGGTGTAAGAGTAGTACACCTAGAATGTCACAACCACACCTTCTCAGTCCCACACTCCCACACACACCCCACATTCCAGTCCCACACCCACAAGTTTCCGCACAACGGGCACGGGCAGAAAACGCCGCTCAACCTCCCCTCTCCTCCCATATTTCCCTTTCCTCCTCCCCACCTCTCTCTTCCAACCCCTTTCCAGCTTCTCCCGCACGGCGGGCACGCGCGACAAGATCAACTTCGTCAACGGACCCATGAAGACCGTCTGGGCCTACTCCGACGGCCAATCAGGCTCCTTCAACGCCGGCCATGCCGCCCAACGTGGCGTCGTCACAATCGACTACAAATGCGACTCCAACGCCGCCAACCCCCCGCCGCCCGCCCCTTCCGCCAAACCTCCTCCTCCCGCCCCTTCCAATGCCAAACCCCCGCCTCCCCCTGCGTCCAACAAACCCTCCCCCCCGCCACGTGTCGCCCGCGCCTCGCCGCCCCCCCGCCGTCTTCCAAGCCCAAGCCGTTTCCTCCTCCTCCTGTGTCACCCCCTGCTGGAGGCATGGCGTGTGCCAAGTCATCACTTGCTGGGTTCTCGTATCAAGTGGCTTTGAATGGACCCCTGTGAGTGATGGTAGCGCTGGGGCACAGGGTAGCGCTGGGGCACAGGGTAGTGCTGGTGGTGAGTGTTGTGGGGCACAGGGTGGTGCTGGTGGTGAGTGCTGTGGGGCACAGGGTGGTGCTGGTGGTGAGTGCTGTGGGGCACAGGGTGGTGCTGGTGGTGAGTGCTGTGGGGCACAGGGTGGTGCTGGTGGTGAGTGCTGTGGGGCACAGGGTGGTGCTGGTGATGAGTGCTGTGGGGCACAGTGTGGTGCTGGTGATGAGTGCTGTGGGGCACAGGGTGGTGCTTTTCATTCGCCATTGAGGCTCACAACCCCCATAACACATCCATCACCCCTTCCTCCACCCCTTTCCCCCTTCCAGCGTCCTCCTCCATTGGACCTTTGCCACAAAGAGAGTCATCAAATCAGCCATTGAGGGCAGCAGCAGCAGCAACTTTGGCTCAAACCTGCCCTTTCTCCGTGCTCTCACCCCATTACCCACCCCTTTCCCCCTTCCAGAGTCCTCCTCCATTGGACCTTTGCCACGAAGAGAGTTATCAGATTCGCCATTGAGGCTTGCAAGGGCGCTCTTGCCAAGGGAGGCTGGATGGCTGTTGGATGGTCACGAAACAAGGGCAAGATGAAGGGCTCAGATGCGGTTGTTGGGAATCTGCCTGGCGTGGTGGCAGTGCACTTGGGTGGATACTGCAAGAACCTTGTAAAGAAGACAGAAGCGTTTAATATTTGTTCTCCTTGGGTTGCTGCTACTGCAAAAGGCAGCACGGCAATCACGTAAGTGTCTTGGAAGGAACAAGGTGGGTTACCTTATTTCCCCCTTGAGTTCCCTAACGAAAATATTTGTTTGATGTTACATCGTTGCCACAATAGTGTGCTGGTCTGCTACAATATTTATGCTGTTTAAGACCAGCAGAGCACGTGATTCTGCTCCGAATTCCAATTCTCCTTATGTGTTGCTCGTTTTTCCTTGTTCCCTTTGCCCCTCCCATCCCACTCCTTCAAATCTCCTCACACCCTCTCAGATTCGCCAGGAAGGTGGGCACGGGGAATGTACCAATCAAGCTCAACGCCACCAACTACCTCATCTGGGCTTTAAGCAGCAGCACCACCAAAACCTTTGCATTCCAGGGAAACAACCAGTAAGTGCCTTACCCTTTATCCATTATGCCACCTTGTTGCCCCAATTTGATTCTCGGCTGTCTGCTCTGCCTAGCCTTCCCATCTGCCTCTCCTTTTCCCCAACAGACCACCTCCCAACAGCTCTCTTTCTCAACATTCCACCCTCTCTCCCAACCAGGAACGGTCTTGATGTGGCAATTTCCTTGCTTCAGGAAGATCTCATCCCTATGAGGCATGAATCAAGTCTTGTGGGTCTAACGAATATCACTCCTCAATCCACCCCACTCTCTCTTGAACCTTGCACTCCCCTTTCTCCAAACAGGGGGGGCGGCCTTGCTGCAGACTGCTTGCGCTTCAAACTCGTGAGGAAACCTCTGTTCTAACGTGTCTTAAAACAAATCTCCCCCCAACCTTCCACCACCACTGCCAGGATTTAGGGTGGCCTTGCAGTGGACTTCTCGTGCTTCAGGAGGCCCCGGTACCTCTGGGGCGGCGGGCCTGACTATGAAAATGACAATGCATGTCACCAAACCAATCCCCCCTCGTACCTTCCCCCCCCTCTCTCTCCCTACCAGGGGTGGCCTTGCTGTGGACTTCTCGTGCTTCAGGAGGCCCCGGTACCTCTGGGGAGGCGGGCCTGACTACAACGATGACTTGGACTATGACAACCCGCCTCCCTCCGGTGGTGGTGGTGATGATGACGATGATGACGACGATGATGACGACGACGACGACGATGATGATGATGATGATGATGATGATGATGATGATGATGATGATGATGATGATGATGATGATGATGATGATGATGATGATGATGATGATGATGATGATGACGATGATGATGATGATGATGATGATGATGATGATGATGATGATGACCACCATCACCATGATGATGACGACGATGACGACGATGATGATGACCATCACAAAGATCATGATGACGATGACGACGATGATGATGATGACGACCACCACCACCGTCACCATGATGATGATGACGAAGATGACGACCATTACCACCGCAAGTCGAAGCATCGCAAGTCGTCAGCCAAAAAGTCATCCAGCAGCAAACTGGCCTACCACTACATCGTCCCTGTCGCACACGGTTCCTCCAACCCATTGGCTGGTGCTGCTTCAAGTAGCAAGCGTGCCGTGAACCATTTGTTCAGGCAGAAGCCGTTGGGCCAACAACAACGTGTTGCTGGTGCTGCAGGTGGTCCTGTTGGTGCTATTGGTGGCGCTGGTGCTAGTGATGCTGCTGGTGCTAGTGATTCTGGTGCTGGCACGGTTGGTGTTGCTGCTACCGGAGCTGCTGCTGCAGCTACTGGTGGTGGTGCTGCTGCTGCTACTGGTGCTGTTGGTGCTGCTGGAGGTACTGTTGGTGCCATTGGGGGTGCTGGTGTTAGTGATATTTCTGCTGGTAGTGCTTTTGGTGCTGATACAGCTCGTGTTGCTGCTGCCGGTGCTACTGCTACTTCCGATGCAACTGCTGCTGCCGGTGCGACTGCTGGTGCTGCTGGTGCTGCTGGTGCTATTGGTGGTGCTGGTGCCGCTGCTGCTAGTGCTTCGAGTGCTGGTGCTGCTGGTGTTGGTGCTGCCGGTGCTGATGCAGCAGGGGGCAGTGCTGCTGCTGCTAACAGTGGTGCTTATGTCAGTGATGCTGCCGATGTCAATGCTTCTACCACATGTATTGCTGGCTTTGATGCTGTCAGTGCTGGTGCTGCTGGTGGTGGTACTGCTGGTGTTGTTGATGGTGCTGGTGCAAGTGAAGGTGGGCCTTACAGTGCTGTTGCTGCTGATGGTGTTGGTACTGCTGGCACCAATGATGCTGCTTGGGTTGCTTCTGCTGGCGCTGGCCCTGCTGGTGCTGCTGCTGCGGGTGGTGGTGCTGCTGCTTCTGGTGGTATTGCAGTTGCCATTGTTGGCATTGGTGCCGATGACGCTGCTCATGTAGGTGCTGTTAGTGGCACTGCTAGTGTTGGCACTGCTGGTGCTGACCCTGCTGGTGCTGTTGTCACTGCTGGTTTGCGTGGTGGTGCTGCTAGCGGTGCTGTGGCTGCCACAGATTTTGCTGGTGTTAGTTCTGGTGCTGTGGGTTCTGCTGGTGCTGGCGCCGATGTTGCTGGTGATGCTGCTGACGCTACTACTAGTGACGCTGGTGCTGTGCTGCAGCAAAGAGTTTAGCAAATGCGGATTCCGAGGCAGCTGGTGGATCTGCCCTTTGGGATGATTCGTTTTTTAGAAGTGATAAGTCAATGCACATGCTTTTGCTTGCCATGTGATTATATAAAATCATTAGCATGAAAGAGTTTTTGTGACAACTGGCCTGTCAAATCAGGCTTGGCAACAAACATCAGAGCTGTTCAACATTTCTTATGAAGGAAATTTCCGCACATTTTGCCATTGTCTCCTCTCCTCCATTTTACTCCTAGGACATGGCATTCAGAATTCAGTCATTTCATCCCCCTCTGAGAAAAAAGAGCTGGTTTCCAGTTTTGTTTCTCTCGAGCGGTCCCTGTCAGGGGAAATTTTATCGGGTAAATCACCCTGATACCTTGATAATCAGGGTGGTTTTTGGGGGTCACACTGATGGCCCCGGGTAATTTTTTTAGGAGCTAATTTTACCCTGATGAGCAGGGTTTACATTTATGTCACACTGATGCGTAATGGTTCCCGGATCCCATAACGAGTTTTACCCTGAAACGAGTACCCTACCCCCCCCTCGCCCCCCAGTACCCCCACCCCCCCTTCCTGTTGTCAACGGGAGTTGTTGTTGGCCCCGTCCTCGCTTGGGCGGAGCCGACTTCGTGGTCGGGTGTGAGGGGAGCAGCTGACCTGCAGCAGTGGGCGAGCTGGTTGACGAGGAAGTCGACCTGCGGAGGACGTCAACTTGGTGACGTCAACTTGGGGAAGCCGACTTCAGTGGTCGGCTGACGGACTGCTGGTCGACCTGGTGGTTGGTCGACCAAGCCTGCTGATCGACGAAGGAGGGGCCGACGTCGACCTCGACTCAGGACGCCGAGCAGTTGGGCGTCGAGTAGCTGGGCGTCAACTTCGTGACGCCGACTTCGGGTAGGCGACTTGGGTGGTCGGCCGACAACTGCACTGGTCGACATGAAGCTGGTCGACGTGGAGCTGGTCGACCAGGGGCGTGGTCGACCTGGTGAGGTCGACTTGGGAGTGGCCGTCGACCTGGGAAGTCGACGGGCACGTATGGGAGCAGCTGGTCGACGTGGTTGCCCTGTCGACCAGGTTACCTGGGTGACGAGGTTCTGCGGAGGAGTGCGACGGTCGCCCAGGCGAAGTTGGCGAGTCCGACCCCGGTGGTGGTATCCCGAGGTCGACATGGCAGATCAGGTGGAGTCGTCAGCACGAGGATGACTTGGTGTGTGCGTTGTGCAGGTGACGAGGCTCAGCTCGCCAATTATCTGCGAGCACCTGCGAAGCGGGTGCGCTGCTGTTCTGCAGGAGCAATACTGGCACGCCGTCAACCTGCGACGTTGGCACGCCGTCGACTTTGCACTGCTGGAGCGCGGTCGGCCAAGTCGTGCTGGAACACGGTCGACCATGCTGCGCTGACAGTCGACCGACCTGAATGCTAGCTCTGATGTAGTCTTGCCATGCCAACTTCTTTGTACCATTGTTGTCAACTTTCTCTAGTGAAACTCTTGCCAATTTGCCCCGTGAACTAGCAAGAAGTGTGTGCACTAGGAAAACGACTAAGGACCACGAACGCAGAGATCACACGAGCACTCGTGCCTAGCCCGTAGTCTAGCTCCCGTTGTAGTAGTTATCTCCGCACCTGTAACCCTGGAATCCCGATTGCCAAGTGTCAAAGCCTGATTTTCGGCCTTGACAGCGCATGTGCTGGCACACATTGGGCCACCATTGGCCAGGTTTACAGTTTCTTTGTATTGAGTGCAAGTATAAAAACTAGTGAACAGGGTTTGTTTTTTATGAACACTGATGCGCCAGGGTATATTTTTCCAAAACGGGGAAAACCGTGATGGGAAAGTTTTTTCACAAGGGGTCACACTGATAATCACGTTTTTGAGCCTGTGCCATACCGATCGCAAGGGTAGGCCAAATCCAATTTTTTTCCCTGGTCCCTATATTATATCCAAACGTTACAGAAATGCAGGTAGTTAAATGGCAAGCATACCAATCATCAAACATCAAA